ATTACCGGCTCTCATCGGTTCATTGGAAAATTGCTTTAATGGCAATCAAGAGCCGATAATAGTCCAAATCATGACTTTCCCTGGATCTGGATGCACTGAGAAAATGTTTAGACTATTCTTTGCCTTCCAATTCTTTGGAAAATTGCTCTTGTGGCAATCAAGAGCCGGTGATAATCTGAATTATGATTTTCACGGGATCTTGATTCATACTGGGAAAATGTTAAGACTATCTCTGCCATCCAATTCTTTGTGGCAATCAAGAGCCGGTGATAATCCAAATCATGATTTTCAAGTTGTGATTATTACCATAGTTCTTTATATTCACTGAAAAATTGCTCTGGACTGGGAGTAGATAATCAAGAACCAAGAAATGAAATTGCACAAAGAAATTTTCAAACAGTCCATAGAACATGTTTAAGGCGCTTTCTGGAAGAAATTTGTGTAGGGAAGTTTGAAGGTTAACCCTTGGGGCACTGTTTCCCAATTCTCAACTTAGAAGTTCAGGCTCCTTTGCTCATTTAAACAAGGAGATAATGATCATACTAGGACCACTGAGGAAAACATGTTTCTTTCTTTCTTATGAACAAAATTTTTATTTGACAATCATAATAAAAACCTCACGCCACAGCAAATTAGAAATAAAAGAGATTTTGAAGTATGGGCTGAAACCAAGGACAAGATTTTCCAACCTATAGAGTGACACGAGCTTGATTTCAAGAGCTGGTAATAATCTAAATTATGATTTTCACTGGATTTTGATTTATTGGGAAAATGTTTCAACTATTCTCTGGCTTCTGATTCGCTGGAAAATTGCTTTAGCAGCAATCAAGAGCCGGTAATAGGCTTTTGGCTGTCATCATCACATGAATCCAGAGCCAGTTTTATTCAAAATTTGGACTATCACTGGTACTCGAATCGTTAGGAAATTGCAAAAGTTGGGACCGTTACCTAGTGCTCCATTTACTGGAAAACTGCTCTAGGAGCAATCAAGAACCGGTAATAGTCCAAATTTTGACTATTACCGGCACTCGATTCGCTGGAAAATTGCGAAAGTTGACACTATTTTCTACATTAACTGGAAAATTGCTCTAAGAGCAACAATCAAGAACCAATAATAGTCCAAATTAGATTAGAATATTGCTCTAGAGGCAATCAAGAGCCGGTAATAATCAAGGTTTGAACTATTACCAGTTCTAAAGCATTGATCTAAAGGTTATCAAGAGTCGGTAATAGTCCAAATTTTGATTATTACCGGCTCTTGGCTGTCCCTGCATTTTTCCAGTGAATTCAGAGTCAGTTGTTTGGACTATTACCGGCACTCGATTCGCTGGAAAATTGCGAAAGTTGACACTATTTTCTCCATTAACTGGAAAATTGCTCTAAGAGCAACAATCAAGAACCAATAATAGTCCAAATTAGATCGGAAAATTGCTCTAGAGGCAATCAAGAGCCGGTAATAATCAAGGTTTGAACTATTACCAGTTCTAAAGCATTGATCTAAAGGTAATCAAGAGTCGGTAATAGTCCAAATTTTGATTATTACCGGCTCTTGGCTGTCCCTGCATTTTTCCAGTGAATTCAGAGTCAGTTGTTTGGACTATTACCGGCACTCGATTCGCTGGAAAATTGCGAAAGTTGACACTATTTTCTACATTAACTGGAAAATTGCTCTCAGAGCAACAATCAAGAACCAATAATAGTCCCAAATTAGATCGGAAAATTGCTCTAGAGGCAATCAAGAGCCGGTAATAATCAAGGTTTGAACTATTACCAGTTCTAAAGCATTAATCTAAAGGTAATCAAGAGTCGGTAATAGTCCAAATTTTGATTATTACCGGCTCTTGGCTGTCCCTGCATTTTTCCAGAGAATTCAGAGTCAGTTGTTTGGACTATTACCGGCACTCGATTCGCTGGAAAATTGCGAAAGTTGACACTATTTTCTCCATTAACTGGAAAATTGCTCTAAGAGCAACAATCAAGAACCAATAATAGTCCAAATTAGATCGGAAAATTGCTCTAGAGGCAATTAAGAGCCGGTAATAATCAAGGTTTGAACTATTACCAGTTCTAAAGCATTGATCTAAAGGTAATCAAAAGTCGGTAATAGTCCAAATTTTGATTATTACCGGCTCTTGGCTGTCCCTGCATTTTTCCAGAGAATTCAGAGTCAGTTGTTTGGACTATTACCGGCACTCGATTCGCTGGAAAATTGCGAAAGTTGACACTATTTTCTACATTAACTGGAAAATTGCTCTAAGAGCAACAATCAAGAACCAATAATAGTCCAAATTAGATCGGAAAATTGCTCTAGAGGCAATCAAGAGCCGGTAATGATCAAGGTTTGAACTATTACCAGTTCTAAAGCATTGATCTAAAGGTAATCAAAAGTCGGTAATAGTCCAAATTTTGATTATTACCGGCTCTTGGCTGTCCCTGCATTTTTCCAGTGAATTCAGAGTCAGTTGTTTGGACTATTACCGGCACTCGATTCGCTGGAAAATTGCGAAAGTTGACACTATTTTCTACATTAACTGGAAAATTGCTCTAAGAGCAACAATCAAGAACCAATAATAGTCCAAATTAGATCGGAAAATTGCTCTAGAGGCAATCAAGAGCCGGTAATAATCAAGGTTTGAACTATTACCAGTTCTAAAGCATTGATCTAAAGGTAATCAAAAGTCGGTAATAGTCCAAATTTTGATTATTACCGGCTCTTGGCTGTCCCTGCATTTTTCCAGTGAATTCAGAGTCAGTTGTTTGGACTATTACCGGCACTCGATTCGCTGGAAAATTGCGAAAGTTGACACTATTTTCTACATTAACTGGAAAATTGCTCTAAGAGCAACAATCAAGAACCAATAATAGTCCAAATTAGATCGGAAAATTGCTCTAGAGGCAATCAAGAGCCGGTAATAATCAAGGTTTGAACTATTACCAGTTCTAAAGCATTGATCTAAAGGTAATCAAAAGTCGGTAATAGTCCAAATTTTGATTATTGCCGGCTCTTGGCTGTCCCTGCATTTTTCCAGTGAATTCAGAGTCAGTTGTTTGGACTATTACCGGCACTCGATTCGCTCGAAAATTGCGAAAGTTGACACTATTTTCTCCATTAACTGGAAAATTGCTCTAAGAGCAACAATCAAGAACCAATAATAGTCCAAATTAGATCGGAAAATTGCTCTAGAGGCAATCAAGAGCCGGTAATAATCAAGGTTTGAACTATTACCCGTTCTAAAGCATTGATCTAAAGGTAATCAAGAGTCGGTAATAGTCCAAATTTTGATTATTACCGGCTCTTGGCTGTCCCTGAATTTTTCCAGTGAATTCAGAGTCAGTTGTTTGGACTATTACCGGCACTCGATTCGCTGGAAAATTGCGAAAGTTGACACTATTTTCTCCATTAACTGGAAAATTGCTCTAAGAGCAACAATCAAGAACCAATAATAGTCCAAATTAGATCGGAAAATTGCTCTAGAGGCAATCAAGAGCCGGTAATAATCAAGGTTTGAACTATTACCCGTTCTAAAGCATTGATCTAAAGGTAATCAAGAGTCGGTAATAGTCCAAATTTTGATTATTACCGGCTCTTGGCTGTCCCTGAATTTTTCCAGTGAATTCAGAGTCAGTTGTTTGGACTATTACCGGCACTCGATTCGCTGGAAAATTGCGAAAGTTGACACTATTTTCTCCATTAACTGGAAAATTGCTCTAAGAGCAACAATCAAGAACCAATAATAGTCCAAATTAGATCGGAAAATTGCTCTAGAGGCAATCAAGAGCCGGTAATAATCAAGGTTTGAACTATTACCCGTTCTAAAGCATTGATCTAAAGGTAATCAAGAGTCGGTAATAGTCCAAATTTTGATTATTACCGGCTCTTGGCTGTCCCTGAATTTTTCCAGTGAATTCAGAGTCAGTTGTTTGGACTATTACCGGCACTCGATTCGCTGGAAAATTGCGAAAGTTGACACTATTTTCTCCATTAACTGGAAAATTGCTCTAAGAGCAACAATCAAGAACCAATAATAGTCCAAATTAGATCGGAAAATTGCTCTAGAGGCAATCAAGAGCCGGTAATAATCAAGGTTTGAACTATTACCAGTTCTAAAGCATTGATCTAAAGGTAATCAAAAGTCGGTAATAGTCCAAATTTTGATTATTACCGGCTCTTGGCTGTCCCTGCATTTTTCCAGTGAATTCAGAGTCAGTTGTTTGGACTATTACCGGCACTGGATTCGCTGGAAAATTGCGAAAGTTGACACTATTTTCTCCATTAACTGGAAAATTGCTCTAAGAGCAACAATCAAGAACCAATAATAGTCCCAAATTAGATCGGAAAATTGCTCTAGAGGCAATCAAGAGCCGGTAATAGTCCAAATTTTGATTATCAACATAATAATCAAGACCCCAGATTGAGAAATAGGTACCAACCGATTAAATTTTTCCACTAATAAGTAGGCGCCTAATTAAACCTAAATTCTTTTCTACATAAATGAAACTGATTTATAATTGGGTTTGTTCTAGTTTCGCACATTTTTTTGGTCAATTACACATATACACATAAAGGTTATTTGGAATTTTTTCAAAAATATTTTGAGAATTTTATGATTGACCAATGATCCAATCACAGGTTGAATGAAATATCTAAATGCAATATGGGGTGATCTAAGCCAGCTTGAATTACGCAAAGCGGATTTTACTAAATTATCTTGAACCAGTTTCCATTTTGGTCTAAATTTGTGGGCGGTTTTACAAATAAATAACTCTTTTAAATTAATTATTATTGAATCAAAGTCCATAATAATTGTTCAATTCTAGATTAACTAATGACTAAGAAGTAAATATATTTTTTTTTTCAAATAGAATAGAACCCAACACATACATAGTTGGTGGGGGATCGTGTAGGTAACTTTCAAATCCCCCTTCGAAGAAAATATCCCCGAAAAAAAAAACCATCTACAAGGTACTACCCGCGAACCACTTTTGATCCAGTTTTCGACCAACGACCGAAAAGTACCTACACAACAAGGACGCTCCACATTTGAGTCAATGAAACGAAAGTGAGAGTATTTACTTACCGAAACGCACCGTGTGATATAATAACAAACAATGCTCTTTTTTGCTCGGGAATAATAAAAAATGATAATCGATAATATGAAGACTTTTTTTTTCGGGGTGGTACTGACGTGTTTTACGGTTATCGGGGCGAGTAAAGATTGCAAGCAATTGAGTACTTCGAAATTAATTTGTTACTATAGTACTGTTGAAGATGTTATTGAAGGTTGTTACTGTACTCATATTATTTTGCCGGCAAATTCGGATGTTAAGGCCGTTGAAAAGTTAAAAGAACGTTACAAGGGTGCTAAAGTTTACGTCAGTGTTAATGAATTTAATCAGGTAAGAATTAATAGTCCATATAATTAAAAAAAAACTTTTCAATAGGTTGTAATAATAGTCATTAAACATTAAATAGTATTTAGTCTTAAGATCAAAGATAAAAAGCTAATTATTTGAAATTCTTGGATAATTACAATATAGAAGATTCTTTATATGGAGGTCGTACCAGAGAGTTAATTAAGTATTTTCTTTCTTTTGCAGGGACTAATTGATTTACTCAAAACCCACAAAATCGACGGTCTAGAAATCGCCTTGAAGAAACTCGATACGAAAAACGACATTTCCGATTTTATATCGACAATCAAAACGAAAATCGGTAACGATTTGGACGTGGTTCTGTCGGTACCGGCCAAAGCCGATTTGGTTGCTAAATATTTCGATTTTAAAAGTTTGAGCAAACACGTCGATCTCTATGTTTTGCAAACCGCTTTTTTGGGTGCTTCTAGTAATGTCACTTTCCATCCTAGTCGGTTATCTGGAATGTGGGATGTTCAAAATACGGTAAGAAAATTGTCAATTATTTTATAGACTTCGACTTCAAATCTCACGATAATAGAGTTTGTGAGATTCCAAATGAAATTTCTTATAAATCATATTTCAAAACTATTGAAAAATACTTCAAGTAATCAGAGGGACTTCAAATTTTCAGGATTTATTGAGTAGAAACAGAACATATGGTTCAGGCTAAGAAATGAAATTATTGAAAAAATGTGAGCATTCAAGCAAATCAATGTTGCAAAACGTTTCCGGATACTTTATTAAGAATTCGATTTATTATAATGGGGCGAAGATACATCAATCTATTATTTTTCTTAATTATTGGTGAAATGTGGCAACAGGATGTGACGGATCTAGTTTTGCCTCTTGAGAATAAATTTAAAATTTGCATTCAATCGAATGTGTATTTTTTAATAATTGCTTTGAAGATCAATGTTGATAAGGGTCTAGTGTAATGTTTTCATCAACATGTATCCTGAAGATATGAAGCTACAATTTTGGGGCTCTAGGACAAGAAAATCTTCGTAATAATTGTTCCTTTTCAATCTGAGATTGAATACCAAGAATAGTTTCTTGAAATAGACACTTCAAGTTACCAATTTTTCTAGGAAACCTGAATCTTGAATATCTACTACACTATAACAATTTAGTTCAAATCGCAAAAATTTCAGGGTAATATATCATCATCAAATAGTCATTTACAAGACTTGTTTCATTTAAAAAGTCAATAATTTATCAACTTCAAAGAGAATCATGCTATGTAATTTTATGTTTGCCTTAGAAATTCAAAAGCCCTTGAAATTCATTAGAAGTCGATTTTAAATTCAACATTGATTTTATAATCAGAAGATCTTACAGTTCATTTGAACTCGAAACTGTAAGAAATTGCACTTAACAAGGCTTTGCAACATGTTTCAAGTTAATATTTGCTTCAGAACCAAAATTATAATATTCAGAGGCTCTTACAGTTCATTTTGAAGTCAATTTTAGCTTTAGAACATTGCGCTTCATAGAATTTTGTAGTCCGTTTTAACTCAATGTTGCCTGGACTTTAAAATGAAGGTCCTTACAGACCTTACAGTCCATTTCCAACCTCGCAACAACAAAATCTAGTTTCTTAGTGTATTGCAGTTCAAAGTTCAAAACGGAAATGTCAGAATTTTTCCTCACAGTTCATTTGGACTCAATTTTGGGCTCGAAACTGTGAAGTTTCCACTTGATATTTGCTTCAGCACTTCAAAATGAAAAACAGTCAAAGCATTTGAAGTCCTCACAACTTCAACATTATTCTTCATAGTGTCTTACAGTTTATTTTAACCTAATGTTTGCTTCGAGACTTCAAAATAAATGCAGTCAAAGGCTCTTACAGCTCATTAGAATTCAATTTTAGTGTTTTGCAGCTCATTTCAATTTAATGTTTGTCTCGAGACTTCAAAATCAGGTCAGAGATTCCTACCTAATAGCACCCGACAAGCGATGGATATCCATTTTAGTAACAAAATGTATACAGATGTCCAGAAACACTATAAATAGACATCCAGTAAAACTATATTTTCTGGAACAACCAGAAACAGATATCTACTGAAAATCCACTGGGTGTCCACAAATGTTTATAAAAAATGATGGCCATAAACTGGACATCTAATGGACTTATGGCCCTCATGGTTTAAAAAATTAGCTTCAAATTTTTCATTTTCTTTCATATCAACAATAATAAATAGACACAAGAGCACTAGGAGTTGTCCTGCAAGTTGAGACTCCACCTGAAACAAAGCTATTGCTAATTTTTGTTGAGAAAATTTTAACTTTGAAGGTTCATAACTTGGAAACGGTTCAAGTTTGGAAATTCTGGATAAAGTCATTTTGTAGCCAATTTAAACCTCTATCGAATAAAACATTAATCATTTGAATCGTTCCAGGCCTTCCACAGTTATGCCTCATTTAATCAAATCGTGTCAGGCAGAAATTCGGATATAAGATTTTCCATTTTTTGCATCGGAAACATATAAAAGGTCCGAGCGAAAACTCCTGGAAAAATGGGAAATTGAGGAATACAAAATGGATTCCGACACTTCTTAGGACCCCTTCTATGACGTAGTCAAAGAAAATTTCGGAAATTTTGACTTTGATTTTTTAGCAAATAATGGACCCAATGATTTTAAAATTTCAAAGTGGATTATTTCAGAAACCGTAAGTCGTAGAGGGACAACTCAATGGGCTTTTTTGTAGATATCTTCGAGATCTACAGTTTGCTCATGAACAGTTTTCCTCTACAACTTATGGTTACTGATCTATGGACAGTTGAAGATTCAATTTTCATCATTTTCAGATTTCTCTGAGTTGAAGATATAGAGCCAAAAACAAAAGTCAAGATCAGGGATTTCAAAAAGTCCCAAAACCAACTTTTTTTCTTAATTTTCCGATTTTCCAGGATTTTTCCTTTTTTTTTAAAAATTAAATACACCCTCTTGAAAATTATTTTTTTCTGGAAAACTATCCAAGCGAAAATTATGAAATTTTCTAGACAGAAAGAGAAAAGTCAGAAGCGCATTATAGCAAAATTATCAAAATTTTTCAGTGAAAAAGTGAAAAATCTCTCCTGGAAAAATTCTGGAAAATTAACTGAATTAGGGAAATTCAAATTTCAAAATTTCGAAAAAATGATTTTTTCTTCGATAGAGGGGGCCAGAATAAAGCGAAAATGTCTCCAAGCATTTTTTCGTTTGAGGCCTCGTTAGCCCGGAAAAAATTCCAGAAGAAAATTCCAAAATCAATGAGGAAATTTTCCAACCCGACATGGCCTCATTAACTCGGCCATAACTCTGGAATTCATGGACCGATTTCAATGAATTATGTCTTATTCGATAAAGGATTAAATTGTCTACAGAAGGGTTTTATTGAAAATTTCGATAGTTGTTCCGTTTAGGCTTATCAGCCTTCAAACTTTTTAGGAAATCCATTTGTATGACATGCCTTCACATTTTAATTATTTACTCACAAACTCTTTGAGGCACGAATATGAAATTTTTGGGTGTCCCAAAGGACCTCTCGACAACTTAGCGATCAGTATTCCTTAAAATGACATTTTTACATGGACATACATGGAGAAATGTCACTTTAAGGAATATTTATCGCTTTGGCTTTCTTGAAATGGTCGGTGCAAATGGGCATAAGTATATTATTTGGACATTATAGAAATGATATATTATTAGGTGCCGGTACTTTTGCTCTCATTTGACAGCCATTAAAAATAATCAGGGGTTTGAATTTGCTCTAACCACATCAAACTTATAGGTCTTGGCCCATGCAAAACTTTGACGACGCATAAATTCGTTAATCGAGAGCAAAAGAATCGGCCCTAGGTATATCACTTTGAAACTGCAAAATTTTCCAAGCGGCTCTCAAGTTCTTTTCAATTTAATATTTGTCTTAAAAATTTCAAAATCAGAATATTTTACACAGTTCATTTGAATTCAACTTGCAATACGTTTCAACTCAATATTTGCCTCAAGATTCTAAATGAAGTAAGTCAGAAAAGTTTCTACGCATCTCAAGATCTTGGATTCTGCAAATTTGGAAAAATCCTTGCCTATATAGAAGCACCCTGAATAGATCCTGAAATCCGAGTCATTATCTTGCAAATTTCCTGAATTTTCAGTCATCAGTTTATAAACTTCCTGGTGTTTTAGAAAAAAGATTCTTAGAAACTTCAGATTCCTAGGACTTTTAAATTCTGAATTGTTTTTCTGCAAATGATCTGTTTTTCTTCAAAAACTCTCTAAGCATCTCAAGATTTTGGATTCTGCAAACCTTGAAAAATCCTTGTTGCCTTTGTAGGAGCACCTTGGAAAGATCCTGAAATCCGAGTCATTATTTTGCAAATTTCCTGAATTTTGAATCATCACTTTATTAATTTTCTTCCTGGTGCTTCTAAAAAAAGATTCTTAGGAACTTCTGTTCTTGTCAGATTCCTAGGACTTTCAGATCTTGAATTGTTGTTTTGTAAATGATCTCTGTTTTTCTCCAAAAAGTCTCTACGTATCGCAGATTCATCGATATTTCAGTTTTAATATTAAGCTTCTGCAATAGTCCTTCGGGCACATTATCTTCGGGCATCTTAAATCTGTCAATTATTAACATGTAGTGACAGTGACATAATAAAAACATCCCTTTTTTTCATCTACTCAAATATATTGATTCAAATCTTGAAACATTTATGTCTGAGACTCGTTCTGAGTCTAGTTTAGTTCCTGGCGAACTGGAAATGGTGTACAGTCTCTACGATTTCAAAGCCACACACGCCAAAACGATCAGTTTCAAGGCCAGCCAACTTTTCATCCTGGACCAAACGAAAACCGAACCCAAAAAATGGTGGGAGGTTATCGACGAACAAGGCAATATTGGATACATTCCTTCAAATTATGTGAAAACTATTAAAATCAGTCCTGAATTTTACATTAAATTTTTGAATAAGGCTATAGAGAATTTGAAAAGGAGAGATAATGAAGACACTACTCAGACAATGGCTAGAATTATGGAATTGAAAAATCAGGCGGAAAAAATTCAAGCACCAAAATCACACATCAGTTCAAAATCTGATACTTGCATCAAGTATAATAATTCAGAAATTTGTGTTGAAGGGCCCACTGAAACTACTAGTCTTCAAAAAACACATAACACAAATGTGATAACAACTCAGTCCGTATACAAACTGATTGAAAGTGTTAGGATTAATACAGACTTTTCACATGAAAAGTCACGAATTGCTGTGCAAACAGTTATACAAGGACTACATGAGCTGTTGCCCCCTTATTTTATTCCATATTTAAATACAATATTAGCACACTGTCAGTCTTGTCTAGTCGTTGATGATGTTCAAATTGATGAAACTCATGACGCTAGTCGTTTAAAAATTCTATTCAAAGAGTTAACTAACTGTAAAGAGGACTCACAACAAAGAAGTTGGATGTTGCACGAAGACGAAGGTATTATAAAAGAATATATCACTGAACTTATATCTATTTTATCAAATGCGGATTTAAGCATATCACGTCACGTGATATCTTGTGATCAATTTCATGTGATAATTACGTTAATTGAATATTATCAAATGGAAATCCGGTGGCCGATTAGACAATTGCTATTACAAGCTTTTGGGGTTTTGTGTAGCTTGGATAAAATTATCTTGGACATTATGTTAAATTCTGTATTGCCTGGAGAGCTGGCAAGGGATATGATGGCAAACCCACGCAATATTACCAAACTAAATTATTCAGCATTATTATTGACGATGGTATTTTCAATGGGCGACCCTATGCCAGTTACGGATTTGGATTATTTCAGTCAACAGTTTCTTAAATTTGTCTTCTACAATATAGAATCACCACCAGAAACTGACGTAGATGAACAAATTCCAGATTTGTTTCTCAACCTTATGTTTGCTTTTAATCTTCAATTTAAAGAGGTTGATTTTAATCCTATAATGAATTTACTTGAAGCACAAAAGCATGGCAAAACGTTTTGTGAAAAAATATTGTTGTTGTTGAACAGAGATGAGGATCCAATTAGGATATTTGAACACCAACCAGCTCCAGAACATTCATTGTTGAAACTGTTTAAAGATCTATTTAGTCGGCCTACCACAGCTGGTTTGTTTTATACTAACGATGCAAAAGTTCTGATCGATATTATTGTTAGAAATATTGCAGATCTTTCTTCTGGTGATCCAAAGCGAACCGAGTATTTGGAATTGATTAGGAAAATATTGAGGAATACAAATTACCAAGAACATAAGCATAAAGGCAAGGAGCTTTTTAAATGTTTAACGAGGATTTTAAAGGAAGAAATGGATGTTTTAAGCAAAGGGGATCAAGATTTGGTTAATGAAATGTTTATGGAGTTTCCACAATATTTTGGTCATTACTGATTGATAAAGTGGAGGAAAAACTAGGGAAGAAATCTTCAAAACTGGCCCAATAATATGATTATATTGAAGTTTAACGAATTGTTTAAAAGTGAAAATAATAATTTGTTAGTAGTAATAATCCTTTGAAATATAAATAGGAATTGTTATAATTTTGAGGGTCTTAAAATGATCATTTAAAGACAAAATCTTAAGCTGAAATTTTCAATGAATCTTATCTTAGTGGAAGACGAGCGGTAAACCACTAGTGGAAATCATTGTAAATTTTTTTGGGAATCATATAGTAATCAATCAGGAATACATGGAAATCAGTCGGGAATAACCTGGAAATCGCTAGGAATCTCCTAGGACTTCATGGAAATCACATAGGAATTCATCGTTGGGAATATCATCTGAAATTGCATATTATTATCATAGATTTTAAAGGGGGTGTGACCCAAAAATGAAAGTTTCCACCCTAGTCTCGGGTACAAATGCGGTGCAGTACCAATAAACAGCGTTTGGGGAACCTCACTTGACTTGCAAATTACTTTGAGGATGGTTATAGGGGGTTAAAATAATAATTGCGATTCATCGAGAAAAGGGTTTTTGTAAAAATATGGACATTTCCACCCTAGTCTCGGGCACAAATAATGGTACTGAAAGTTATAGGCAGTATCGATATACACCATTTAGAGTACCTGAAAAGACTTGCAAATAACTTTGAGGGTGGTTTAAGCGGTAATAAACTAATAATAAAGATTTATCGAAAAATTGGAAATCACTCTTATTCTTGAAATAGGGGAGCAGCGTTTCTAGGAAAACGAATGTTCCTTCTTTGTTACTTAAATTATCATTTGAATATCATTGAGAAAGACGGAACACTCGTTCTCCTGAGAACGCTGCTTCTCTATTTCAAGAATAGGGTCCCTGATAATCATACAAAAATATTTGAAAATCATTAGCAATCAGTCACAATTCTTGGGATGGAAATACTTAAGATTCATATTCATGTGTGATTGCCAAATATGGAAATCATTGTACATTTGTAAGAACCCTCCGGTGGAGGACTACAATCCCTGAAAATGTCAACGCATTTGGACTTGTTCCTAGGATATATCATACGTTTTTTTTCAGAGATTTCGGCTGCAAATCCTACAATGTATATGTGTGAAATTTATGGAAAACTACTTTTTCTCACCCATACACATTTTGCCCGTTTTCTAAATAATTCTACTAATAAAACCTTGACGCTTTTTTCTTTTATTTCTCTGATTAATCCAATTGCTACAACACCTCCTACAGATTTTCATCCATTTACGGTCCGAGATCCTTGTTTTGCATGAGCTCATACATTATATTTATGAACAATCAATTAGAATAACAAAAATCCCTTTGAAAAAATGCCATCTGATCTCAACAACTACCAAAAAGAAGGTCGAGGTATCATAGTCAATAGAATAGAAGGACCTTCACATTTTCGAAAAGGATCTGTTACAGTTCCTTTTACATCCTACGGATGACATTATTGATGATCGATAACTTAAGAAATAAATCACCATTATAATAATAATAAAAGTGAAATGCATTTATTGATAAAAATTCCATCCGGAAATGGTCAATAAATTTACTATAAAGGGTTCCCTTTCTTCCTGGTTTAGATTTAAAGCTTGTCGGACGCTCTCTTTTTCTACATTTTTCAATTTTTGTCCCTTGGGGCTTTCGCTTCGACCGAATCGTTATATAATGAGATTAAGTATGTCATTTCACAATTTCATAACAATTTTTTAATAAAGAATACGTTTTATCCTTCAGTTATAATTAATTGTATTAAATTAAACACAAATCTATGTAAGATGTATAATTATTGATCTATAAGATCCGGTTGCTTTGTTTAGGAATTTTCCAATTAAAAATCCATTTTCTTTATAGGATTCTGTAGTGGATCTGGTCAGTGGCTTAGGAGCCCCATTATCAAAACTAGTAATCGCAGCTCCGGTGCAAGCTTTTCAATTTACATTGCAAAATGAAGAGTACACTGCCCCAGGAAGCCCTGCACTCGAACTACAAACCCTTACAAGAAACGAATTATGCAAATTGATACAAAGCAATAGAAATTGGACACTGGAAAGAGACGAAGATCAAGCTGGACCGTATATTTTCAGGTAATAAATCATCAATCAGTTGTGGTAAAAACACAACACAAGTTTGTACCTACCTGCATGTATAGTAGGTAGGTTTTCCTTGACTTAGTTTAACGTTTGTAGAATAATTGTTTTGCTGGAACCGTTTAGATTTAAGGTGTGCTTCAAAAGGTACATCTTTACTAAGAAACGACCTCGAACCCATCAAGCATAAAATCTAATTAATAACCGAAGAAATAATTAACATTGCAAAAATCAATCATTTGTGTATGGTACCAATAACAAATGGCCATTGTCACGGTCTTTATATGTAAATGTGGTTACGCTAGAAGTACCACCATGGGCAATGTCGGTCGTATTAGGTAAAATCGGGTTCGCAAAGTGGAGCAACTCTTACATAAGTTTTATTTACTTGTTTAGACCGAGAAGAGGAAAATGATTTCGTTGCAAAATGATTTTTTGCATACATTAATTATCCAATTAATTAACAATTTGCTTATTCGGGTGTGGTTTTTATTACGAAAATTTCTTATGCGTTTGACAGCAAAAATCACTGGATTGCCTTTGAAGACTCCAAATCCATAGACATCAAAGTCAAATACTCCAAAATACGAGGACTAGCTGGAGTAGCTCTCAAAGACTTGACTCAGGACGGGGCCCAGTGCGGATCCAGTATTCTAGAAGCAACATACAATGGTAAATTATTTGTTCATCTAATTGTTGATTGAGTATTAACAAAATATTCCACACACACACAGGTTTATCCAGACAAGCTAGGGCTCCTAGAGGAGCAGTTTTGCATTCTCTGGAACGAGAAATGGTTGACGGTTCCGCAAAGCAGCTAGATTCAATTCAATTATCACCTTATAAAATTTCCAGAATTATTGATACTGAAGGCAAAATTCATGTTGTAAGACAGGTGAGAAAAGTGTCACTATATACATATAATCATACAAACAATACTGATTATGTTATATTTCTAGGATACTAGAACCGAATTCCAGTGTTCCAGACAAGGCTACTTTGTCCATCCGAGATCTTGCAACCGATTCTACAGGTGCGTCAAGTTCAATCAGCTCTCGGACGACTACAACGTCTTTGAATTCGATTGTCCATCAGGTTTAGCATTTGACGAACGTGTAGAAGTTTGCGTCTGGCCTGGAAGCCTCCCCCATGGTACTCCGTGTTCTGGAAGCAGCGAAATCGCTCCAGTTCCCAAACAAAGATTCAGTTGTCCATCGGAGCCTGGATATTACGCCGATCCAGAAAATTGCCGCTGGTTCTTTGCTTGTTTGGATCATGGGAAATCGGCGTTGGCTGCGTACGAGTTTAGGTGTCCGTATGGGTTGGTTTTCGATGGGGATAGGCTTGTGTGTGAGTGGCCTTGGTTGGTACCCAGATGTTCTAACGGCCTTGGAGTTGGTCTAGATTCGAGCTACTACTATGGCAATGATGCGGTAAAAGGCCCACAATCTGCAGGAGTCATTTTACAAAATTACAACGGCCTCGGTCAGCTAGGAGCTGTAAAACTTGGAGGCCTTTCTGGAAAAATTGAAAAACCAATTGCTACAGTTTATAGTAATGTTGTTGGACAAGGCAGTGGAGCAGGATATCTCCAACTGCCTTTGAAAACTTCACAAGCACTCGAAAATGCTGGATTATTGAGAGTCAACAATGGAGCTGGATATGGGGGATCAGTTTTGGCAAACATAAATCAATATGACCAACAAGGTGCACATGAACTCAATAAAGCATCAGTTTTGATTGGCCAAAATCAAGGGTCAAATATCAATGGAGTTGGTAAACAAGCAACAGCATCGATTTTGGTAAATTCTGGCCAACATGATCAATCTGCCAATTACCAAGAGTCAAACTCACATTTGATCAAAGGTGCTGTTTCATCTCAAAGCTTTAATAATCAAGCCTCGAATATTGAGGGACATCAACAAAACAGCTACGTAAAAAACAATGAGGCTATATCCAATCAACACTTCAATCAGTTCCAGGTTGACGCTGAACTAGCCAAACAAATCAATATAATTGGAGGAGGATATTCTATTGTCGGGACTCCGTCCAATCTGCATATACCAATCAATGAAAACGGTCTCCCTCTATCTAAATCACCTACCAATCAAGTTGTTCCAATTCCTGGTAAATCAGTGTCAAGTTTTGACACAGTCCAAAGCGGTGTAATTGCGAACATCCCCGAATATCAATACAAAATCAATTCCTTGGAAGATGCTGGTCTTGTCGCTAACATTTCCAGCAATTTTCCAAATTTTGTAGTCCAATCTGCTGCAAATGAAGCTACTATTCGCGATCAACTTTCCAGAGGCTTGACAGCTGCATTAAATCCTATTACAGTTGTATCACAAGATGTTTATTCCATTCAACAACAACCTGGTACAGTTTTCAAACAGCCTCAAAATAATGCTGCAATAATATCGAAGTTTTCAATTAGAAAACCTACAAAAACTGTTGTTGAAGATTACACATATCAAAAGCCTCTATATCAACAACCTCAACTGCTCTCAACTTATACTTATCAACCTCCAGTTCAAAAACAGCCACTCACTCAATACACTTATCAAAGTGTCGCTCAGAATTCAGCAATAAGGCCTATGCATGCGTATTCTTATCAACCTACAGGAGGAAGTTATCAATATGCTAATATTCAAAACAAGCAACAGCAGTTCAATGGAAATTCTGTGAAAGCTACTTATCAGTATTCCACTCCTAGACCAGAAACTGTTTCTGTAGTTTATTCTACACCGAAACCTGTACAACCTGCTGTAGTCACTAGTTATTACAATACAGGATCTATTAAAGCTAATTCAGATGTTGTAGAGCAGCAAAATATTGGATACTCTTATCCTACACCTCAAGTTCCTGTAGTTTACTCTACACCAAAACCTGCTCAACCTGCTGTAATCTCTAGTTATTACAATTTAGGCTTTACTAAAGCTAATTCAGACAGTTCTGTTGTAGACCAGCAAAATATTGATATTGGATATACTTATCCAAGACCTGAAGTCAAATTTGAAGAAGCTCCTGTGGTATATTCTACACCAAAACCTGTCCAACCTGCTGTAATCACTAGTTATTACAATACAGGATCTGTTAAAGCTAATTCAGACGTTATTGAACAGCAAAATACTGGATACACGTATCCAAGACCTGAAGTCAAGTTTGAAGAGTCTCCTGTAGTTTATTCTACACCAAAACCTGTTCAACCTGCTGTAGTCACGAGTTATTACAATACAGGATCTATCAAAGCTAATACAAACACTTTTGTAGAGCAGCAAAACATTGGATACTCTTATCCAAGACCTGAGGTTAAGTTTGAAGAAGCTTCTGTAGTTTACTCTACACCAAAACCTATTCAACCTGCTGTAATCTCTGGTTATCACAATACAGGATCTATTAAAGCTAATACAGACACTGTTGTAGAGCAACAAAATATTGAATACACTTATCCTAGGCCTGAAGTAAAGTTTGAAGAAGCTGCTGTAGTTTACTCTACACCAAAACCTGTTCAACCTGCTGTAGTCACTAGTTATTACAATATTGGTTCTACTAAAGCTAATTCAGACAATTCTGTTGTAAACCAGCAAAATATTGATATTGGATACACTTATCCAAGACCTGAGGTCAAGTTTGAAGAAGCTCCTGTGGTATATTCTACACCAAAACCTGTTCAACCTGCTGTAGTCTCTAGTTATTACAATACAGAGTCTATTAAAGCTAATAAAGACACTATTGTAGAGCAACAAAATATTGGATACTCTTACCCAAGACCTGAAGTCAAGTTTGAAGAAGCTCCTGTGGTATATTCTACACCAAAACCAATTCAACCTGCTGTAGTCTCTAGCTATTACAATTTAGGTTCTACCAACGCTAATTCTGATGTGGCTGTAAAGCAGAAAAATATTGGATACTCTTATCCTAAACCTGAAGTTAAGTTTGAAGAAGCTCCCGTTGTTTACTCTACATCAAAACCTGTTCAACCTTCTGTAGTTACGAGTTATTACAATACAGGATCTATCAAAGCTAATACAAACACTGTTGTGGAGCAGCAAAATATTGGATACTCTTACCCAAAACCAGAAGTCAAGTTTGAAGAAGCTCCTTTGGTATATTCTGCACCAAAACCTGTCCAACCTGCTGTAGTCACTAGCTATTACAATATTGGTTCTAATAAAGCTAATTCAGACACTTCTGTTGTAGAACAGCAAAATATTGGTATTGGATACAATTATCCAAAGCCAGAAGTCAAGTTTGAAGAAGCTCCTGTAGTTTACTCTACACCAAAACCTGTTCAGCCTGCTATAGTCACTAGTTATTACAATATAGGTTCTACTAAAACTGATTCGGGCACTGTTCTGGAACAACAAAATATTGAATACACTTATCCTAGGCCTGAAGTGAAGTTCAATGAAGCTCCTGTAGTTTATTCTACACAAAAACCTGTTACCCAGTACTATAATCATCCAAGTTCTACTCCACAACCTCAGGCAGCTGTAGTCACCAACCAATTCGACATAGAATCTACTAAAACTGACTTGGAACAACATATTGGCTACAATTATCCTCAACAAGAAGTTAAGTTTGATTATTCAACACCAAAACCTGCTCAGCCTGCTGTAGTCTCTAGTTATTACAATTTAGGCTCTTCTAAAACTAGTTCAGATGTTGTTGTAGAACAGAAAAATATTGGATACTCTTACCCAAGACCTGCAGTTAAATTTGAAGAAGCACCTGTAGTTTATTCTACACCAAAACCTGTTCAACCTGCTGTAGTCGCTAGTTATTACAATTTAGGTTCTACCAAAACTGATTCAAACACTGTTCTAAAACAACAAAACATTGGCTACACTTACTCTAGGCCTGAAGTGAAGTTCAATGAAGCTCCTGTAACTACATCCACACCTGTTACCCACTACTATAACCTTCCAGCCTCTACTCCACAACCTCAAGCAGCTGTAGTCACCAACCAATTCAACATAGAATCTACCAAAGCTGACTTGGAACAACATATCGGTTTCACCTATCCTCAATCAGAAGTTAAATTTGATTATTCAACAACACTAAAACCTGTTACCGAATATTATCATGAGCCAAGCTCTACTCCACAACCTGCTGTAGTCAATAGTTATTTCAACATTGGCAGCACCAAAACTGGCTACAGTTATCCACAACAAGAAATCGAAATTAAACCAAGACCAAGTATAGTTGCAGAATCAAACAAAGGCTATAATTATCCAAAACCAACGCTTAAATTTGAAGAAGAACGTCTACCAGTTCAAGAAGTACCTTTCGTCAAAAAAACTGCCTACGTTACTGGACAAGAAAACTACAATCAAGCCAAAGTTGTGGTTGAAAACTATGAATTTCCGGAATATGAAAAAGTGTTTGGTGAAAGGACGCAGCAGTCTACACCTAAACCAACTTTTACTTCTACTATCAAAACCATTATTGCCAGAAAGAAGGTGCAACCTGTAGTGACTACATACGACAGTAGATTAACTTCTACACCTACAGTTACTACTAGGCCGATTTTAAAATCGACTACTGTAGAGCCGGTACGAACCTACCTACCAGTAACTTCTACTGTTGCTACTACTAGCGCTTTGCCTAAACGAACCAAAACTAAAGTAGTAGAACAATATGTAGCGTCTAGAGATTATTTACCATCTAGAAATTATTTACCTACAAGAGAGTATTTACCAGCAACAACAGAAGAACCAGAAATTACCACTCTTAGCAGGGAGTATTTGCCTATAAGGACAAGATTAAGAATTACTACAACAGGATCACCAGGCAATAAAATTCCAAGTAGGCCTGTAACTGTTATAAAACAAAACGACGCTCATCCTCTTTTGTCGGCCAAACTTGGTGCTCAATGCACTTGCGTTTCTAATACCTTAAAGTTGAGGAAAAAACAAAAAATAATTGTAGTTGAAGAAGAAGATGACGATGATGGATATGAAGTTGATAACGTTGTTGACAGTTATGAACCTGGAAAAATTGTAGATATCACTCCAGTGCCTGTAACAAGTACATTGGAACCACAAGTTTATGTTAGAAAGCGTGTTAAAGTTACAAAGAAAAATTCTACTTTTGTTGATGATGATAGAGAAATCGTAAAAGCTGTACGTACAGGTTTAAAACTAGTTAAGCAAGCAGCTAAGGAAGGTACCCAGGAAGCTCTAGCCAAACAATTCGACCGGTACGGTCCAGGTGGTTTACGTGGTAAATCCGAGACTCTACAAGGTACCGTTGACTGTCAAAGGGCAGGACTTTTCAGGCACCCCAGTCAATGCAACAAATTTTACGCTTGCAGATGGGATTGTACCAAAAACCGATTCACGTTGCACGTATTCAATTGCCCTGTACATTTGACTTTTGATAATTCGTTGGGTGCTTGCAATTGGCCTAGTCAAGGTCCGGCTTGTGTTGAGAATACTTTGATCACCAGTGATTGAGAACAATTTGTTAGTGTGAAGTTATCTCATGGATTTCCAAGATTGCGGTAATGGAAAAAGTATGGATGAAGTGGCTTTAAGTATTTTCAAGTCTCACTTTGACTGTTGTGTAACGTCCTAAAATGGGTTTCAAACTTCTGAATTGTTTTAAAATGCTTTTGGACATTGTAACTGGATTTTTAAATGTTCTGGAGCATTATAAAATGGTTGTGAAGTTTCAAAATTGTTCTGAAGTGTTACAGAATATTGCGTTTTTACGTGTTAAACTTTCCAAGAGTTGATAGGTTCATGGCTGAGATTTTATGGATAACTTTACACTTTTTGCCATAACTTTTTTGTTTTAAAACGGCTTTGAACTGAAGATTTATACATTTTTATATTTAATCTTTATTTATTTATAATTTTCATATTTTGCTTTTTAATGTCAATCGAAATCATGTGAATCATTTCAAAATTAAGCATATTTAGATTTAAGTTATGTTGCTTCAAATGTTTGTAAATGTATAAAAAGTGCCTTTTGTAAAAATTGTTGTATAGTGTTTAGGATATAAGAATAAATAAATTATTGAAGAATTTTTCTATGGTTTTATTTATAATAATCTTACAATTAAAAACCTTATAACTAAATGCCAAACATGTTTGTACTTGACTGTATAAAGTAAATAATAAAAATTAAACTTAAGACTAAAGTAGCTACATTTTTAAATACTAAAAAGCACTTGCCGGCCAATAATTTTGTAAAAAATATGAACACACAACATGTTTTAATACTTATTTATTATTATTTGATCTGTGGATGTTTTGTTATTAAAATTTATCATTGGAACTTAGTTTTAATCAAAAATATTACTGAAATTACACTGTCAACCAGGTACACTGCTCCATTTAGAACGCACAGAGAGCCAAGTGCAAGACCAACCTGGAAATGAAATAAATATACAATAGGTTTCCAAAAATTTTCAGTAACTTACCTGTCGCTCAGAGTTAACATAAGTATACTTATGTTCACTGAGGTATCCGTGCCAGTAATGAAGTGCTGTTGCTCCAACCGATATCCACAAAAACACTCCAACAATGTTCATCAAAATATCCGTAAAGGTACTAAAAGAAAAATTATAAACAATCATATTGTTGAGCTAAAAGTGTATAGGGTACTTTTTGTGATCTCCAGCCGCAAAACACAAAGCTACCAACGAAACAAACGTATAAATCAAATAGCCAATGAAAACACCCGAAGCAAAAATTTCAGCGTCCGCGTTTTTGTTTTCCGCCATGTTCCAGGTACCACCAACGCCCAAAAAAGTACCATCGGTACCAGTCCTGTAGAGGTACAAGCAAATGATGTTTAAAGCCTGCGGAAAAGGAGGATTACCTATATTGCTTGACCTCATTTTAATTATTTTGCACTTACAAGTTTGAGAAACTTTAGCACTACAGTGCCCACTGTTTCGATACTGGTCATCTTCAGGCACTATTTTAATTTTTTTGAAAAAATTTACTTGTAAAAATGTATAACGAAAGCACCTGTACGATATAAAATGGTATGTAAGGCGTGATAAGAGCAATAATTAGGATAAGGCAGATAAGATAACAGGTTTGTTTTGTATATTTATCATCTTTTTCTAGTGAATATAATGTGAGTCATGATAGTGGATTGGAAATTAAGCACAAACCGAATAGTATATGTTTCTCTGAACGATCTCATTTCATTTTTCTTGTACAGAAACAAAGTTTTACGACACAATATTTGATGATATATGTCCAAAATGATGATAAATTAAGTAAATAAGAAAATGGTTTAGTAATAAGTCACAATATTTATTATTGTCGCAACAAATTAGACAATAAAGATGTGGTGTGATGTAGGTACTTGTTGGCTGATAAATTTATGAGAAATTCAATATTATTGTAGGTACTATATAATCTTGATCTCACCCTTGTCTTGTCTGTAGCAAAAGTAGGTACCTAGGTAGCTTAATTTTTGCAGCTGGATTCTCAAACTAAGTTTGAAAAAGTCAGTTTTACACATACCTATACCTAGAATCTTATTGTGTTGGTACTTACTTTCTATTGTCGCTGTTAGCAATACATGCACTAATCAAAGACACAGCAGTATAAACAAAATACCCGACGAAAATTCCAGAGGCGATTATTTCCACATCGGAACTTTTTTCTTCGTACAAATTCCAGGTACCACCAACTCCGAGGAACCCGCCGGCGAAGCCCACTCGATATAAGATGAGAATAATGAAGTTCAAAACCTAATAATAATTTGAATCAAAGCACTAGCATTGAAATAAATAAAAGACTCACAAGTTTGACAATTTTTGCTATGATTGAGGCTAAAGTATCCAGACCCATTTTTGTGTATTATTATTTCACTCAAAGTGTAGAATTTTCAATTTTTGTATGGAAAGCACCTGCTACACACTAAAATGAGGTGAAACAAAGATAAGCCGTACAAATTGTAAATAATCTACTGATAAGATAGCAAAATGGTACCTATATATAGAGTGATTCAATATTGTACTTTGGCAATAATAATTTATCTCGTAAAGTATCTATACCATCATAGGAAAAAAGGGCTTTAATTGTTTGAAATTTGATTATTTTGGAAGAAAAGTCCAATTTTGAAGAAAAGAAGTGTGGAAATCTTATTGTCAGATCTTCCAGGAAAGCATGAAAATCTTATTCTCGGCCCTCGTAGATCCAAATTTAAATTAAGGGAAGTATAAAACTTTGAATTTTGACCATTCTAGGGCTTTAGGCATTTTAATGTATCAAAGAAAGATTGGAAATCCGAATCCTTCGGCCCTATAGGTAGCTAGTTATTGAGGAAAAGAAGTATGAAAATTCTATTGTCAGGCATGTCTCCCAGAAAAACGTGAAAATCATATTCCCGGCTCTCGTAAATCCTAATTTGAACTACGAAACTCTAAAACTCTGAATTTTGATTACCAAAACAAGATTGAAAATCCTAATTCTCCAACCCTACAGCTTAATTTTGAAGAAAAGAAGCATGAAAATTCTATTCTCAGGATCCCCAGGAAAGCATATACTTGGAAATATGATTTTTCAAAAAATTTTTAGAATTCCAAATCAAAAAACCTTCCTTTCCTTCAAAAATGTTGAAATTTTCAACTTTTCCATGAAAAAAATTTCCAACAAAAATCAAAATCGAGTTAACAAGGTGTGCAGTCAAAAACACCTTATTGCAAATTAAATTCATGTCATTATTTTTTGACTTATTGTGTCAATTTCCAAAAATCCTCGCTTTTGCCCAAAATTCCTTTTCATGCACGACGATATAGTATTACCAGTGCGAAGCAAATTCATAATACCGAATCGATGTTACACTCGTATTCAATTTGTACAAGAGAAAACGAGAAATTCATTATTTTATCTTAAATGGCTAGAATTGGTAAGAATCTTTTGACTGTGCCAATATATTAATGTTTCAATTTTAGATAGGATGCCTATTGTGCCTCTCCTTTACGTTTATAACAATTTACTTTACAGAAATTGCAAAATTGAATAAAATTGTATTGATTATAACAAATTTAATCAGTGTTTGTTTGATTCTTGCAGAAATCTCTTTTCCTTATTTTAAAACGTAAGTAACATTTTACATCAAGGAATTAATAATCAATTAAATAATTCAAGAACTGTCCCTCTAGTATTGCAAATCATAGACGTAGGCTTCAATTCAGTAATGTACGGGCTTCTTACGGTTTTAATATATCAAATGAATAATCACCATGATTTAATTGATACTTTAAAAATATTACATGGAACAATATCAGTACTATTTATAGTAGATTTTCTATGCAAAATAATGTAAGTAGGTATTAAATCTTCAATAATTCAAGTTGTTTAAAATACTCATCATTTGCAGAATCTCAAGACTTTTATATGAAACCACACAAGCCAAATCAGTTGTAGATATTGGAATCAGCACCAATCTTCGTAAAGATGTTTTAATTTTAATTTTTGCAGCTACTTTATTTAGCTTTTTTAGCTTCTCCCCCTAGAAAACCTGCTCGATCCGCCTTAACAACAACCCCAATAACACACGGCGGCACTTTTCCAGTCCAAAAAAACCAGCCCTTTTTCTTGTCAAGCAAATTCATAGTGGCAGATGAAACTTTGGACAAAGCCAACCAACATAGACCAGTCCAACAAGCCTCGTCCGCATTCGATTTCGGACCTTCTAGCGTCGAAAGACTGATGAGCAAATCAGAAATGGTTCAAACTATGACCCAAGAAGAAAAAAGCACCAGTCCTTTGCCTCCGTTTTATTTAAACGAAGAGCGCAAGAAAAAATCTCATTGGACCAACACTAAAAGAAGGCAAGGCTCAAGATCTACTCCCATAACTTACGGTGGTACTTTTTCTTGTAACAAAGAACTAGTTCCAGTTCCGTCGAGTTTCAGCTCTCCAAGTACATCTCCTAGAAACAAAAAACGCAACACCAATAACTCTCCAAGAGAGTATGTGGTTTTGGATCAAATTTCAGAAGAAAGATTATCATTGATGAGTGATTGGAATTGTGGATTGTTGCCTGGATCCACTATAAATGAAACAATTATTTAAACGTAATATATATTTATTTTGAAATAAAATTATATGCTAAGCTTCACAGGTTGGTTGATTTGTTCCAAATCGTACAATGCTAGTACAGGCTTGACTTCGGTTTCCAAAAACTCGGTTACTTGCTCAGAAGCTCTGCCAATGTAAGTAGATGGATCCAGGATAGAGTTCAATTCATTTACGATTGGTTTAAAATATGGATCAGCCCTTACACGGTCTAAAAGGTCGTTTTCTTTGCCGTGGATTTTCACTTGGTTGCCTGCTTCTTGAGATAGGACACGGATTTTTTCGTGACAAACCTTAATTAATTTAAATTAAATGCTATATTGGAATAATTATTATTATTCTTACTTGTCTATCTCCGCCCTTTTTAACCATGGCCATTATAATATTTTCAGCAGACATAAATGGTAGCTCTTGATTGATTCTTCGTTCAATTACCTTAGGATAAACTACCAAACCTTGTGTAATATTTGCCAGAGTAATAAGGGCAGCGTCAGCGCTAAGGAAACCTTCTGCCAATGTCAACCGACGATTAGCGGAATCGTCCAAAGTCCTTTCCAGCCACTGGACACTGTGCGTATTAGCGGCATTAGAAAACAAAGCAATCAAGTGCCTGGCTAGAGCGCAACATCTTTCAGATCGCATCGGATTTCTTTTGTAGGGCATCGCTGAACTGCCTATTTGGCTTTTTTCGAACGGTTCTTCGATCTCTTTCATGTTGGCTAACAGACGGAGATCGGAACACATTTTATGGATAGTAGAACCTAGGAATGTTTTTCTTTGGAATTATTAGGACTTTTGAATGGTTATATATCAATATTTTGGCTGTTTAACATGCAATGATATCAAATATTTATTAAACGACTAGTGATAATGAAGTATTTTTGCATACAGTACAGTATAAATAATATTCATAACATTATTGAAAATTACTGAGGGGTAAACCACCTTGAGAAATATGTACACCAGAATCTCACTTTTAACAGAATCCCACGAAATCCTACTGGAAAACTAAGGAATCCTACTGGAGTTCCATGCAATTCCACTAAAAATGAATGAAATTTTGGACTATTGGAAATTTCATCGTTTTAGTAGTAATAAGGTTATTATTTAGATTTTGGGAAAATTTGAAAGAGCATAACTTTTTTTCTATTATAGATAGAAAGCTGAAACTTTCACTGAATTTTATCCCAATCAAGGGACTAAAATCCCTGAAAATTTCAGCTCATTCACACTTATAGTTCCTGAGATAAAATCGTGTTAAGCAATTTGGGGTGATTTATCGATTTTTCAATTTTTCTGAGTGCCTTTTTTCATAGCTTTCAACTTCAAATCTGAGAATAATTTAGTGTATGGAGTTTGGGGGATGTTAATTCACCATTAGGATACAAAATCTAGACAAAAAAAAATTTGAAATTTCATCGTTTTAGTAAGAAGGTTTGGAAAACTTTGAAAGGTCATAACTTTTTTTCTATTATAGATAGAAAGTTGAAACTTTCACTGAATTTTATCCCAATCAAGGGACTACAATCCCTGAAAATTTCAGCTCATTTCCACTGATAGTTCCTGAGATAAAATCGTGTTAAGCAATTTGGGGTAATTTATCAATTTTTCAATTTTTCTGAGTGCCTTTTTTCATAGATTTCGGCTTCAAATCTGAGAATAATTTAGTGTATGGAGTTTGGGGGATGTTGATTGACCATTAGGATACAAAATCTCGACAAAAAAAAAATTGAAATTTCATCGTTTTAGTAAGAAGGTACCTACCTTATGATTTAAATTTTGGAAAACTTTGAAAGGTCATAACTTTTTTTCTATTATAGATAGAAAGCTGAAACTTTCACTGAATTTTATCCCAATCAAGGGACTACAATCCCTGAAAATTTCAACTCATTTCCACTTATAGTTCCTGAGATAAAATCGTGTTAAGCAATTTGGGGTGATTTATCAATTTTTCAATTTTTCTGAGTGCCTTTTTTCATAGATTTCGGCTTCAAATCTGAGAATAATTTAGTGTATGGAGTTTGGGGGATGTTGATTGACCATTAGGATACAAAATCTCGACAAAAAAAAAATTGAAATTTCATCGTTTTAGTAAGAAGGTACCTACCTTATGATTTAAATTTTGGAAAACTTTGAAAGGTCATAACTTTTTTTCTATTATAGATAGAAAGCTGAAACTTTCACTGAATTTTATCCCAATCAAGGGACTACAATCCCTGAAAATTTCAACTCATTTCCACTTATAGTTCCTGAGATAAAATCGTGTTAAGCAATTTGGGGTGATTTATCAATTTTTCAATTTTTCTGTTAGGGTTTTACAAGTTTGCGGAATGTTAGGAATTTTCTTGGTGAGTTTTGAGCCTGGAACTTGGATGGGGCGAAACCCCGTAGAAATACTGGGTGAATGTTGGTTTTCACACATTGCGAATGCGTAAAAAAAGGTTTGTTTACAAGCACAAAGTGTCCGTTCGATTCAACGTAAGGATGAAAACAAAAATTCCTTGTGCAAAATACTTCCAATGATCACAGTACCTTGAAACTTTCAAGATTTATGAATTGAAGTTTCCTCTTTGTGGAAAAGTTAATTTGCTTGTACACTATAATTCCAAGGTGGTTTACAACCATCTCATTAAGACTAATAATACTTGCCTAAAGACGACAAAACCGATACAACTTCCAAGTCCACTTTCCTGGTATAAGTCTGTCCAGTTACCGGATAAGATTTCTGGAAACCACTCAGCTCAGATACGCGTTTGTCCAAAGCTTTCACTTTTTCATTGTCCCCGTTGAAAAGTTGCAAAAAAGAAGCTTGAGTACCAGTGGTACCTTTGGCTCCCCTAAACCTCAAATCTTCTTTCGCTCTACGCAAAGCCCTTTCGTCCAGCAAAAGATCAAACAGCCATAGAGTGCCTCTTTTGCCTACCGTTGTCAGTTGAGCAGGTTGCAAATGGGTGAAGCCCAAAGCAGGAAGTGACCTAAATAATAATTGTTTGAATCAAATCAATCTACAATTGATAACCTACTTGTATTGATTGCAAAATTCGGCAAGATTCTGTACTACAACAGCCAATCGATTGCCAAGCATCTCCAAACCATCCTTAAGTAAAATAAGGTCAGTATTATCCCCCACAAAACAAGAAGTAGCCCCCAAATGAATGATAGGCGCAGCTAAAGGACAAAGCTTAGCAAACACATGCACATGAGCCATAACATCGTGCCTGGTAAGCTTCTCTTCATCAGCGGCTGCAACGAAATCGATGTCATGAACATGAGCTTCCATTTGCTGGATTTGGGCCTGGGTAATTTCGAGACCGAGTTCCTGAAAATTGTCATATCGATGTCATTCTCATTAGAAAATTCTGACAGTTATGTTAATTTTAAATGCCCAGAATTAGGAGGAGTGTAAGCAAGGGTGTACAAGATGAGGCCTACGTTAAGGAAGTTCAGAAAGAGGAAAGGCGCAGGAAAAGGGAAAAGGCTAATACTTGGCTTAATATGTATGGTATGACGCTGGTAGAATTTGTAAGGGCGTTTTCCTATTTGAAATGCGCACATTTTAGAATTACTTTGTAGATACTTTGTTTGATATGTTTTGCGGTTGGCTACGCGTACTACCACCAAGTGCAACAATACAGAAACGACAATATGATCAGGCACGATAAAAAAACCGTAAGATATATTTTGTTGCCGCCTACTCCTCTAGCAGTTGCCAGTGTATTTTTAAGTTTGACCTATCTGGATTTGATATCTTGGGCATCTGTAAGGTATTATTCAAAGCTAATATTTGTTTGTTTGTTTCATAGAGTACATTTGTAGGCCTATAACGTATTTTGCCTGGATTATGGCATCGACGGCCGGGTTTCTATGTTTCTGCCTCTACTCCGGTGTCATTCTTATGACCAATAACAGCATTAGTTCGATAATCGCGATTATTGTTGGTATTCTTACAGCTCTGGTGTTTTTAGCAGATCTCGTTTGTATGTTGTGGTGAGTATTTGAGGGTATCAGTAGTTGATATATTGTGGAGCTTTTTTAGTACTATGAAGCGTTTTCCTGCTCCGTATTGGGTTTTGAAACGCAAATGCGATAAAATGGATCAGTGCGTGTGCACAGGGGATTGTCCTGAAGAAATTACTGAGGGTAAGAATGACTATACCTATCCAGTTTTAGTATGTAGTAAACCAAATTTTGACTATTACTGGTTCTTGATTGATTAATTCGAAGTCAATTTTAGTATAAGATCTTCTCCCATAGAACGGAATTATTATGTGATAATAACCCTGATAAAGAAATATTATCTAAATCTGATACATGCAATTTATGTCATAAATTCCAACATTCCAGAGAGACCCTTATGCAAATGCATTGACCATTGGGGTGCCCCATGCATCTGCGACAATCCAGATGGAGACGAAAACACATGCGGTTGTGGTGCCGAAAAAACAGGTAACTTCTCCTAGGTACCATCTCTCACTTCATTGATAATACCAATTCAAGGCGAACCACCTTGCGAATGCTGCGAATGTGCCGACGAACTATTCGACGAAGATTCCTACGACCCAACTCTGTCATCATGGACGGATAATCGTCAATCAATTGCTCCGGGTTTTCGTCAATCAATTGCTCCATCAGGTTTTCGTCAATCAATTGCTCCGGGTTTTCGTCAATCAATTGCTCCGGGTATGGGTTATCGTCAATCAATGATGGCTCCGAGTTATATTCCATCAATGGCCGATTCGCGTCGAGTATCGAGATTCTCAACAAAATTTTGGCCTGAACGCTCGAGGTCCACCATGGTGGGTCCAGACTTTGAAGACAAGCGAAAATCCATAGCGAACCAGGCCTATTCGGAATGGTTCGATGCAACGCCAGTTCACGATTATTGTTCGCAGCCAATGCCAAGGTTGTATTGTACCGATACGTACACAGATTCAGAAGCAGGCCCTAGTCAAGGTAATTTCCATAGTATTTATGCAGTGGTTTTTACATAAAATCAGAAATGAATAGGGAATATGGCGTACCTCAGGCTTCACGGATCAGAACGGCGTCACAAATAGCTGTGGTTAAGAGTCTTCAAAGTCCATCTCATAGATTGAGTGTAAGACCTTCAATGAGAAGCGTGAGTGGTAATTTAAGACAGCCTTCAATGGCGTCGAGAAATAGGTCTCATTTGGCTTACTCCGCCTACACAACGATTGTCAATGATAGGGAACTTATTAGAGATTCTTTAGGTAATATATTATTTTTATTTTAATTAATAATTATTACATGAGAAATACTTATTTTATATAGCTGAGAAGCAAAATCCTGTGTATATTGATAAAGATGTGAAGGGGATTTTGAGCCAATCATCAAGCGAAGAGGAAATTGGCCACGGCGACATTCCAACAAAGAAAATTGTTGTAGCAGATGTAATCTATAATCCACCCCATGAAGGTATCAATTCCTATGCTTTTACAATTAATCCTAGATTTATTTTTCCATATAGCACAAACACGAAGAATTAAACCTAGATTAAGGCATACAGCTTCAAATCATCCAGAAAACGATATTATTGGATTCGGATCATCGCAAACAATAACTGTATTCAATTATGAAATTAGTATAACAAAATAAATATTATAGAAATTTTTTAGCTACCAGGGCAGACATTGGACAGTGAAGAGGGTCAGATAATGCATAAAAGAAACGTGAGTGTTTCAGCTAGAACTGGTACAAGATCTTGTTCTTTGAGATCTGAAAGTGAAACTAGGCCTAAAAGCACACGAGGTATGAGTACTTATTGATTTATTTGTTTTAATAAAATAAAATAATTTAGTAATCAGAAACGTATCGACAACAGTGAGAACCCTGAGTAGCGTGATTGAGGCTGATAATGAATCGAGAGGTCAACAATCGAGTAGTGATGGGGTTCCAAGTGGATGCACCATTACCATACATAAGGTATAATGATGGTAGATATAATAGTAGAGTTTAAATGAAATTTGTTTTTTCTAGTAAATGAATGAAGAGAATTGGAAGAAAAATGTACTACTTTTTTTATTTTGGGCCAATAGAATTGAAATTTATCCCATCTAAGTTCAATAAATGCTGTTTATTATTGTTTTTGTTTTGTTGACTTTATCAAGATCAAATGAACAGTTAAATGTCAAGGTGGAAAAGGAGGAATCTATTAACGACACACGTGAATATTGACAGACTGTTGAATCTTTATCTCTGATTGAAGCATTATAATAGTCTTAACCTAACGTCTAACACTGACAAGCCAAGAAGAGAGTTGATGAAAAAGAAAGGCTACGTTCTAACATTTGGCCCTCCTCTTTTTTGTTCTCGAAAATAGTACAATAATCTTCTTAGTCGTTCCTCTTCACCGGGTTTTTGTCTACGTTCTGGATTTATTGTCACAATGGGGCTTCTAGTCTCATCGTCACCATAGTTTACCATTATATGATTCTCAGACTCGTCTTGTTCTAGTTCATCATCATCATAGTCATTTTCGAAATCATTATATTCAGATAATTTGAATATTTTCATTGCATCAACAGCGACTACTCCTTTGTAGAACTTATGGGTACACTATGTCTCAGGAAGGTCTTCTATTCGATATCTGTCATTCAGTATTTCTCCAATAGTTTTTTGATTCGCCTGTAGGTGGATTTGATTATTTTCTAACTAAGACAAAATCTCCTGGAATATAGTTTGTCTATTTTGCTCTTCCCTTATTAAATCTCTTTCTCTGCTTCTCTTGATCTTTTCTAATGCATCTTGTCCTCGTTCTTCTATATCTCCACCCAAGTCTTGATTGTCTAGCTCAACTTGTATGACATCACCATCTATCTGTCTCGGTTCGAAGCTAAATAATAACTAAAAAGGTGTTCTTTCTGTAGCTTTGTGCAAAGTATTATCAATTCCATACTGAATTCTACCAACATATTTATCCCAATCTTCACCATCTTGACTTGTTAGTGCTGGAATTAAATATCTATTTACTACTTTGCATACGTTTTTGGACGGAATTCCAGTGAATGAAGTACCTGTATCTGTAATAATTTTGTGTGGTGGACCTACTATATTCATTATTTCTTCTAAAGCTTTTGCAGACATCACTGATCTCGTATTTCTAACTGGTTTCAAGAACACAAAATTCGTGAATCCATCTATTATCAATAGTATGTAGTGTTTTCCTCTTGTACTCAGGCGGTCTAAGTGCAATGTGTGAAATAGAAAACCAATTTTTTCTATAGAATGAAGTTTGCCTGGAGGTTAAACAATCTGTGCGAGCTCTAATATATGTAGGTCTTAACATAGTTTTTCATTCTTGGTTACTAGTAGAGTTTTCTAAGTTTATCCAAAGTTTTTGGGAGGGAGGGGTATCCTAAATCATCGTAATATTTCTTCGTGATCCTCCATCTAACTTTACTAAGTACAGGGTTATCTATTATAAATGTCACCCCCTTCTAACTTTTTTATTTGACATTTTCGACAGAAGTGTCAAATATAAAAGTTTCAAGAAATTGTCGAAAGTTTTCAACTGAGTCAATTTTAGGCATACAGGGTGCGTCAAAAAGTACAGTAGTGTGAAGTTATATTTTTCTAAATGGAACACCCTGTATATTGTGCGCTTATTTGTTAGTCCCTTTCAACTTGATTTCAACGATATATGGTTTGATACGTCTATCTTCAATAGTTATAGGGAAAAACATGAAAATCCCTGTCAAGTTTTCATATTGAAAAAAGAAATATCATGCCATTAAAGCTTTAGAGAATTTTTTTTATAAACAGTTTATTGTTCAAATTTTATTCAATAATATACAAGGAGAAATATTATAATAAATCTAGTTGTCTAAGTTATTTTTAATATTAAAAAAAAAAAAAAAATAACATGAGAGATCTGAAGAGATTTTCTCGTTTTTCCCTTTGACTATTGGAGATAAACCTAGAGATAAACATATCAAACCGTATATCGTTGAAATCAGGTTGAAGAACTGACTTAGTTAAAAACTTTTGACAATTTCTTAAAACTTTTGTACTTGACACTTTTGTCAAAAACGTCAAATGAAAAAGTTAGCAGGGGGTGACATTTATAATAGATCACTCTGTACAACCCATAATAAATTTCATTTTGTTTCATGAACGTTGGGCGCCAATTTGTAACATTTTTAAACCCCTTAAAAGCTCCTGACGAGAATGAGTGGTTGCAATGCTTATCTCGTGGCTTGCACAAGCAAAGACATCTCATACCAACAGAAATAATTCTCGAAAAATGTTTAAATACACTAGGAAACACATTCCATGAAACACGGGATTTATGGTCTATTAAGAAATTTGTGCGGAGAAACTAGAATCAACAATCCAGAAACCAGAAAAGCGGTTCAAAGTGTACTGACTAAAAAAACGACTGAGATAGAATTTTCGAGTAGAAAAAAATTTCTGTAGTGAATAGGAAAATAATATGGGCCATTAGCACTCTGTTAGGCGCCAATTTGTAAAAATCTCTAATCACATACTCATTTCCGATTCTTCTTCAGCAATCTTCGACTTTTTGGCTAATATATGTCCATATTATTTTCAAATTTTCTTCTTTTTGATATAAATATAACCAATCATAATTACTTGTACTCCCAAAAAAATCTGCATCATAATATCAATGAGCTGCTTTCATCAACTACATTTTCATTGGTCCAGTGAAATTTTCATTAATCCTAAGTACAGAAAACTACAAGTATTATGATTTCATGAATAGCTATCCTGTGTTTCAGTAAGTTATTAATAGCAATCTACATGAATCTATGTTGGATAGTGCATCGATTACATAAGCTAAGTTCATTGATATTATGAAATTAGAACTTGTCAATGCATTGCAATCTGTAATACATACAAATTCTATGCCGATGAGGTATACTCTCAATCTCTCCAATACCCAAACTAAGCATTGAGTTTCCAATTCTGATGAGTGATATTTCTGTTCTTCGGGTGTAGTCTGTCTACTTACATATACTACAATCAGATCATCTGACTGCCTCTAAAGAATGCTGCTGTTCTGTGTCCCATTTGAATTCTATATCTTTAGATAGCAAATGTGTTAAGGGTTTGGCCTTTATCGCCTATAATTAGAGATAAATCGACGGAAATATGAGGAAAGTCCCAGAAATTGTCTAAGATTAGTCACACTTTTAGGTTCAGGAAAGTCTAAAACACACTTTAATTTTTTTCTATACTCGGTTTAATTCCATTTGACGATGTTTCAGAACCCAAGTAATCTATAGTCTTGAAAAGGAAATAACATTTCTTTAAATTTAACTTTAAGTTCGCACGTCTCACAACTTTCCTCTAAATTTTCAAGTCCTTGATCAACCGATATTGCCGGTAAAAGCCATATATACCATCGCTATGGTATAACGCAAAGGTCCGAGTACACTATTTATCAATTTTTGAAACATTGCCGGTCCATTAATAACCCCAAAGGGCATGCGCGTAAATTCAAACATACCGTCAAGGCGTCACGCACGTGGTTTTACGCTGTGAGTCTTTTTCAACCGGAATTTGATAGTAACCACTTCGCAAGTCTAATGTGAAATAGTCATTGGAAATATTTCATACCGAATAAACAATCTAGTTGGTCATCGATAGTCGATACAGAGTCTTTCATCACCCGTTTTCTTACGTACCACTAAAAAACCACTTCCTCATCTCGCGAACTTTCTGTCTCTCACTAAAACTCAGTTTATAAGGTCGAATGTCTCTATTTTAAACTCAACTTCATTACAACATCCTAATTCTGAGACATTAAACGCCAAACAGTCAATGTATTGATTAAACAAATCCCTAAGGTCAGTTTTATTCTTCAAGGTCACATCCGAGTTTGCATTGATTATATCCAATAACTAGCCTATCCAAAACACGTGACTTTAACAAGCAAACAAAGGGTTTGTGTGTGTAACATTTTTCAAAAAGAACTCTCGGAAAAGTCTCGATAACTTTACTTCAAAAAGTTGGAGGTTTAAGACTTAAAATGACTACTGGCAACGCCGGTTCTGTAAGACAGGATGAATACATGGTGCAATCGACTGGCATGTCAACGTTAGAGGCAGACAGATAGATAAACGAATTGCACCCGTGCACATTTCTTCATTATTTTGGTCAAGCGAATGACCGGTTCAGAGGAGAATACGAGTGTAACACTCGTTCTCCTGGGAACGCTGCTCCCCTGTTTCAAGAATAAGGACCTTAATGCATGCCTACCATGATCCCCTTCGAGTAGCTCACCTCTCGGCCCATGGAGGGTCTTGTTATCACAACAAACATCAGCTTATAAATGAGATGTGGTGTCACATACATGCACTCGATACATTTTTCTGCAGTCAATACAGTGAATGGAATACATGGACCATGCCAAAAACACGTCGCCCGCTTCGTGTGATTCGAGAAAATAGACTCGCGGTTTTTCGTTTGCCGCGACCGGTTAAATCAAGACGGTTTCGTTGCACTCCTTCGCATTGGACAACTTCCTGAATGAGCTGGTCAGCTGAATGGAGTTTGGAAGTAGAGCATGGTAAGGTGAAAAAATATCCTTTTCAGTTTCGATATCTTTCAATTTCATTTCAAAATCTTCCATCGATTACCATTCTATCAGCAACCTGTGGATTTTCCAGTTTTAATTTCGCACATTAATTTGGTCAGTCATAATACAGTCGCATGTAGTCTCAGGAAGGTCTTCTATTCGATATCTGTCATTTGGTAATTTCTCCACAATAACATATGGTCCTTTGCATCCATATTATCCTAGATACGACAATATTTCTCCAATAGTTTCTTTGATTCGCCTGTAGGTGGATTTGATTATTTTCTATTTAAGACAAGATCTCCTGGAATGTAGTTTGTCTCTTTTGCTCTTCCTTTATTAAATCTCTTTCTCTGCTTCTCCCGATTTTGTCTAGTCTTTTCTAATGCATCTTGTCTTCATTCTTCTATGTCTCCACCCAAGTCTTGATTCTGTAGCTCATCTTGTATGACGTCACCATCTATTTGCCTCGGTTTGAATATTAATTTAAAAGGCGTTCTTTCTGTAAGTCTGTGCAAAGTATTATTAATTCCATACTGAATTCTATCAACATATTCATCCCAATCTTCACCATCTTGACTTGCTATGCTGGAATCAAATATCTATTAACTCGTTTTATTTGTCCTCGCGGAGTCGACGTAGTAATTAAAATATGACTAATCTTTTTGTCTTTGCATAAATTCTTGGACGGAGTTCCAGTAAATGAAGTACCTCTATCTGTAATAAATCTGTGTCTATATTACTTATTTATTCTAAGGCTTTTGCAGAAATCACTGATATCGTATTTCTGACTGGTTTTAAGAACACAAACTTCGTGATTCCGTCTATTATCACTAATATGTATTGTACTCTTGATAAAAGGCCCCAGGTAGTCTAAGTGCAACGTGTGAAATGGAAAAAATTTTGTCTATGGAATGAAGTTTGCCTGGAGGTTTTCCACTAGGTATTTTATTGTATAAACAATCTGTTCGAGCTCCAATATATGTAGTTCTTAACCTAGTTCTTCATTCTTGGTTACCAGTAGAGTTTTCTAAGTTTATCCAAAGTTTTTGGGTGAGAAGGGTATTCTAAATCATCGTGATATTTCTTCGTGATCCTCCATCTAATTTTACTAAGTTCAACCCATAATAAATCTTCATTTTGCTTCATGAACGTTGAGCGCCAATTTGTAACATTTTTAAACCCCTTAAGAGCTCCTGACGAGAATGAGTGGTTGCAATGCTTACCTCGTGACTTGCAAAGACATCTCATGCTAACAGAAATAATTCCCGGAAAAAGTTTAAATAACACTAGGAAAAACATTCCATGGAACACGGGATTTATGGTCTATTAAGAAATTTGTGGTTGCCCTGAATCCGGAGAAACTAGAATCAACAATCCAGAAACCAGAAAAGCGGTTCAAAGTGTACTGGCTGAGAAAATGACAGATAGAATTTTGAAGTATAAAAAAATTTCTGTAGTGAATAGGAAAATTATATGGGCCATTAGCACTTTGACCCATGAACGTTAGGCGCCAATTTGCAAAAATTTGCAAAAATCTCTAATCTCATACACATTTCCTATTCTCTTCTCTTCTTCAGTAATCTTCGACTTTTTGGCTAATATATGTTCATAATATTCTTAAGTTTTGGATCTTCTTTCTGATATAAATATAACCTATCATCTTCTTCAAGGGCGTTTATCATTACTTGTACACTCAAAAAAATCTGCACCATAATATCAATGATTTGTTTTTATCAATTACATTTTCATTGGTTCAGTGAAATTTTTATTAATCCTAAGTACAGAAAGCTGCAAGTATTATGATTTCATAAATAGCTATCCTGTGTTTCAGTCTCAATGCATTGCAATCTGTAATACATACAAATTTTATGCCAATGAGGTATACTCTCAATCTCTCCAATACCCAAACTAAGCACAGAGTTTCCAATTCTGACGAGTGATATTTGTGTTCTTCGGGTGTAGTCTATCTGCTTACATATTATACTACGCAGAGGAGATCAGATCATCTTACTGTCTGAAGAATCATACCGCCAAATTCAATTAAGCTGGCATCTGTGTGTACCCCTGTGTACGCTCCGCAGGCTTATATTATGCAAAAACATCAGTCTAAGTGAGCACTTTCTTCAACTGTTCGAATGCCTGCTTCTGTTCTGCGTCCCATTTGAATTCTTCATCTTTAGGAAGCAAATGTGTTATATAAGAGGGACAGAAATATGAGGAAAGTCCCAAGAATTATCTGATATTAGTTACACTTTTAGGTTCAGGAAAGTCTAAAACACACTTTTATTTTCTTCTACCCGGTTTAATCCCGTTCGACGATAGTTTAGAACCCAAGTAATCTATAGTCTCGAAAAGGAAATGCAATTCTTTAAATTTAACTTTAAGTTCGCATGCCTCAAAACTTTGAGTCTCTAAATTTTGAAGTCCTTGATTAACCGATATTGCCGGTAAAAGCAGGTCATCCATATATGCCATCGCTATGGTATAACGCAAAGGTTCGAGTACACTATCAATTTTTGAAACACTGCTTGTCCATTAACAACCCCAAAGGGCATGCGCGTAAATTCAAACATACCGTCAAGGCGTCACGCACGTGGTTTTACGCTGTGAGTCTTTTTCAACCGGAATTTGATAGTAACCACTTCGCAAGTCTAATGTAAAATATTTCATACCAGATAAACGATCTACACCATTTCCAAATTCAAGCGGCAGTAAATGACATTTTAATAACCTAAATTGTAAACAAACACCGGCCTTCCTATTGGTTGAAACGCCCTAGCTGGATTAGTGCGCATGCACGGAGGACATTTGATAGGTTGTAATGAAAATGACCAGTTTGTCATTTACTGCCGCTTGGATTTGGAAATGGTGTAGTTGGTCATCGATAGTCGCGCGATACAAGTTCTTTCATCACCCGTCTTTTTACGTACCACTAAAATAGGACTAGCGGAGTCCGAATTCGAGTCAATAACGATACCTGCGCTTTTAAGCTCCTCAACTATCTAGCGAACTTTCTGTCTCTCGCTAAAACTCAGCCTACAACGTCGAAAAGTACGGGTCTTCTGTTAATGTCTCTATTTTAAACTTCATTAAAACATCCTAATTCTGAGAAATGAAACGCGAAACAGTCAACTTATTGATTAAACAAATCACTAAGGTCAGTTTTATCCTTCAAGGTTACATCCGAATTTACATTGATCATATCCATTGTTATCGGTCTTATCTGACACTAATGACAGTTCGGACACTGGAGCTATGGAGCTTCGAGGCCTCGCTGAGGCGCTAGCGGTAGGAATAGACGACCCCGGGGCTTGACGCCTCGATTAAAAAGAACGGTTGTTTACATTTTAAAATCGTGATATAGGGCGCCTAAGTCACTGAAAAGAAAGCAGTCCTAATCTGATAGGTACTATGTAAATGTCAGTTCTAGCATGCGCCAGGTCTAAACCTATGTCAACATTTCTAGCTATGCCCAAAGGCTTGATTTTTCCTCCGCTAAAACCTTTGATCCATATGTCACTTGTCAATTTGTCATACTTCAATTTTAGGTTTTCAGCATCTGATAATCTCAATCTTAGCATATTGCATTGACTACTTAAGTCCACATAACATTTTATCGAGGATTTTATACTATTGACAGTTGCTTTCTGAAAATACTTGAGATTCTTCTCTTTTATACCACTATTTTGTGAGTTTACCGCTATTACTGTGGTTCGCTGGTTTGTCTGAGGTGTTTCAGGGTGGCTTGACGTGTTGATTCTGGAAGCAATATTTCGAGATGTGCCCATTTTTCTTGCATTTGAAACATAGGGGCTTGTCTTCAGCATTTCTAGCTGGTGGCTAGAGTGCTGTTGACCCTCTACTCTGGTATGACTAGTTTGTCGTGGTGTCTTAGCTGCGTCATTACTTAATGTCTGTGGTACCTGGTCTTGCTTCTCACTTGTTTTCTGAGCATTATTCATGTTTTCCTTGTTCAAGTTAGTTCTATCGAAGTTACCTCTATAAATGCCAAGTCAAATACCAATATTTAGCTCCTTCTACTAACCTCGTTCTTACTGTTTCCAACATGTAGCTGTCTGGAACACAAAGTCTGGAATTTGGTGTAGGGTTTACGTGCTAGTTAATGTGTCCAACCACAAAACTGCCTTCGGAGGGGTTCCATCAAAAGTATCAATGTTTCTCAAAATTTCTGGGAACACAACAAGATCTTGTGCGAGTGTTAGGTATGCAGGTTCTACCCCACTGTTCCTGTTGGAGTACCACCGCTGAAACCGTCTCTGGAATCATGAAAATCGTCACTCATTTTACGTCACTTTAAGTTCACTTTTCGTAACTTCAATAATAACTTCACGACTTCACTGTCCTCACGTCTTTACAGACATTTTTCAAAAAGAACTTTCGAAAAAGTCTCGATAACTTTGCTTCAAAAAGTTGGAGGTTCAAGACTAAAAATGACTACGGGTAACGCTAGTTCTGAAAGACAGGAGGAATACACGCTGCAATCGACTGGCATGTCAACGTACCCATCAAACTTATATCAATATGAGTTAGAGGCAGACAGATAGATAAAAGAGTTGCACCCGTGTGCATTTTTTCATTATTTTGGTCAAGTGAATGACGGGTTCAGGGGAGAATACGGGTGTAACACTCGTTTTCCTGGGAACGCTGCTCCCCTGTTTCAGGAATAGGGACCCTGATGCATCCCTACCATGATCCACTTCGAGCAGCTCTTTTCTCGACCCATGGGGGGTCTTGTCATCACAACAAACATCAGTTTATGAATGAGATGTTGTGTCATGTATATTCTTCTGCAGTGAATGGAATACATGGACTCATGCCAAAAACACGTCGCCCGTTTCGTGTGATTCCTGAATGAGTTGGCCAGCTGAATGGAGTTTGGAAGTAGAGCACGGTAAGGTGAAAAAAAAAATCCTTTTCGGTTTCGATAACTTTCAATTCATTTTAAAATCTTTCATCAATCAGCAACCTGTGGATTTTCCAGTTTTAATTTCGCACATTAATTTGGTCATAATACAGTCGCATGTAGTCATAATACAGTCGCTTGCAATCGTTATAAACTCTGTGCAGTCCGAGGTGCAGTCACATGTAGTAGCGTACATTCCATATACACTCGCGAAAAATCGTGAGCAGTCGCTGCGAGTAGAGCCTGTAATCTTGTTAGAAATTGCTGAAAAGTCAATGCAATCAACTATCATCTTTGATGATGATGATCCTTTTATGTCAAAAGGTCTCACAATCATTTTGGCAGACCCACAATCACCAGGAAATCTATGACAATCCTTGGAAATCACTGCGATTTCCATGGTAATCCTCAACAGTCACCTCAAATCATCGGACAGTCTCACAAATCGCAGCGACTGCCAGGAAGTCATAGGATTGTCGCAATACGTGTACATTTTTTGAAGGAGTGGTTACCTTTTATCCGTGTTAAGATGTCATTGAGCAGAATATTAGGATCGATGCAAAAGAAAGGCTACGCGGTCCAAGTAATTTTATTCACCTCATAGCTATTAATTTTCTCACCTAACAGGCACCTGTCACTCTGACAATCAGATAAATCAAAATTCTAGCAAAGTTAGCACACACATTTTTTTTTTTTCAAATTTCCTGTAATTATGCAAGCCTGGTGTCAGGACCAGCCACAGCCCACACAGCACAACGAAGACTGGTAAGAATTACCAAAATATTATGTCTAAACAATTTTAAAAAAAGCGAATGTTGCAGATGCATTCAAATACCGCAAAAGCCATATGAAGATGACAAGGGAACATTAAAGTAAGTAATTCTGGAATTTTTCCTTTAATAATTTAAATCGTTTTTTAGTCAATCTTCCGTTTTTCATCATTATTATCAAATTCCTTGCGCCACTTGCGGTGAAACACATTATCAGCAAAGCACCACTGTAGTTGGGACTCTACCTCACAAGCAATCAGCAATGTCTAGCTACTATTCAAATATTTGTAAGATTTTTATTGAAATATTAACTACAATGACTGATTGGTTGGTTTTTAGCTAACAAAGGACAAAAACCCGAAAGGGCTAGTTACTTTTCGACTGTTTGTAAGATTTTGGTTTATTAAAATACATATTACAATGACTAATTGTTTAATTTTCAGCAAATAGACAAGGACAACCTCCAAGGGCTAGCTACTTTTCAACTTTTTGTAAGGTTTTTAATTGAAATCTATTTCAATGACTGATTGTATGGTTTTTCAGCAAACAAGCCAGCACAACAAGCAAGGCCTAGCTACTTTTCGACTAACAAACAGCCATCATATAACTTAGGCTCACTATACAGTAAGGAATTGAAATCTAAGAGTTTTTTTATATTGTAATGTGTTTTTTTTTAAAGATGGAAGAAAGTCTATGTTTAAGCGAAATGGTTTAGATTGGGATGATGACGAAATTGGTGAGTAAAAATTAATTTGTCTTCTCTGATGATGGATTTCAAGAAAATGAAAATTTTCTCATAACTGAGAAGAGGTCGATTTTCCAGTTATAATATAGAGAATTTGATGCTCTTTCTAATAATGTATAGTTTTCTTTGGTTTGTTCAAATTATAATGAAAATATTGGTAATTTTTCTCAAGTCGGAGGAGGCTGAAACTCGGAATATAGGCTTTTATAGAATCCTTTTACCTATTTACCCAGTTTAGTTCGAATCGGCCAAATTGTATAATATTCTGTTTATATTCCTAAAGTTCAGGTTGTATTCATTTCAATCTCATATCATATGATGGACTAAAAGTTGTGAGAAAATAGAAGCTTGGTTTTCTAAAAAAGTTAAAAATAATCTTGATTATTTCCCAATCATTCAATGTTTATCAATCTTCTAGATAACAGGCCAAAGAATTTTGCGCTGCAAACCTGCAAAGACACAGGAGTTGGAGGTGAGTACATGAAACTTTGCGAATCATTGAATGACTTAATGCTGTTTCAGATTGTCCAATTTGTCTTGCCAGAAACGTATGCCATCAAGGTAAACAAAATTCAATCTCAACTTTCAATTAATTTCCTATTTCTTTAGAAACATGTCAACTTTGCTATGAAGAAAATGTCTGCGGTCCCAACTTGAAAAACTGCCCCTTCGGCTTAGCAGAGGAAACGCAAACTGAGCTTTGCAATGAGACAGGAATCCCGTGCGGCTGTAAAGATTATTGCGAATCAACTGGGGTCCAGTGCAGATGTATCAATAAAAGCTGCAATACTAGCCAACATTGTATGTTAGTAGATAACCAATGTGTTTGCCCTTTCACCCAGGAAGAGTGCAGATGTATTGACAAAAGTAAGCTTATACAATTTATAAGTAGAAACAAGGGGCAAACCACCTAGGAATTGTTTGCCAAAAATGTGGGGAATTTAGAGAAATTTGTGGGGAATTTGTAGGAATTCATCCGAATTTATGAGAATTTGGGGAATTTATAGGGAACTTGGAGGAATTTATGGGGAATTTGGGAGAATTTGTGAGGAATTCATAAAGAATTTTAAAAAAATTGTCAAATTTAAAAAATTCAAAAGAATAATGAATACAGTTTTTGAAGGTTGATTTCCAAGATTTTTCATGTTACTGTTTTTCACTGGAAAAATTTGAAATTTTGAAAAAATGATCTTCTCACCTTCCTCTTTACATACAAAAAGTTTCAAAATTTTCCCTTCACTAGTTTTCTAGGAAAATTTTGAAATGTGTGAGACTGTATTTTCAATCAATTCAGTTATTGTAGGTTGATTTCCAAGATTCCTCATATTGCAATTTTCCACTGAAAAAATTTTAAATTTAGAGAAAATGAGCCTTCAACCTTTCTACTCTTCACATGCAAAAAGATTCAAATATTTGCCTTCACTAGGTTTCCAGGAAAACTTTGAAATGTGAGACTGTATTTTCAATTAACTCAGTTATTGTAGGTTAATTTCCAATATTCCTCATGCTGTTATTTTCCATTGGATAAAATTGAAATTTTGGGAAAATGAGCTTCTCACCTTCCTCTTTACATGCAAAAAGTTTCAAAATTTTCCCTTCTCTAGTTTTCCAGGAAAACTTTGAAATATGTGATACTGTATTTTCAATTAATTCAGTTATTGTAGGTTGATTTCAAATATTCCTCATGTTATTTTCCACTGGAAAAATCTGAAACTTTGGAAAAATGAGCTTCTCACCTTCTTCTTTATATGCAAAAAGTTTCAAAATTGTCCCTTTACTAGTTTTCCAGGAAAACTTTAAAATGTGTGGGACTGTATTTTCAACTAATTCAGTTTGTGTAGGTTGATTTCCAAGATTTTTCATGCTGCTGTTTTCCACTGGAAAATTTTAAAATTTTGGGAAAATGAGCTTCTCAGCTTCCTCTTTACATGCAAAAAGTTTCAAAATTTTCCCTTCTCTAGTTTTCCAGGAAAACTTTAAAATATGTGAGACTGTATTTTCAACTAATTCAGTTTTTGTAGGTTCACTCCCAAGATTTTTCATGTTGCTGTTTTCTACTGGAAAAATTTTAAATTTTGGGAAAATAAGCGTTACACCTTCCTCTTGACATGCAAAAAGTTTCAAAATTCTCCCTTTACTAGTTTTCCAGGAAAACTTTAAAATGTGTGGGACTGTATTTTCAACTAATTCAGTTTGTGTAGGTTGATTTCCAAGATTTTTCATGTTGCTGTTTTCCACTGGAAAATTTTGAAATTTTGGGAAAATGAGCTTCTCAGGTTCCTCTTTACATGCAAAAACTTTCAAAATTTTCCCATCTCTAGTTTTCCAGGAAAATTTTAAAATATGTTAGACTGTATTTTCAATTAATTCAGTTATTGTAGGTTGATTTCCAAGATTCCTCATGTTGTAATTTTCCACTGGAAAAATTTGAAATTTAGAGAAAATGAGCTTCTCACTTTCCTCTTTACATGCAAAAAGTTTCAAAATTTTCCCTTCTCTAGTTTTCCAGGAAAACTTTGAAATATGTGATACTGTATTTTCAATTAATTCAGTTATTGTAGGTTGATTTTCAATATTTCTCATGTTGTTATTTTCCACTGGATAAAATTGAAATTTTGGGAAAATAAGCTTCTCACCTTCCTCTTTACATGCAAAAAGTTTCAAAATTTTCCCTCCTCTAGTTTTCCAGGAAATCTTTGTAATATGTGATACTGTATTTTCAATTAATTCAGTTATTGTAGGTTGATTTCAAATACCTATTCCTCATGTTGTTATTTTCCACTGGAAAAATCTGAAACTTTGGAAAAATGAGCTTCTCACCTTCTTCTTTACATGCAAAATGTTTCAAAATTCTCCCTTTACTAGTTTTCCAGGAAAACTTTAAAATGTGTGGGACTGTATTTTCAACTAATTCAGTTTGTGTAGGTTGATTTCCAAGATTTTTCATGTTACTGTTTTCCACTGGAAAATTTTAAAATTTTGGCAAAATGAGCTTCTCACCTTCCTCTTTACATGCAAAAAGTTTTAAAATTTTTTCCTTCTCTAGTTTTCCAGGAAAACTTTTAAATATGTGAGACTGTATTTTCAACTTATTCAGTTTTTGTAGGTTGATTTCCTAGATTTTTCATGTTGCTGTTTCCTACTGGAAAAATTTGAAATTTTGGGAAAATGAGCATCTCACCTTCCTCTTTATATGCAAAAAGTTTCAAATTGTTCCCTCCACTAGTTTTCCAGGAAAGCTTTGAAATGTGTGAGATTGTATTTTCAATTAATTCAGTTATTGTAGGTTGATTTCTAAGATTTTTCATATTGCTGTTTTCCACTGGAAATTTTTGAAATTTTGGAAAAATGAGCTTCTCACCTTCCTTTTTACATGCAAAAAGTTTCAAAATGTTCCCTTCACTAGTTTTCCAGGAAAACTTTGAAATGTGGGAGACTGTATTTTCAACTAATTCAGTTTGTGTAGGTTGATTTCCAAGATTTTTCATGTTGATATTTTCCACTGGAAAATTTTTAAATTTTGGGAAAATGATCTTCTCACCTTCCTCTTTACATGCAGAAAGTTTCAAATTTGGAGGAATTATGCGAAAAAAATTCCCCTTTGTGAAATTGTTTGCACTAATTCTGGGATGGTGGTTTACCCCTTGAGTAGAAACAACTTGTACAATAATTCTTCAATTTCAGGTTGTCAAACTACCCAATCGTGCGTCATTTTAGAAGAAGGAAGCATATTTGATGGCTTTCAAGACATACCCGATGACACTCCTCATACAACTCCAAGCTTCAGAAGTACTCACGAGGTGAGAAGTGCAGATCCAAATATCAAAAATGAGTCCACTCAGATTCAACAAGAAGTTATTTATAGTACACCCAGTGGCACCAAAAAACCAACCACTAGTTATGTTAGTGTTCAAGAAAAGCATTGTGTGATTCCTGAGGAAAATAGAGATTATGACGAAGGCACTTTCTTATGCGATGCAAAGTTGCAGCAACCAGGTAATGATGTAGAAGTATTAAATCATACTCATTATTATATTTATCCTGATGATGAAAATGAAAATTTTTGAATAAATTTTTTAATTTTTATATTATTTTCGTTATTCAAGTTCTTAGAAAGTGGGAGTGCTATTACAGTGTTGATTTTGATTCATCATAAGGTAAGTTTAGATGTTTTTTTTTTTTTTAATCACTTTACACTTTCTAAGAATTTGTAATAAAATAATTTAGTTTTCAAATTTTTTATTTTTTTTTTAGCTCGTATAGTTCGCTTAAGCAAAAGCCAGGAAGGAAAATACTATCGTAAATCGTGAGTGCACTTGGATTTATGCAATTTAAGGTGTAAACAGTTTGTTTTTAGCTCTGGAAGCTCATCTGGAAACGATACTGATCACTATTCTATTACCTTCGAAGGTGAAGCAGAAGATAGTGATTCACATAAGGGTACGAAAAAAAAGTGCAACTGGATCTCTAAATGTTTATACAGAAAGAAATCTACATCTAAAACAACTCAGTAAGTAAATAGTGCATTTTCTTGTTGATTGAGTTATGAATTATTATTGTTCTAGAGCGTCCAGAAGTAGTAAAGGCGACAAGAAAACTGTCCAAAAATCAGAAATTGTAATACTAGCACCAAGGAAAAGGTAAGAGTTTAGTCATTTTGATGAAACCATAAGTTTCAATGTACTGTTTCAGATCTGGTACAAATAAAATTGATAACAAAAAGCAAAAACCGAAGATTTGCCGCAAAAAACATTCAGGTCCTGAGAGGATTGTTTGTGTTAAAGAGTGCAGAATAAAAAGGTCGGACACTTGCAAGAAAAAGCCGCTATGTAATCTCACCTGTAAGCAAATGCCGCCCTGTAGTCCGGAAACTTGCAAGCAAATGCCGCCCCGTAAATCGGACATATGCAAGAATAAGTCAACCTGTTGTCCAGGTCCTAGCGAATGCAAGGAGTGGAACAGAAAACCAAAAAAATGAAGCTCCCAACTCATTTGGTGCTTTGCCTTCATTGTTATTGTTTTGTAGTTTTGTTGCCATTGAATAAAGATGTTTTAACTGAATCATTACAATAAAAATTTGAAAAAAAAAACAAATAAATAGCCGTAAAACCTTAAGTCACATCATTAAATAACTCGTTCAAACTATAGTATGCTTTACTCGTCAGTTTCTTTGCTTCTATACGAAGCCTCTTTTCAATGTTGAGCTTTCTGATCTTTAAAGGGAGTTTATTAAATTATTTTCTGCCTTCATATATGATAGAGCTACGGATGAGTTCTCACGTAATCCGGGCGCGTATTGTATTGACTCCTTTAGCTCGAATTCGCACTTATATTTCCTGAAGACGACACAGGCCGTTTCCAGAATAACAGAGAATTAGAATACTGTGGCTTAGAAACAGAGGGCGATACGAATCCCGAGGTTTGGCTCCACACAAGTATCTGATGGCCATTTTCTGAAGTAAGAACACTGAATTAAAAATATAGTCAGAGCAAAAGCCCTAGAAGTAGATTCCGTATCGAATATGGGACTCAATAATCGCGAAATATACGCACATTTGGCAATGGAGAAATTTAGGTTATTAGCAACCAGACGGAATTTTGTTGCATACTTTTGCAATATGGTCTTTAAACTTAAGGGACCTATCTATCGACGAACCTAGGAATGTATGAAACGTTGGCGTAGTGATGGGTACATTTTGTAAGTAGATATCCTCAGTAGCACATTCAAACTTGAGGATTTTGGTCTTGGATGTATTGAATGTCAGAGAATTGGCGTCGCACCAGCACTTTATTTCAAGCAAATCCGTCCTCATATTGGCCTCCATTCTACCAACATCAGAATCATGCCAGAGGATAGTGGTATCGTCTGCAAAGTTTGTGAATCTACCCGTTATCTGGAGATGTGGCAGATCATTCATATAAATGAGGAAAAGCGAGGGACCAAGTACCGAGCCCTGTGGGAGCCCCCACTAATATCAAGTTCCTTAGAGGTACCACTATTAAACTTGACAGTCTGAACGCGATCCGACAGGTAAGAACGAAACCACTCTAGGGCAGTTCCCTGAAACTATACGCACCCTTATTTCTGATATTACTGGATATACATATAAGCTCTTTTATTTCCTGATACTTTGGTCAATGAAGTTATAAATTTTGAAGACTGTATCTTCAGAATAGGTTGGCGAAGGAGAAAAAAAAATTGTCACAACTCCCCCTTTCCTACGACAGGAGGAAAAGTAACACAGGAAATTTTTCCGACGATCAGCCAAGCTTGAGAAACAAGACAGAGATGGGGAAAGTTAGAGAGAGAGAAAACCTCGGAGAAAACAAAATATCAATAAGCAAAGACATCAAATATGAAGGCCAAGTAAAGCTTTGTGTATAGTATCTGCTTACTTCGCCTCAAGAAAAACCGCGAAGGTAAGATAACCATCATCAGGTAAAGTGAAAGTAAAGGTAAAAATAAGCAAAATGGTAGAAGAGAAAAAAAAAAGAAAGAAAAGAATGAGAAGTAAGGAAGCTTTGGCCGTCCTGTGGTGAAATCTCCTATAGGTCGTTCCTACCTGTGGTGGGACTCCGTGCCACGTAGAGTTCGACATATCGAAACATATCGCATGCCGCACAGTGTGCCGAGTCTATAGAATCCTGTCGATATGTAGAATTCTACCTGACACGGAGTCCCTGGGCTGTTACCTAGTGCAGACAGGAAAAAAAAAACAGATCTTTCCAAATTGAAATTATAAGAGGGCCTATACTGTCCTGTATTGGTTTGTTGACCGTGAGACGCTGGGACTACGATATGGGCATGCTTATTCTACAGGGTGGCTTGTATTTTTCTGATATTTTCACTTTGATATCGTCTGCATAAGAATTGGCCATTGTGTTGAATATTTTAGGAATAGAGCCGAGAAAAACCGATGTAATTCTATTTTCAGAAATTTTCAACATGCTTATTTAAATAATTAATTGGAATTGATAAGTTTCTAGAAAACCTTTCCACACATTTGTTTTTTTTTTTTGTGTGGAAATAAATGAATTTAAAAAATTATTTACTACTACCTGTAGCGTTTTTATGCCGCAGATGATACCTCAATTGGAAATGCTGACGATATACATGACGTTGAAGATGGAAGAAGCTTTGCAGAACAGATAGTACAGGAAATTTTGGTAGAAGAACCTACTACTCGTTAGTATTTGGTTTGTAAAGAAGCCCCCTAGAAACTTCAATTTTTAGGTGACACCTTTTTTTCTGAACATATCATTGGGCCAAACAAAAGCACAAGCAAAAATGTAATTAGTCACTATTCTCAGACAGTTGGTAAATCTCAGACCCAAAATCCTGGAGGTATTTTGAGTAAAAAAAAATCAAACTATGAAAGCATCAGAGAGCCTACTTTTTCTAATACATGGAGGAGTCAAGGTCAGCCTGCTACAGGAATAAAAAAATATTGTGTCAAGTAAATAAAATCCACACGTTTTAAAAAAAAATCCCTAAATAAAAAATATTTTTAGTGATTTTCAAGCCCCTCGATATGATGTGCAGCCTCCAAGATCCACTTTATGGTCTAATCCACAGTCCTCACCATCTGGTTCAGTTTACACTCATACTGATCCAAGTGTACATTCAACAATGTATAATAATCTTTGGAAACATTAACATTTTATTGTTTGCGTGTGATTTTAGGCCCAAAACTTATCCGCTGCGCTCTGGTGGAACGCCATCGACAACCTCATCAGTCAGCAAAAGACACAGTGCTTTCGATGAAGAAGTATTGTAAGTTTTTTTTTTTATATATATTTTTTCCATACTAAATGGTTTTGTTTTTAGGGCTCCCCTTGCAGTCAGCGCACCTCATTCAATAAGGAAAACTGCTTCAAGTGAGTCTTTTGTTAAAAATCTAGATTTTTATAATAAAACAATCAATTTAAGATGTTATGATAAAGAAGACAGGAGCTGATAATTTTGAGGTGACTGTTGAAAATCCCACGCAACTTAGGACTGGAACTAGTAGAGTCAGCGTTACTACTTCTTCAACGCAACCACATCTTATAAGGTAACCTATGATTGCAATTAGGTACAGGGTGGTCCAATTTGGACACAAAATTGGAAAACGTCAATATATGAGCAAAATGCAAAAACAATAGGTTCGTTCCAACCCAGCCAAAAACCGTTCAATGTACGGTCACGGTCATGCGCCATAGGTTAAACGCGTTCCAACCGAGAGACGATCGTTTACCGTACAGTTTCGTTGGCGTTCCAACCAAACCTGGGATCGTTCGAGAACTGGTTTTAGCACCGTCATTTCGATCCCGAGTGGAAAGCAAGAACCGCGTGGACTGATCCATGACTGACATGCGTAATTCAATTTTTGTCACCTGTTGTTGTCGTTCATGTTGTAGTTAAACAACCAATTTCCAATCTAACCTATGAAACTGTAGCATTTTTATTTTTTCAAGTGAAAAAAAGTACAAAATTTATTATCAGCTATTTGCTGGTCCTTGATGTTATCATCTTGCAAGGATTCAGTTTCAGATTCTTGATAATGCATCAGGGTTGGTGTTCGATTTTCCTTTTTATGTTATATTATTCTGTAATCGTTTATTCTTCTATTTTAATTTGCAAACAAACAAATTTAGGGTTAAAGTTATTTGTACTGTTAAACGTCATTACGAAAACGGTCATGAAACCGTTCCAACTACCCGTTGTTTCTGTACCAAGATAAAACCGTGCAAGGTCAACGCATGCGCCTGCAATCGATCCTAACAGTTCCGAAACCGTTTCATGACGATACGAAAACGGGGGGTTGGAACGAACCTAATAACTTCCCATTCTGAGCCTCAAATTTCATTTTGAAAAAAATTCAACTTGAAAAATGAGCCGCGAAATACATTTAAATAGAAACACTTTGACATTTTAATGTTTTCCTGAAAAACTACTCGGGAACACATTTTGGAAATTTCTGGAGGGAAAACAGGCAGGCTAGGAGGTCATTATATTGAACTTTCAAAATTAAATCAGGGAAAGAGTGTACCTATATTCGATTATTGAAAAATTTACAGGGAATCCCATTTAAAAAAAAATACAAGTTGTGCCTGCCACATTTTTTGCGTGCACCACCTTGTAGTGTTAGTGTATATATAAAAGTTTTATTTTCTTCGAAAGTTCTCCTAAATCCCTATTTAATTTGTATTCGAGGAGTAAACCGCAAGGGAAATAGGTGTACAAATTCGGGAAAATCAAGACGAAATCTAAGACAATCAAGAGAAATCATAGGGAAATCAGAGGAAATCAAGGGAAATCTCAAAGGAACTCTTAAGGGAATCATGGGAAATCTTTAAGAAATCAGCGAGGAAATTAATCAATTTCTAAAGTTCATTTCACGAAACGAGATAGTGGAAGTAAACAAACTTTGACAGATAGGTCAAATTTTATTGGCTAGAAAAGGATTATAATCCGCCCTAGGCAGGACCGTCTTAGGTTGTTTTGTATTTCTCCTCTCTGAATATATTTCCAAACGAATTATTCAGCGGAATCTGTTGAACTTGATATTGTTTTAAACTAAATTGCTCACTAATTAACAATAATTCACCAAACACTATTCAAATAATTGTAAAATACTACGAAATACGACATTAAACTTATTGATTCATATGACAATCTGACAATAATAAATGTCATTAGTTGTAATTTGTAATTCATATTTTTGTAGTCCTTCTCTGAATTTTTAAGCTCCGCCTGTTTGTTTACCTCTACTATCTCGTTTCGTGAAATGAACTTTAGTATAGTATTCACAAAGTCAGTTGAAACAAGGTAAAGGTAATTTGCAACTGGTTGTTTACTAGTGGCAGTGCATTTCTTATGAAAATATTCAGTCACCAGTTGTAATTCACCTTTACCTTGTTTCAACTGACTTTGTAAATACTATACATGCACAGTTTTCAAAAATCTTAATAGTTTGAGGCTGTTTCATGCATGGGAACTGTTGGGCAATATCTTATTGGTAATCAGAAAAAATCAAGGAAAAACATAAGACATAATTTATCATTTCTCCTAAATCCGGAATTTAGTGTACAAAAAGGTCCCTCAGGGGTAAACCACAAGGGATATCTAATGTTCAAATTAGGAGAAATCAAAAAGAAATCCGAGGAAATCTAAGGCAATCAGGGGAAATTATAAGGAAATCAAGAAAAATCTTAAGGATTTCAAGCGAAATCTTAAGAAAATCATGAACAATCTTAAGGAAATCAATCAAGAAACTTTGTCAGTGGTTTCATTTTAACGTAACCTAAAACTTCTAGAAAAGGGCCGTTTGCATTCTAGAAAGAGGAAAACATGTCAATGGGATATTAACAACCATTTGTTCTCCACTTAAATCGAAAGATAATTTACAAGGGGCAAACCACCTAGGAATTCTTTGCCAAAAATGTGGGAAATTTAGAGGAATTTGTGGGAAATTTAGAGGAATTTGTGGAGAATTTGAAGGAATTCATCGGGATTTATGAGAATTTGGGGAATTTGGAGGAATTTATGGTGAATTTGGAAGAATTTGTGAGGAATTTAAAAGAAATTGTAGGGTCATGACGTCACTGAGGTTCACATTCTTATTATAAGAAATAGTAACAAATGGAATTTTTTAAAAAAAATCTAGTTTTGTGTTGAACGTTGAATATTCATTTCTATTAAAGAAATCCTCCCAAAATTACACTTTATGATTTACAGGTCCAAATTTAAAAAATTCAAAAAAATAATGAATACAGTTTTTCTACACTGATTTCTAAGATTTTTCATGTTGTTATTTTTCAATGAAAAAATTTGAAATTTTAGGAAAATGAGCTCCTCACCTTTTTCTTTACATGCAAAAAGTTTCAAAATTTTCCCTTTACTTGTTTTCCAGGAAAACTTTAAAATGTGTGAGACTATATTTTCAATTATTTCAGTTATTGTAGGTTGATTTCCAAGATTCCTCATGTTGTAATTTTCTACTGGAAAAATTTGAAATTCTGGAAGAATGAGCTTCTATACCCTTCCATTTAACATGTAAAAAGTTTCAAATTTCTCCTTTCACTAGTTTTCCAGGAAAACTTTGAAATATGTGAAACCTTCTTTTTAATTAATTCAGTTTTTGTAAGTTGATTTCCAAGATTTTTCATGTTACTGTTTTTCACTGGAAAAATATGAAATTTTGTAAAAATGAGCTTCTCACCTTCTTTTTTACATGCAAAAAGTTTCAAAATTTTCCCTAAACTAGTTTTCCAGGAAAACTTTGAAATGTGTGAGACTATATTTTCAATTAGGTAATTCAGTTATTGTAGGTTGATTTCCAAGATTCCTCATGTTGTTATTTTTTACTGAAAAATTTTGAAATTCTCGGGAAATGAGCTTCTAACCTTCCTCTTTACATGCAAAAAGTTTCAAATTTCTCCCTTCACTAGTTTTCCAGGAAATCTTTGAAATGTGTGAGACTGTATTTTGAACTAATTCAGTTTTTGTAGGTTGATTTCCAAGATTTTTCATGTTGCTGTTTTCTACTGGAAAAATTTTAGATTTTGGGAAAATGAGCTTCTAAATTTTCTCTTTTTGTGCAAAAAGTTTCAAATTCCAGGAAAACTATGAAATGTGTGAGACTGTATTTTCAACTAATTCAGTTCTTGTAGGTTGATTTCAAAGATTTTTCATGTTACTGTTTTCCACTGGAAAAATTTGAAACTTTGGGAAAATGAGCTTCTCACCTTCCTCTTTACATGCAAAAAATTTCAAAATTTTCCCTGTCACTAGTTGAAATTTTGGGAAAATGAGCCTTCAACCTTTCTACTCTTCACTTGTGGGAATTTTCAGGGAATTTCTAAGAGAAATTTGTGGGAAATTTGAAAGGAGTTTGGAGGAATTCGCAGAGAATTTAGAGGAATTTGTGGGGTATTTGAAGAAGTTCGTGGTGGGGTATTTGCAGGAATTTGTGATGGGGTATCTGGAGGAATTTGGAGGAATTATGCAATTGTTTGCACCAATTCTAGGTTGGTGGTTTACCCCTTGATAATTTAATATGTATAAAAATTAAAATACAACTTGGCCTATAAGAATAATGGTCTGTTTGGCGAGACCTTCTCCATGAACATTTCAAAATGAAGAGGTTTGGAATTATCAACAACCTGCTGATTTTCTGTCAGTTGTTTAATAAATATAATTACAATCAAATGGTCATACTGGCCTGATTTTCATGGGCAATTATTCCAGACCTAGGTAAAAAGCACTTACATTGGATAACCCTGTACAAATTACCTAAAATATTGAAAAGCTTAAGTTCATTTTAAATTATAAATAAATTAAAGACTTTGCCAGTCTCATCATCAATACAACAGGTTGCTCAACTAAATTATCCTAAGAAGCTATGAAAGTTCACAACTCTCAAATAATAATGCATGCAGACTTCTACTTCTGCAGCATAAAATTTTAACCTTTTGCCTACTGAACTAAGGAAACTTACAAGTTACAGAAGGTTTTAGTGTATTTCCAAGGAATTTTTGGTCTCTAGAGCATTTCATACTTTGGACGAATTTTCAAGGTGGACAAAACTTTTTATTTTTTTATTTGTTTCACTGTACTTGTTGGTGCTCAATTTGGCTTTAAGCTGGATGTAATTAGGTATGTTTTATTTTTCAACTAGTGATATGTATGTGCAATTAATTTCAAGCATGGCTTTGTCGACAAGTACTATGTATATAGTCAAATGAAGCTACTTTTGAATTTGAACTTATGTATTAATGACGTGTAGACAATATTTTGTTTATGGAAGCTGCGATTTTCCTAAATAATTAAATCCATTTTCAAACACAAATATTTCAAAAACGGTTGAAAGAAATATCAATATATTATAGGTATATTTTTGAAATCAGGAGAAAACTGTCTACTTATTTGATTACCCTGTACTGTATTGTATATAAAAGTTATATTTTCTAGTGGTTCTCATAAATCCCTATTTACTTTGTACTTATACAATTTCTCTATCTTACTTCATAAGCGATTTTATATGCTCTCAATATATTTATAGAATTTTATACAAAACAACCCTGTACTACAGCATAGAATTTTTTCTTCTAGTAAATCCAAACAAAGCCAAACTGTAATTCCAAAACTGCCAAGCAGAACAGTCCAAACAATTAAAACTGCCCATAAAGTGCCGAGTAAAGTGTTCAAAGTTTCCGCCATTGAAACAAAAACATCTACAAAGAACTTACCACATTTAGCAGCTATAAGAGGTACAATAATTATTGCAACCATTATAAAAAAATACCTAAATTCCTGAAATGTTTTATTTATAGAAAGAGAAGAACTCCCGGCTAGAACAACAAGTGTAATTAGTGTCAAAGAATTGACTGGTGCAAAAAAATCCCAAGTGCACTTTGATATAGATATTTCGAACAACAGCAACAGCCAGACAGTTGTTTTGAGTAGAAGCATACAGTCTTCAACAGATGACGATAAAGTTACCCTGGCAAGAAGTCGCTCAAAACTGAATTTAAAATAGTACAATATGTAAATTTTGGGCTTATAGTACAATACGTACCTTCTGAGCTTTGGCCAGGACGATCCACAACTTTCTCCATGTAGAAAACTTCTTCTGGTCGCTGAAGTTGTACTGCATTTCCTTGCTGGCATATCTGGTGCTTAGAGGTGACCTGTAGTTGGCGTAGGGGCTGTTGTAATCGATGGTTTCACCTTCTGATGCCATTTTTACTAAACGATTTGAAATGACGTATTAATGCAAGACTGTGAAACCTTACAAGCTTACCAAGTGATAATGATGACGATGATGTTTTTAAATTATTATTATTTTTTTTTTAAATAAAAGAGGTCAATAACAGAGTCGTATACTGGTATTTATTCGATTTATCAGCATTTAAATTTTAAATGTAAAAATGTAAACAAAAACATAACCTAAAAATCCGGTTAAAGAAGCTGATTCGCGCTTGCAGTGATATCGAAGAAGTGAGAGGGAAATACTGTAGGATAATTTTTTCTATTTTATTATTGGAATAGTTTGAAAAATTATGTGTTAGGTATTCTTTTTGTGCAGCGCATATGTAAATAAAATAATTATTCAAATACGAGCCTGTTGTTTTATTTCAAAATTACCACTATTGCACATTCCGCTACTACATAATGTCGATAAACTTTTTGACCCAGGAGGAGCGCTGATAATGGGATCCCCAGCAAACTTTTCGAGTCTTTATTGAATTGTTATACCTAGACAAATTTTACACGCAATCAGATTCCTAAATACGATACAATTAGATATGATTAATGATTTTCCAAAGTTTTTAAATAAGTACCTATTCAAATCAAAAGACTCATCTCCATTTCCTTCAAAATATGTCGAAATTTCAAATTTTGATATTAGGCAATTCAAACCACATGACTTTCAAGATGGCGTGGCAGCCACACATGGGCCAAAAAACACAAAAAAATATCTAGATTCTGCCCGATTTATTAGTTTAGGTACCTAGTCAACAAATATTTTATTAAATAATCCAAATCAAAGTTGCAAGCAAAACTCTAAGCAAAATAATTTGAAATAAACATAAAAACACATTCAAAACAAACTTGCTTGGCCGCCACGCCATATTGAATTTTCCTATCTGACAGATGGATTGAATTGCCTAATTGTCTCTGTCACACTGGTGTTTAGGGGTGGGGGGGCAAAGGGGGCAATTGCCCCCCCCCAGAGCAACATCTTTTTATTCCTTTTATTTTTTTAAAGGACCCCGCACATTTCTTATGGAAAAATGATCTATGTGGAATTTTGCTGAATTTTTGATATTGTGTATAGGGAGTCGTCCTTAACAAAAGTGATCATTGCGCTACTGTTCAATACCCATCAGTTTTCAAGATATCAATTAAAAACTTGTTTAATTTGATACTCTTCAGTATGACGTCACCAGTATGCTCACAGCACCGAAAATTAAAACTATCCTTTTCACTTTTAACTTTGACTACCTATACTTATACTCTTCTCCTTTTAACATTTAGGAAATAAAAAAAACAACAACAGGTACAAATGAAATCGCTATTTGACAGACATCATGACATGAACAGGGGCGTGCCGAGTTTCTTGGGGGCCCTCTCGCGAGATTTTCCTTGGGGGGTCCCGATTTTTATTAATTTCAATTTGGAAAATGACCTTTCCGGTTAGGCTGAGGTAACCGGAAGGACTAAAAATAGTTGGAAGGCAGAACACAATTCTGGTATACTACCTCTACTTAACAATAATTCATTTTTTTCAAAAATAAAGTTTGCGAATTCGCCCTACCGCACCGCCGGCCCTGCGGGCCCGTCCGGCACGCCACTGGACATGAAGTTGACGATGCACCATAGGCGATTTTCAGCAATGATTATTTATCGGTAAATACCGTGGTTATTCTTTTAGTTGACAACTTTGACAGCCAAGTGTGACGTCATAGCCTCCCACCATTCAAGAATCATAACCCAAGGAACTGACCACTGAAATGATTTGGTTATAGCAGTGTAGGATTATGTTTATTATTCTTATTTGTTTTTTCGTTTCAACAATAGTTTTTTGTTTAGGTACAGAAAATGGAGCTGAATCTCTCGTTAGTCTCGTTTATCGAACAGATTTTCTTTGGGGATGATCTAAACCTCGATCTAAACATGGTGAATTGCAGTGAGTGAGTGAATGTATACTTCTTTCATTGTGCCAGGCTACAACGCAACTGCAAAATCACAAAACACCAATACAAATTTCAAAAATAATAACAATAACATCAAAAAGCTGTAACCAAAAGATTAACCCAAGTCCAAAGTTGGGTTATAATCGGTTATAAGTGGTAAATACCAAAAGCAAATCAGCTGATATGTGACGTCACAACTCCCCTACTTTGGTTAAAACCGCGACGGCGGAAATGCATTGGTTATAACCAAATAATAATCATTCCAGGCTGAAAATCGCCTCATATTAGTTAGGTTAGGAAAAATCCGGCGCGAAATTTGAAATGGGTTCCTAAACACATTTCAACAAATTTGACAGCAATGTATTTCTTATGGGGGATTCAAAAGAGTAATTTTCACACGGGAATATCTCGGGTTCTGGGCATTTCTTAGTATTTGAAACTATTATACGGCAAAATTTGAACATATTTCTCTACAATTCATGCTCTAATTATTCGTTTAGACCTATGATTAAAAAATACAAATTATTTTAACTAAAAGTGTCTGTTTTCCGTGGACGTACGTCGGGTCTAAAACCAGCTGTAAGAAAGTGAGGTTATGTATTGTGTTATGATTATCTGTGAGTTGTTTATTTATTTATTTATCACTAGTTTAGACATTGTTTTACGATTTTTTTGGATTATTATAGTACATCTACTAACCAATATGTAGGTACACTTTTATTTTATTATAATAATAGGTACCTACCTATATATATTTATGGATCAAGCAACGACATACGTATTTTAAACAATCAACGCCTTCTTAAATTAGTGATATTTTCATTTTAACAATGTTTATCCAATTTTCAATCACTCTCTCAGTTAATTAACATACTAAAAAAACTATTTATACAACTTACTCCCCTAACAAACGTTCTATCATGTCTACAGAGGCTTTTAAAATTGATTCCCCATAAGACATCAATGTATTTGAACTAGGAACCCGCGCCAATTTGAGATTCTAACCTAACTAATATGGTGAATTAGGGAATCCAAACCACGTGACTTTTGCCAACCAGCCGGCATTTTGACATTTTTATGAGGTTAGAATACGGGTTGTTACATGTCAACGATGTCAGTATTGATAAAGCCTAGTACTCATAACAGCGAAATTCGCTGTTTTTTGACATTGCTTCGACAATTTGACGTTTTATGTGTGAATCAAACGTCAAAAACGAGCTAATTTCGCGGTTATGAGTACTAGGCTTAATCCCGTCAAAATAAAAACATATGTTTTTTGTTTATTATTTGTCAACCAGACGCCATTTGGACAGGTCGTTGGATTGCCTAATTGCGGCAAGAGCTAGGTGTTGTTTGCATACCTACCTATTTGTCACTAATCGCTATCGCTATCTTTTTTTTTTCCTAATGTTAAAAGGAGAAGAGTAAAGTCAAAATCAAAAGTGAAAAGGATAGTAATAATTTTCGTTGCTGTGAGTGACGTCATACTGAAGAGTATTATTAAAAAAGTTTTTAATTAAAATCTTGAAAACTGTTGGGTATTGAACATTAGCGCAATGATCACTTTTGTTAAGGACGACTCCCTATACACAATATCAAAAATTCAGCAAAATTCCACATAGATCACTTTTCCATAAGAAATGTCTGCGGGTTCCTTTTAAAAATTTGTCAAATAATAAGAAAATAAATTCAAAAATGTACTGAAATTAATTTAATAAATGATACTTTTTTTTCTGTCAGCACCTGTCAAGATGTTAGAAATTTAATTTCTATGCTGGTAGGCAACCGCAGCGGCAGTAGAAGTACTTTTATTGCCGCTGGAGCGGCAGCAAAAGTACTTTTAGTACCGCTCGTACTTTTACTGCCGCTTAACCATTCAGTTACCCCCGAGCTTACCCCATTCGTTTGGAGAAAAAATAGCGTGTTGCATACGGAGTAGAAGCACTTTTTTGTGCTTCAGCAACAAACCCACTGCTTCAGCACAAAAAAGTAAAGCTTCTACTCCTAATACAACAATATACTATTTTCAACTACATACTACATGAACAGGTAGCTTTTTTGTAAATAGAAACTGTTCAGTTGTACGCTGTGCTTGACAATCAGGGAATAAAAGTCAAGACTTTGTCAAAAGGCGACACCACCAAAAACACAAAAACCATCTTTCTCAAAAGATGCTCAAAAGCAATAATAATTGTCTGGTAATGCAAAAGGTACCGTAAAATCGGGGACTTCAGACGATTTTGACTTTCAGCAAGCGATATTTTCGAAACTATTTAACTTAGCGATGACTTAAACACGTCAAAAGTTGAGTCTTAATCCGTAGAATCGGTTTTATAAATTGGGTTTTATGTGAATAACGAGTTACTCAGGGTTTTTTATTTTTTTATGTCATACCAATACATTATTGTGTTTTTATACTTTAGATACCATCTACATAATTCATTACTTTATGCCCGTGCGGGCATAAAGTACACATTATGGCCCGCGCGGGCATAAAGACGCAAAAAACAGTTTTCAATTAACTTATTCTTTATTAACAAAATATAAATTTACGCTGATAAACATATTATTTTTGTCAAAAAATTATGATGTTTGCACACTGATGACAATTTGCGAAGTGACACTTTCTTCCCAGGTATTTATTATTCACAACCAGCTGGTATGACATAAAAGTTTGTATGCACCACGGGTACTAATAGATATATATACCCTCGGGCGACTTACGAACCCTCGGGCCAGAAGCCCTCGGCTTTGTAAGACTATCGCCCTCGGGGCATAATCATCTACTTAGTACCCTTGATACATAAATAACTATTTTGACTATCTCATGTCAGACGCTAGGGTTGGGTTACTTGAGACAACCATATATTTCAAGCGTTTGCTCATGTTTCAAACGAAAAGGATCACTTGAGACAAAAGAAACGTTTTTTAAAAGGTGGCTATTGACTCCTAGCTCTAGCAGGTTTGATATTGTCACACCAACGAGTGCTGAAAATGTCTCTTCAAAAAAAGCCGGACCTAATCTTTTCCAGGCAAGTTATTTTTCTTGAATTTTTGATCACTCGGTCCGTCTTTCCGATTTTACTAAACGTTTTAAGTCGTTTCTTATAATAAGAAAGCCCCTACGGCAAGAAACTCCTGAATTTTCCACCAATTCTCTGCTCCTATTCCACTGTAAAGACAATTTGACCAACGGGATTTTTTGTATTAAGATTATTCACTTTTCGTTGAATGGTGCACCTGGAAATGCCATATATTTTTTTGATAATATTCGTTAGGATTCACTCTTTTTTCAATCGCTCGTTTCAACATTTCGCTATCAGAATGAGCATAGGGCCTGCAGCCAAGGAGCCAAGTTTTCTTTTGTATTTTCCCATAATAGGCTGAAAACACAATAAAAATAATTGAAACAGGCAGATAATAACACTCTAAATAGTTTTGGGGTAACTTGAGACAAGTCTCAAGTCACTCGCATCAACCGCTATTTTACCTTTTCATTTATATATATATTTTTTTTCTTAAAAAGGGAAAGTAACTTACTATATTCCAGAAGATGCACAAAATATCAATCTATTTCTGAGCAAAGTTTCAATAGGCAGTCCTAGACAGTATAGAGACAGTATGCAAAGATATTTTTTAGTTCAACAATTACATACATGCGTAAAAAAATGCACAAAAATAAACTTATCGCTTCGGCGGTGGTCCAAACATTACTATAACACGTCTTGACAGCCCTTAAGTGGAATAAATACGATTGGCGCCTAAATGCGTCGGATATATTATTGCCAGGTATATATTTGGTTTCCACAAAAGTTTTCTAAACTCGCCCGGCCGTCTCAAGTTACCCAGTTTGACGGTACCTTTATGATTCAATCTTTCTGTGGTTTAGCTCCTATTGCGTAACCCATATTTCAAATTTGGGCTTAATTCCTCGAAAGCCGCAGGAGCTATAAAGGAAAAACTAAAAAATATATTGAAATTTCAACACCCTGTAGATCGGTAACGAAGCGTTTGCAAACCCATGTTTCTTTGAAATTTTATTTAGTCATAAGAAAAACCAAAGAATCGCCGCCTTCCGTTTGTACATGCATGATATTTAGTATTAAGGAACACCCTGTATATACCAATATTTATATTTTAGTTATTCCAGTGTAAATTTTTTTAGTAATTTAAAGTATTTATTATACAGGGTGGGGCACGAAAAATTTCCCACCCAGGTTTTCTCAGGTGTTAGGTGATCAATCATAAATCGCTCGAACACGTCAATTTTTGTTTTTCGGGGGACACATTTTATTGGTATTTTCGCTCCCTACCTGTCAGCCCCTAAGCGGGGGAGACAGGTACCTCCAAAATTTAAAATGCAAAAGGGGGTCGAGTGATACGTCATTTGGTAGCTATTTTTGTATCCTCAAAGTTTTAAGTTGCTACTATTTTCTCTACCGAAATGGCAGTGTGTCAAAGTTAGGAAAAATGCTTTTTTCCGATTATCTGAACTGTGTGACTTTTACCACATGTAATAACAAAAAAACATTTTTGAAGGGTACCTATCCATAGTAATAAAATAACATTGACATTTAATCTAACTATCGTCATTTAACAGTTCAGTTCAAAATGGTTCATGTTTATTCACTTGAAAAGTATGTTAATTTGTTAATATGAGGTAAAAAACACACAGCTTTGACAAGCTATTTCGACAGGGTTGATAGTAGCAATTTGAAACTTTGGGGATATAATCTTAATAAAAATAGCTAACAAAATGACGCATCACTTGACCCCCCTTTCCATTTGAACTTTTGGGGGGTACCTGGTACCTGTCATCCCCGCTTAGAGGTTCCACAGGTAAGGGGTGAAAATATCAATAAATAAAGTCCCTCAAAAACAAAAAGTGATGTGCCCGAGCGATTTTTGATTTATCACCTGACACCTGAGAAAACCTGGGTGGGAAGTTTTTTGTACCGCACCCTATACCTATATCTTTGACTTTTGAATTAAATTTTAGTTTGATTTTATGTTACACATGTTATCTACTTGTTTCTTGAAAGTCGATTTCTCAGAAAAACAAATAATTCCAGTTATCAACCTCTTATCGTTATAATGAGCAGCTCAACGTTTTTTTTTTTTCAGTGGTGGCTGGCAGGCCAATATTACGGAACCATAGCACTACCTTATTTTTCTGTGAAAATATAGTATATTTTGTCCTACAAAAGTATTGAGAGAAGCGAGCGAATACTCGATTGTGTGGTTTTGAAGACTTTTGGGCGTGGCATCTCAAAAAAAATACATACCAGGTTTGCCCCCCCCCAGAACCTCAGGCTGGATACGCCACTCTCTCTGAAACTATCTGTCTAAGCAAGCTGAGATTTTCAGGGATTGCATATCTCTACTATATTAAGATTCACTGAAAATTTCAGCTTTCTATCTATAATAGAATTTAGAGATATGGTTTATCAAAGTTTTAAAAAATCCAAATCAAAAGACCCTTTGTTAGGTAGTAAGTATGTACTATGAAATGATGAAAATTCAAATTTTTGTTTGTTCAGAGTTCAGATTTTGTCTTTAAGGAATGTAGAGTGAATTTTTGAGTTTTTCAATTTTCCTTGGAGTCCTTATATTTTTTCATAGATTTTCAGCTTCGAATATATCCCACGATACATAACTGCATATGTTGGAGTTTCTGGAATCCTAATTGATAGTTTAAAGTCGAAATCTCCACATAAAAAAATTTCGAAATTTCAGAATTTTGAAAGGAAGATCCCTCGCCTTTATAGGTACTTGAATTTATCATCGAAGTGTGATAATGATAAAAATTTGAAACTATTCAAGTCTATTATAGAAGAAGATGAATATGAAACACCTTTGTAAACTGGATTTTGATTTTTGTTGCAGAAATTCTTTATAGAGCAGCTTTTGAAAGACAACAAAATCATTTCGAAATTGTATCATACATAGAGGAATCTTTCAGCTCATTTGGAGTTTTTAAATTACAAACATAAAAATCTAAAAATCCCCCTAAGACTTCGGCTTCAAACAATAAAGCTTTGGACGAATGATGATCAATTAATAATTGAAAAAATACAGAGAAAAGTGAAATAATTATTTTTATTATAAACTACTTAAAACATTTTACTTTTTATATACAAAGGGACGGAATTTGATAAGGCATTCAATAATTTACATAAAATAAACCAATTAAAAATCCAACTTCAATATAAAAGTATACACTCCATCGACGGCAAATAAAACAGCATTCACAAACGAAAATACGGTGGCAGCTGAAAGCATACTGGCCAAATACATATGAGGCTCGTAATGGGTCCCTTGGAATTTATCTCTTCTATCCACTATAAGCAGTATTCCAGATACAAAGAATAGAAGGGCAGCTATTAGAGAAAACAAAGCAGAAATCCTACAAAGAAAAAAATGTAAAATAACTTATACAATTAAATACAAATTTTTACCTGAAGGGGATTTTGTCTTTTAAGCAACGACTGACAATGAATACAGCATTAATTAAAATGTAGCCAATGAAAGCCAAAAAAATAAGCCCCACTTGTTCCAAATGGTGTTTGGCTAAATTTGCCGATTGATTTGCAGGTGGAAAGTACATGCCTAAACAAAGACAACAAAATACCTGAAAGAAGAATTTTGAATAACTAATTTGCACAATAACTAATTATTTACCAATTGAATTATTTTCAAAATCAACTGCCATTGATCCTTGATTTTTTGTCCTAAGCTTGTTTCTACTTCTTTAACTTCTTCAACATCTTTTTCTTTAACATCATCTTCCTCTTTAATTTCAATTGCCTTATTTTCTTCGGCTTTCTTAACTTCCGAAGACATTATTTTGATTTTTTTTGGAACGTCGTACACTGATTTCACTGTCCGCCACTTTGAAGAAGTTTAAGGACACACTTCAACAGACCATTGTTTGAAATTGAATGACTAGTATATACCTTTTAGCTGGGTACCTACGCCTTAAATTGATGAAAATTAACCCCAATAATAACCTTTTGAATTAAAGATGTTCGAATTCTTACACCCACGTTAGCAAGCTTGGCTTGCTTAGTCAGTCATCCATTAAAATGCTTCATTAATCTTTTTATATAATTATTTTGATGATAATAAGGAGCCGCCTTCGAAAATTACCATCATGGTTCTTTGCCAAGAACAATATCCGTAAGAACAATAAGAACGTGTGAAAATATTCAATTTTCAAGGTATATGCCACTGTTGCGACACAGACACAAAGTTGTTTAAATTTTTTAACCTTTTGACAGACAGTGGGTATTTTATTCGAAATATTACTCAGGATCCGATAATTTTTTTATCGGAATTGTATTTGAGGCTTAGGAAATAGAATTTTCCTTGTAAATACCAAAAATACTCTTGTTAAATCATCTTTAGGTGCTTCTGAAAAATACTTCAAGAAATCAGAGCCTCATCAAACTTTCTATATTTGATAATTAAAGTATTTTTATCAAACATTCTGAGATTTAGAAATAGAATTATGATTTTTTTTCCTATTCAATATCATCAGAAATTTGTACTTGTAAAATTCTTAATACAGAGTTAGCATTCACAAAAGCTCATTTCAAAAACCCAGTGTCAATGTTAATCTTAGTTAACAGGTTTGTGGAGAATTTAATTGGCTTTAATTAGAGCTGAATTACACTGAAATAACATGGAAATTAATGGAGCTATGAGGCAAAAACTGTCTCGGTGTCATTTTTGGAAAGTTCTCAATGTTCGATAATTTCAATTTTGAAGCTTCTCAGGTGCAAAACTGTTGAAACCAAATTAAAATCTCATGATCTCCCAAATGAATTTTTTCCTATTGGTATAGGACTACTTATTCTGACTTTTCTGTGTAGAACTTTCCTATGTGCTAGTTTTATTTTAATTTCCAGAAATATCTACGATAAAGGTCAGTCCCATATTTGACTGATATTCCTAATTAAGCTTTATGAGAACATTATTTCATAGGTAATTATTATCAGCATTACTAAAAGGTCATCTAACCCATAGAACTTTCATACCAAAAAAAGTTTGAAAATTCACGTTAAATCATCATTGAAAAATCCTGAAAAATACCTCGGAGTATCAGATCGATTTTAAACTTTCAGGATTTATTAACCAGGATGTTTTCATTAAACAAGGCAAATTTGAAGTTAGTTTGGGGCTCAGAAATAAAATTATGAGGTCTTTTGCAACTTAATACCAAAAAAAGTTGGAAAATTCACGTTAAATCACCTTTGAAAAATCCTGAAAAATACTTCGGAGTATCAGATCGACTTGAAACTTTCAGGATTCATTAATCAGGATCTTTTTATTAGACAGGGTAAATTTGAAGTCAATTTAAGGCTTAGAAATTAAATTATGAGATTTTTTCCAATTTAATACCAGAAAAAATGGGAAAATTCACGTTAAATCACCTTTGAAAAATCCTGAAAAATACCTCGGAGTATCAGATCGACTTGAACCTTTCAAGATTTATTAACCAGGATGTTCTCATCAAATAAGGTTAAATTTAAAGTTAGTCTAAAGCTCAGAAATAAAAAGTATGTAGGTTCTTTCCAACTCAATACCAGAAAACAAATTGAAAAATTCACGTTAAAATCACCATCGAAAAAATCCTGAAAAAATACTTTCGAGTATCAAATCGACTTGAAAACTTTCAGGGATTCGTCAATCAGAATCTTTTTATCACACAGGTTAAATTTACAGTCAATTTAAGGCTCAGAAATAGAATTATGAGATTTTTTCCAACTTAATACCAGAGAAAGTTGAAAAATTCGTGTTAAATCACCTTTGAAAAATCCTGAAAAATACTCCGGAGTATCAGATCGATTTTAAACTTTCAGGATTTATTTATTAGGATGTTTTCATCAAACAAGGCAAATTTGGAGTCAGTCTGAACCCCAGAAATAAAATTATGAATTTCTTTTTCAGCTTAATACCAGAAAAAGTTGGGAAATTCATGTTAAATCACCTGTAAAAAATCCTGAAAAATACTCCAGAGTATCAGATCTATTTTAAACTTTCAGGATTATTAACCCAGGACGTTTTCATTAAACAAGGCAAATTTGAAGTTAGTTTGGGGGCTCAGAAATAAAATTATGAGGTTCTTTTGCAACTTAATACCAAAAAAAAGTTGGAAAATTCACGTTAAATCACATTTGAAAAATCCTGAAAAATACTTCGGAGTATCAGATCGACTTGAAACTTTCAGGATTCGTCAATCAGAATCTTTTTATCACACAGGTTAAATTTACAGTCAATTTAAGGCTCAGAAATAGAATTATGAGATTTTTTCCAACTTAATACCAGAGAAAGTTGAAAAATTCGTGTTAAATCACCTTTGAAAAATCCTGAAAAATACTCCGGAGTATCAGATCGATTTCAAACTTTCAGGATTTATTTATTAGGATGTTTTCATCAAACAAGGCAAATTTGAAGTCAGTCTGAACCTCAGAAATAAAATTATGAAGTTTTTTTCAGCTTAATACCAGAAAAAGTTGGGAAATTCATGTTAAATCACCTTTAAAAAATCCTGAAAAATACTCCGGAGTATCAGATCTATTTTAAACTTTCAGGATTTATTAACCCAGGACGTTTTCATTAAACAAGGCAAATTTGAAGTTAGTTTGGGGCTCAGAAATAAAATTATGAGGTTTTTTGCAACTTAATACCAAAAAAAGTTGGAAAATTCACGTTAAATCACCTTTGAAAAATCCTGAAAAATACTTCGGAGTATCAGATCGACTTGAAACTTTCAGGATTCATTAATCAGGATCTTTTTATTAGACAGGGTAAATTTGAAGTCAATTTAAGGCTTAGAAATAAAATTATGAGATTTTTTCCAACTTAATACCAGAAAAAATTGGAAAATTCACGTTAAATCACCTTTGAAAAATCCTGAAAAATACCTCGGAGTATCAGATCGACTTGAACCTTTCAAGATTTATTAACCAGGATGTTTTCATCAAATGAGGTAAATTTAAAGTTAGTCTAAAGCTCAGAAATAAAAAGTATGTAGTTCTTTCCAACTCAATACCAGAAAAAATTGAAACATTCATGTTAAATCACCATCGAAAAATCCTGAAAAATACTTTCGAGTATCAAATCGACTTGAAACTTTCAGGATTCGTCAACCAGGATCTTTTTATCACACAGGATAAATTTACAGTCAATTTAAGACTCAGAAATAGAATTATGAGATTTTTTCCAACTTAATACCAGAGAAAGTTGAAAAATTCGTGTTAAATCACCTTTGAAAAATCCTGAAAAATACTTCGGAGTATCAGATCGACTTGAAACTTTCAGGATTCATTATTCAGGATCTCTTTATCAAACAGGGTAAATTTGAAGTCAATTTAAGGCTTAGAAATTAAATTATGAGATTTTTTCCAATTTAATACCAGAAAAAATGGGAAAATTCACGTTAAATCACCTTTGAAAAATCCTGAAAAATACCTCGGAGTATCAGATCGACTTGAACCTTTCAAGATTTATTAACCAGGATGTTTTCATCAAATGAGGTAAATTTAAAGTTAGTCTAAAGCTCAGAAATAAAAAGTATGTAGTTCTTTCCAACTCAATACCAGAAAAAATTGAAAAATTCACGTTAAATCACCATCGAAAAATCCTGAAAAATACTTTCGAGTATCAAATCGACTTGAAACTTTCAGGATTCGTCAACCAGAATCTTTTTATCACACAGGTTAAATTTACAGTCAATTTAAGGCTCAGAAATAGAATTATGAGATTTTTTCCAACTTAATACCAGAAAAAGTTGGGAAATTCATGTTAAATCACCTTTGAAAAATCCTGAAAAATACTTCGGAGTATCAAATCGATTTTAAACTTTCAGGATTTATTAACCAGGATGTTTTCATCAAACAAGGCAAATTTGAAGTCAGTCTGAACCTCAGAAATAAAATTATGAAGTTTTTTTCAACTTAATACCAGAAAAAGTTGGGAAATTCATGTTAAATCACCTTTGAAAAATCCTGAAAAATACTTCGGAGTATCAAATCGACTTGAACCTTTCAGAATTCATTAATCAGGATCTTTCCATCAAACAGGATAAATTTGAAGTCAATTTTTAAGGCTTAGAAATAAAATTATGAGATTTTTTCCCAACTTAATACCAGAAAAAATTGGAAAATTCACGTTAAATCACCTTTGAAAAATCCTGAAAAATACCTCGGAGTATCAGATCAACTTGAAACTTTCAAGATTCATTAATCAGTATCTTTTTATTAAGCAGGGTAAAATTGAAGTCAATTTAAGGCTTTGAAATAAAATTATGAGATTTCTTCCAACTTAATACCAAAAAAATTGGAAAATTCACATTAAATCACCTTTGAAAAATCCTGAAAAATGTTCCGGAGTATCAGATCGATTTCACACATTGATAGGTTTGTAAAGAATTCAATTGGCTTGAATGAGAGCCTAATGACACTGGAATCGCATGAAAACTACCGGAGTTGTGAGGCAAAAATTGTCTCAGTGTCATTTTTGGAAAATTTGACTTAAATTTAATTTTGAAGCTTCTCAGGTGTAAAACTGTCAAAACCAGATTAAAATCCTAATTAACAGATTTCTGTCATTATCATTTTTGGAAAATATTCAATGTTTGATAAATTCAATTTTGAAACTTCTCAGATGCAAAAGCTGTTGAAACAAATATTCAATCAGAAAATACTTGAAAAAATCATAAGGAAACATAAGTTTCAATAATAGAAATTAAATTTAAGACGCAGAAGAAATAGAAGAATTCCTATTATGTGTATATTCTTAAACAGGTTCTGGATCTTTATGAAAATGCAATTTGAATCTGAGATTTGAATATTTATATTATCTCAAACCCCCAAAATAGAGCAACTCAATCCTCTTGAAATTTACCTATTGTTCATCCTATGATAAGCCTAGAAATTTTTAAATTTTCGACTGGTTTTTCTCATCATAAACAACACTGCAAAAATCCCTGAGCGACCACGATACAAGTTCCCAATCCCCCAGATAATTGTTTTAAACAAAACCATGCACAATTATCTTTTATAATATTCAATGGTAGTCGTGGTTTAGCGGTTGAACAAACGATTGTTTGTAAATATTGTTGTTAATCAAAGAACCGCAAGTGCGATACACGTAATCTTGTTAGCAGTTTTCTAGGCCAGTGATAACTTGAATGGATGTGAAGTTTTTCATTTACATTTGGTTGAAAATTTTTCGTTTAGAAACCTCTAATAATGCTCAAAACATAAAATAAAAATGGGTAAAAGATTTGATGGTTGGACTGTATTGAAAATTATAGAAGTGGTATGTACCTACTTAAATAATAAATTTGTAATACTTATTGTTGATTTATTGTTTAGTTTCTCGTTTTGGCTTGTTTGGTTTTCAAACGAGTGACTGACGACGAAGCTCGAAGCCTCTTTCTCTATCTCCAAAAGTTCTCTAGAGAGTGGGGCTTGCTCAATAACATCACATGGGATAGAGTCGGAAGTGCTGTGGCCGATGCCACCTACGGAGGTTATTTGGTCATTACTTTTGCCTTGCTAATGGGTAAGATTTTTTTGGAAATACCAACCAGAAAACGAATAATGGAGCGGATATTGTTGGGAGTCGGAGCTGTTTTATTTATTGCATTAGGTAAGAATTTATTATATTACGCATAATAAAATTATTCTATCATAGTGCACTTGAAGGTTATACGGAATGCTTAGATGCGTCAACCGAGTATATATGGTTTAATTAGCCAATTATACGATTATTATTATAAGAAAAAAAATATGTTTTTTTTTATATCTTGGGCTTGGCCTGATGACCTGAATAATAATTTTTACTTGGAATTCTTTTATTAGGTAGTTTAGCTTTTGCCTCAATTGACTCAGTACCTCCAAAATTGGTAGACAACGCAGCTATATTAGGGACTCTATCAGTATTAACGGGCGCTCTATTTCTTTTGGATATGGGTGGGCCCAAAGCCAAGGTTGTGACACCTACTGCAGCTAAAACTCAGCAAAAGCAGCAAAAATCTACACCCCCTGTAGATGTAGACGTTGTAGATAGTTCAAACAGAACTAGAAGAAGTATTCCAGAACAAGTTTACGATATTGAAAGGGTTAGAAGTTTCTATCTATATGGTCATTTATTGTTTTATAATTATTGGTTTACTTATAGGAAATTGAAATAACTGAACGTCCTGCTAGAAAACTGAGCCACGATATTAAAAATAACGGAATCAGAAACGGTGGGAATGGACAAGCGAAAACTGAGCCTGCAGGTCTATCAACAAGAAGTAAATATCTAAATTCACATAAAAATCAATTTAAAACTATGCTAATTATTTGCAGGCTATATTCATCTCGATCCTACTACTAGAGGCTACAGGCAAATGACTAATGAAGATTTTGATATTCCCAGAAGATTCGGTATTTACGGTAAAGACGTTGGTAGAGATGATAGAGGTAGTGACACGGACGAAACCGCAACCATCCCTCCGAAAATCGAGCTGCACACTCCAGTTTGGAGTAACATCCGAAAGGGTAGACACTCCACCACGAATTACGGGGTAGCTAGCTTTCGGTGATTGGTGATTTGTGTTGCTTTATGTGTTTTTATTGCTAACAATTTGTATTTGTAAAAGGTGTGTCCAAAGTAGAAGTTGAGTTTTAATTGGATAGTATTAGGATTAACCATGAAGTACAAATATAAGAAATCTATAGAATTGTTTAAATGTTATTGAGAATTTTCATATAATATTAAATCACAAGATCTCGGCGGCCAATTGATGTTACCAAATCGAACTTTTGGATGTATCAATGCCCAATTGACCGTCATTAATTCACCAATTTATAAGTTTATTGGTTGACGAATAACTAGCTCACCAATCAATAGGATTCTAGATTGCGTTTGTATCTGTCAAATTGCATTACCTGATAGGTGAATAAACTGGGCCTTAGACTTATAGATCCAGAGATAAAAGCCTGCTAAATGAAGAAGAGGCAATTTTTTCATTTTTTAATTTTTACTCAGTTTATTTCAGTTCCAAATCTCATAGTACGTATACAAGCTGTTACAAATTCGTGTACTTTTCGAAACTTCATCATTGCGATATTCGTGGTCTGTTCCAGCTCAAACGAATGCCTTTTGACCTCACCAATGCTCCTTCAATATACAGTATGGCAACTTGCGAAGTTTGTTCATATTTTTTATATAGCATGAAAGTTTTACCCAAAAACACAACACTTCACGTCGTAAATGAGCCAATAACTTTTACTTATAGGACACCGTATATGTATTTATAATGATCTCTAACATTATTTTTTATAAAAATAAATAAACCAATAAGCTCTAGTTCATTTCAAACCTTTTCCTCTCAAGAAACAACGTCTGTTTGTGTTTTAGAAACTGCAAAAAAATACGTCATCCCCCCAATAGTACCGCCCCAAAAACAACTCATTCTCCAAGAAGTCGAAGTATCCGAACGACCTCCTAGTGGACCTCTAGATCCTGGATTTGTCCAGTTCACTGCTCAACATTGGGGCGAGGAAAGTGAGAAAAAAGGAACAAAAACACCTAGACATAGTCCTGTTTGAATCAGTTGCAACAAATTTTATTAAAATACAATAAACTGCCTGTAATTAATAAAAAAAATGGACTGAATTATTGTAAAATATATTGCAAGTGCAGTCTAATTTTTTGACTGTATATAAACTTATTCAGTACTTGGTAAATTATGTGTTAAAAACAATAACAAATTAAATAATATAATATGTGTTTTTTCTTTTCTAAAATAGACTATATTTTTGTTGTGTTATGTACAAAATATTCGATTATACTTTAGTTAAACTGTAACCTACTTTGACTTAGTTACATGTTAACTAATACAATGAGCAATTATTTATTGATTCGGCTGCTGTGTTCTTGTTCCAAATTAATATACTGCCGCACAAGCCTGGAAATTTCGTGCGCCTGTTCGGTTTGCAGTCGTGTTACTCGTTGCTGTAGCAAGTTACCGCATTTCATGTCCAAAAATAGAGCTCCGTCTTCTGATCGTACCTTTCTCGTGCTTATGACTTCTGCAAAAGGCCAATGCTGAAGGGTTTCGTGGGTGTTCATGTCCAAAAAGTGAACTCCACCGCGGTTCAGGGCTAGGATGTGTTCTTGCCAGTGATCGGGTTCTCCTATTACACGTTTCACCGCAAAGAAGGAGCTACCTAGAAATTGGAATGAGATTTGTTATTTTGTTGTTTGATATCTCAAGAACTCTACAAGCAATGATAACCAATTTTGCACGATTAATAGAGAATTTTATACTCTTTCCAATGATGTATATGTGATTGTAGATAATTTTCTCAAATTTCATAGAAGATATGAGCAATTACTCATGACAAGATTTCAGAAGAATTCCAAAAATAAGATTTCCTTTTTAAGTGGATAAGGAAAGTTTGCTTCGACAAAGTCTTTTGTAAGCTTTTGGAGAATTCTGGATCCAGAAACTTTATGAAAAGTCTAGAAAAAAGTGATTGATTGGCCAAGATCAACTCAGCTAGAGTATCAAGAGTTGATGCCTACAGAAAAGAAAAGAAATATTCAGACTGCGTACCTATTTAATCTTGGATCAAAGTCATCAAAGATTAGAAAATTGGGAAATAGGAAGTTCCTATTTTATTGGAAAAATATAGGCTTGCATTGCAAAAGGTTGAAGAATGATTAATAATTATCCAGCGAATTCAGAGAAGTAACTTACAAAGTTTGGATTACTTTAGTCTTTTAGGTGCCCCTGAAATAATTAGTTTGCGAAACAAGAGCCGATAATAGTTCAAATCTTGATTATTATCCAGCTCTAGATTCGTAGGACAAGTTTCTACAGAGGTACTCCCAAAGACTGGAAATCACCAGATACCAATAATTCTAGAACGTGAACGTATATAGGTACACTGCCTTTAAGGCATGTGGAAATCTATACCAATTCACTTGAATTCCTTTTGGAGTGACTAATGGCGTATGGCGTTGCTTGTTTTCAGAGGAATATGAATAATATTATCAAACAAGAACATTTAGAAGACACATATGCATTTCTCGACCATCTGTAGTAAAAATAAAGAGCATCATGATACAAATCTTACTACCTACTAATACTGCTTCGCTCAGGAGAGTTCAAGGCATGTTTGCCCATTATTCCAAATTCATTCATAAGTTTTCTGAGAAAATACATCATCCACTGATTCGAGTTAAAAAGTTTCCATTATCTGCTTGTGAAGCTGCTGCATTTGAACAGTTGAAGACTGATATACAAAACGCTGTTGTTATTTCCATTGACGATGAAGCCACTCAAGCACTGCTCAACTTATACAGTCTGAAAAACCAGTGGCGTTTTTCTCTAGAACATTGACGAAATCTGAACAACTGCTATAGTGTAAGCACTTCGTAAATGGACTCATTTTCTGATCGGACGTTACTTTAAGCTCGTAACTGACCAGAAATCGGTCGCTTTTATGTTTAATTCATTAAGTAATTCTAAAATCAAAAATAAAAAAATAATGCGGTGGCGTCTGGAACTATAATCTTATAAATATGATATAATACAGATCTGGAAATCAAAAGTATATCTTCTGCGATTTTACCTTTTTCTAGTGACAAAACATTGTATAATCTACATATTATTCTCTCTGTTATCCTGGTATAACAAGACTGTATCACTGGATCCGATGTAAGAATCTACCTTTCTCACTAGACGATATCAAGAGAATTTCAGCCACCTGTCCCGTTTGTGCTGAGATCAAATGATCAAACCAAGGTTTCATAGAAATCAAGGGACCCATGAAAGCTACTGCCCCTTTCGAAAGTATAAATGTAGATTTTAAAGGTTCGTTGCTATCTGAGAACCAAAACCGCTATATTTTGACTATTGTGGATGAATTTTCTAGATTATCATTTAGCTTTGCTTGTCCTGCCATGACCTTATCAACTATCATAAATTGTTTAAATCAACTTTTTAATAAAGTCTTGTGATGTACAGCAACAAATTGTTCACCGCATGAAATAATGTTCTGTCATCCTCGAAGATCTACAAATGGTTCTTAAATTCCAACCTGGTTGAGTATTCCTGGTCCAGTCTTATTATGCTCATATCAGATTAGCTAATGGTAAAGAAACAACTGTGTCAACACGCCACCTTGCGCCAAGAGGAGATTCTGCTCTGCATCAAGAAAAGTCGAAGATATGAATGTAGAATGTAGAGCATATAGAAACGAACCTATAATGATCAAAACAACGACCAAATGTAGTGAACCAGATCCCATTCAACAACTCAATTACAACGATTCTGATGCTGGAAATCTTGATGGGATACCTGTAACACCATTAAGGAATCTAAGCGATGAAGTTGTAGAAAATATAACTGACTATTCCATTCCATGAACCGACCAAAACGTCATTATAAGCTTCCTGTCTATTTGAAAGATTATACAACCGACTAGGGGTGAATGTTATATATTTAAAAACTTTTAAAATGTCCTGTATTTTATATCCTGTTATGTGTTGAGCTTTTGGAATAACAAAAGCAATACATATTCAAAAATGAATGGATCACTATATGAGATATAGTTGTTCTGAGAATAAGTAGATCGCTCTAAAAACGAGTGGATTTCGCTGAAAATGAGGCGATTGCTGCGGAACTCGCTCCGCTCGTGTCTTAGAGAAACTGATCAGTGTTTCTCAATCTACTCATTTTCAAAATAACTAAAACAGCAATCCACTCATTTTCCAATAGGAATCGTACCTTAGGTATATAATAGCTATAAAAGCTTTTGCTTAAGATCAAAATTCAACTTACCGAACAAAGGCCAACTGCTCAACGCTTGCAAAACTCGATGTTTCGCCCTCGAAACGGACAATCCAGCCGCTTGACCCCAACTGGTTTGAACCAGAGCCAACCATTGAGGAGGCCTAGGCTCTCTAAGACCCAAAACTGGTTTCGGTAACAGGAATTTGACTTCCTTCAGACTGGGCGCGTGACCTAAATCGGCAGCTCTGTGTAGAAGAGCTGCTACTAGTGCCATGTCCCTGACAACGCTCGGAGGTAAGTTGGGATTTCCGAGTCTCAACAAAAGCCCTTCTAGATAATCTGGGGCTACTTGATTGAAAAGGACTTCGGTGTAAAGAGGACTAGCGTCGTGTTTTAAGGGATGATACCAAACCGATCTGCAAAAAATCAAGTAAAACGGTTGAGCAGCTTTGTGCAACTCTGTGGTGACGTCCAAAATATATTCGTCAGCAGCCAAAGGCATTGTAAAGGCATCTCCTTGGACTATGCAGTATAAGCTAAACTCCTGCTGCTCTTGCTCGCTATTAATACCAATAAGACCACAAAGCTCTTGAATAACGTCCGCAACTACGGTACTACAACGCGTATTGACTACGCGTTCAGCACCACCAGGAAGTCTGTAGATTTGCCTTCGAGCGCTTCTACCAGCACTAACTGCAGTTACTTCCTCTACACTTGGGACATTTTTGCGTCCTCCACAACGCTGGGTCTTTCTCAGGTTGGTAACGCAAACTGAAGCGGTACCGTGACAGATTCTTCGTCTGTCATTGGCTGCACTGGATAAGTGTTCCATTAGGTATGGCAAAAGGGTGTCCGAGCAAGCGAAATAGGCTGCAACTATTGATAATAATCTCCAGGCTCTAAAAAAAAATTGTTTGAATGAAAATTGAAATCAATTCTGGATAAATTACCTTTGGCTGGATTCAGGTGATTCACTTTTGTTGCTGGTGGTTTGTTTCATTAGTTGGCAATAGACTTCGTCTCGTAGCTGGGCGTATTTGTGACAGTGCTGCGAAAGATATTTGATCTAATCTGAATATCGTACGGAATTGAGGTTGCGCTTACGACTGTATGGATAAGTACTGGACAAGTCTTAATTGTATTGACTTTATATAGAGTGTAGAAGGAAAGTGTAGAAGAAACTATAGTTAATATAGAGTGAGGATAGTTGAAAGTGTAGAGAAAGCTTAATAGGGTGACACTTGCCTAGGATTATCAAAAATGCCATCAATTTCCTATTTTTTTCACAGTCTGATTAGAGAAATTATCTCCTATGTAATAATGTTAATGAATCATTCAATCATTTTTGAACATCCAATAGTTGAAATTCGATTGGAAAAGTTGAAAAAAACTCTGAAGCTGCAACTTGAACTAAAGAATGAAGTCTTCTTTCAAGACGCTAAAGAATCTACAGACTTCAATATTTCAAGATCGAAGATTCTTCTAAAGCTTCTCATACAAGGTCCATTGTCCAAAAACTTTGAAGCTTCCAACAAATTGAACACCAGAGATTGTAAAACTTTTGAAGCAGGCAACTATGAAGATTTTATACCAAAAAATTAAAGGGTTTGAAGACTTTTAAGAACCTAAAGATTTAAAAGTCATCGTGTTCCATCATTACAGACTAGAACTATAATTTGAAGAAAAATACTTTAACCCTAAACTAACCTACGTAAATTTTACGTGTGCATTTTGTTTGTAACCCAAAATGTGATCCAATCCACTTAAATTTCAAGAGTGCTTCTCCCAATATCAGTATAGGACCAGGCATCATCTTTGTTAGATAAATGCCAGTCGTTTCACGTCTACCAGATTCACAAAAGTATAGGTTAGTACTTTTTTTTAACAGAATTTATTGATTTTATTTGTATTTCGCACAGACACACCTAGTAAAAACTTACATTTCACACAGACACACAAACACCTAAAAACATGGAATACGTAAATTTCATGTAGGATAGTACTTTTGTGTGTTTTTAGCGGGTTAGTGTTCTAGGGTTAAAGACTGGATAAACATTTTGAAACTATACTATGTCTAAGACAATCGTTTGATAATTTGTTATGGGACTAAAGACGTTATTTGATTTCAATTTCGGTTGGAAGCCTCTTACAAGATTCTTATCAATGGTTGAGGCATAAAATTATTGAAATTTATTGGACTAAAAACTAGAGACTTTATAGTGTCTGTCTGAAGGCTCAGGACAAATTTGAAGACACAACAATCGAAAATTCTTGTCAATCTACAAAGTCCTAAAAATTTCGATAGGTACTTCAAGCACTAATGACTCTAAAAACTGTGAGTCTCTACAGACTTTTATATACCTTGAAGATAAAAGACTTTATTTAAAGATTATTACGACGGAACTGGCTATAATTTGAAGCAAAACACTCTTAATACTACAAGCCTTTAAAGATCTTAAGCCCTTTGAAAATTCCTATACAGTCTAATCTTAGCTTGTAAAGAATAAAGTTTGTGAAGACCTTGAAGACTTGCAAATCTTTATATGAATTTCGAAAGCACTAAAGTCTAGAAGATTCTCCAAGTATTGTGCCGCAAGATAAAAGATAAGTAGTGAATAATTCATATATTTGTATTGAAAGTGTAGAAGAAACTAATAGAGTGAGGATAGTTGAAAGTGTAGAAAAAGCTTAACACGTTGACTGTTCCCAATCAACATGCATACAAAACAAAAATATCCACTTACCATTAAAACGGTGTAAACACACTTGACTTCTGACATTTCCGGAGTCAAAGGCTGATCTCCGCAATACCTCAAAATACAATCGAAACATTCAATAGCTAAAGGAGTGAGTTCTGGATCGTCCAAGCGTAGAAGAGGGCCGTCAATAGAACCCCCTTGCCACTTGATCACGTCAGTTTGTTGCTTCCAAGTCCACTCTTTTGATTTGTTTTTCGATTTCTGGTGCGGTTGGTCCATTCTTTGGTGATCCAAACTATACAATTTACTTGTATATATTTTATAAAATGACTTTTGCCTATTATATTTGATATATGCACCAGTATTTAAAAACGCGATCATCATCATCATGCTTTCTAGTTTTCAGACAATATATGCGTTTTGCTCATTGGTTGCACATGGTTAAACTAGGATCGCCTTATTAAAAAATTTCATATATACCTGTATTATATTTATAGAAATCAGAGGCTTATCTTGAAAAGTTTAAGAAATATCTTGAAGCGAAGCCGAAGAAAATATGCAATTAACTTGTACTTACTCTGCTAATTGTCTAAAGTTCTGCATAGCAAATTGCATGAGTGAATATTTGCCTGTAGAAGGCAACGGGCTGCTAGGAGACCTAGTTCCTTCATCTCTGGAAATAAGCCTGCTAGGAGAAGATTCGCCTCTGGATTTGGGGATGAGATTGGTACTGGAGATAACTTCAAGCCTTTCCATAGCAGGCGAGCGACTGCGTTGTTTCGTTTTCGCTTGAATCTACAAGAAATTTTCCATTTTAAGCACTAATTATCGAGTGCAAATACAAAAAGAACACCGTTACTAATCAGTTTAAAGCCGTTTGGTTATTAGTTGTTAAATATAATCGGCATAGAATAAAAATGAACCAGCACGCGATGATGTATGATTCCGGAACCACACGGGTAGATGATCAATCATAATGAAGGCTCGTTTGAAGGTCGTTGCGTACCAGTGAATCTATTTTTTGAAGCCTTTTATAGGATTTTATTGTGAGAACAATACGATTTTGCAATAAATTGAATTCTGATTCAAAATACCAATCAGAAGAGAAAATAATTTATACACGTAATGAGAATTTTAATAGCACTACCGGACATAAACAATTAAAATTCATAATGGCAAAGAAGTATCAAACAACAGTTTATAAACGGGCGTTTTCTATAGTCTGGTTAGCATGCACCAACAACAAAACACGTATTTCCTAATGGGCAAAGGTGACCAAATAGGACATGTCGGTAGTAGTACTGGTTTTTGTACTTGGTGTGTATTTTTTTCACATCATCAAAGACAAGAAAAGAAAAAGTGAGAGTCGGACGAGGCATGAAAATATGCGAACTGACACAAAGTACTACTCGGTACCTACGATTGATGGCTATTTTCTTTTTTTCTTTTTTTGGTTGGTGCTTTATTGATACTTGTGATAATTGAAAAATTAATCATTGGAAATAGGGGATTTGTGATATAGCAATATTTTTAAATGAATTCCAGTAACTTCTAAATTGAATGAGAAACGTCTATACAAACCACATTCAAGACGTTTTTTAGACGTCTACTTACGTGTTCACATTTTAAAGACGTCAGACCCAACGTCTGCCTAAAAACGTCTTAATGACATTTTTTGAGACATTCTTGATATCTTAAAGACGTCTTTGAAGCTCGTTTTAATACATTTAAGCCCGGTTGTACCAAATAGTGCGTGGTTCAGTTATCTTTGAGATGTGAATTTACGACATTTTATGGATGTCTAGACGTCTTTTTGGTCTTCAGACGTTCAGACGCAATGCAGATTTAAAAAAGACGTCTTCAGGATTTTGTGTGCTGTCTGGGTAGTTTGAATATCTATGTCTTCTTTTAGACGTGTTATGGGTTGTCATAAGACGTCCAAAAACTTGTTTTGTTTTACAAAAAGACAACAACTTTGTCTGATAATGAGACATAGTAGAAAGGACGACAATTTTATCTGACAATGTGACGTCTAAAAGACAATTCTGATAGACAATAAAACGTTGTAGTCATGTCTACCTTTAAATTTGCAAAGACGTTTCCTGGATGTGATAAATTCACGTTTTTTCTCATTCATCTCATTGCAAATAGCAGATTTTTGTAGCAATAATCTAAATGAGTTGCTATAATTATTCAACAATTCATGAATGAAGTGATTACTCCTGGCGATTGATCAAAATCAAGTATTTCCTATTCACAATTCGTAGTCCAAAGGTAAAGGTAAATTTATCACCTTTCCCTATCAAATAACACTGAAAGGTAATAAATTTTGCCTTAACCTTTAGACATCGGATTATGAATAGATAATAGGTAGGTACCTACCTATCGGGAATAATCAAAAACTGAATATTGATAATAGCGGATTTTTGTAGCAATTTTCTAAAACAGTTGGTACATTCAAGGGTCAGTTAAGTTAGCCCCCCCCATAGAAAATTTCTGGTTAAAAATTATCCCATAATTTTGCTCTAATTTTGCTCCATTTTGCTCCACTAATTTCGATTTTTGCTCCATTACAGTGGAGAGACTATGTGGCCTATTAGGTAGGGGGAGCTGAATTAACGCGACCCTTTCCCCCCAGTGAAAATTCAGAAATTTTATCATGCTCATTTTGTTCTCCGAATTTTGCTCCATTTTACTCCATTATCGGCGAGTTTTGCTCCATTACCAGGATAGACCTACAGAGCTCCCAAGAATCTCTCCCCGCCTCTCCCTCCAGTGAAAATTCTGAAATTTGATCATGCTTATTGTGTTCTCCGAGTTTTGCTCCATTTTGCTCCATAATTGGCGAGTTTTGCTCTATTACCAGGAGAGACCTACAAAGTTCCCAAAAATCTCTCCTAGCTCTCCCCGGAGAGATTTTTGGGAGCTCTCTAGGTCTCTCCTGGTGATGGAGCAAAAGTCGCCGATTATGGAGCAAAACTCGGAGAACAGAATGAGCATGATCAAATTATAGAATTTTCACTGGTGGGGGGGGGGGCTGGGAGAGATTCTTGGGAGCTCTGTAGGTCTCTTCTGGTAATGGAGCAAAACTCGCCGGTAATGGAGCAAAATGGAGCAAAACTCGGAGAATAAAATAAGCATGATCAAATTTCTGAATTTTCACTGGGGGGGGGGGGCTAGCGTTAATTAAGCCCCCCCCACCTGATAGGCCACATAGTCTCTCCACTGTAATGGAGCAAAAATCGAAATTAGTGGAGCAAAATGAGAGCAAAATCCAGAAATTCTCAATGCGGGGGGGCTAACTTAAACTGACACTACATTGAATACCCAGTAAACACATTTTTCTTGCTGAAACAATATTTTTGATATTGAAACATTATTCCTGCCTTGGTTTCAAAAACATTTCAGGAACCATAGATGTCTCTCCTACCTCAGAAATATATCAGTATCAGTGAAACATGTCACAAATTTTGTTCAAAGGCATTTTTGAAACAGTAGAGATGTTCTACCTTAGAAATGTTTTAGTGAAACATTCAAAAATATCTTTTTCTGAGAATACAGTGACTCTAGAACTCATTATTGCGTGATTATTCCCGGCAATTGATTAGAATCCTAAAATGTTTCCGGAACAATTTTTTCGATATTGAAACATTCCTGCCTTGGTTTCAAAAACATTCCTGGAACTATAGATGTCTTACCTCAGAAACGTTTCAGTGAAACATGTCAAAAATTCTGTTCAAAAACATTTCTGGAACAGTATAGAGATGTTCTACCTCAGCGAGGTTCCAGTGAAACATTCAAAAATATCTTTTTAGAATTTCAGATGATTCCTAGAATACAGTAGGTAACTCTATAATTCATTATTGCAGTGATTATTCCCGGCGATTGATTAGAATCAAGAGCCGGGAATAATCAAAAATTGAACATTGAAAAATATCAGCCAATCAAATCAATTCTGATACCATTTTAGGTCTTGTCTCACAAAAGCCTCTGACAGTTTGCAGACTGTCAGAAAACATAGTCCATACATGTTTTCAATGCTGTGGTTCCAAAAGATGAATCGGTTACTTAGCTAAACCATTGTTTCTGACAGTTTACAAATTGTCAGAGACTCTTCTGAGAACAGACTTTTTGTAGCTTCCCATTTATCCCATTGGAAATAGCGGATTTTTGTAGCAACATTCTTAAAGATTTGCTAGATTCAGAAATTTATTAATGGAGTGATAATTTCCGGCGCTCGATTGGAATCAACATCCGAGAATAATCAAAAACTGAACAATGAAAAAGATCAGCCAATCAAATCAGTTCTCATGCCACTTTGTAGCTTCCCATTCATCCCATTGGAATAGCAGATTTTTGGAGCAACATTCTAAAAGACTTGCTACATTAATGGAGTGATTATTACCAGCCGAGAAAAATCAAAAATTCAACATTGAAAAATTTCAACCAATCAAATCAACTCTGATACCACTCTGTAGCTCCCCATTCATCCTATTGGAAGTAGTGGATTTTTGTAACAACGTTTTAAAACACCTCCTACATTAATGGAGTGATTATTATTGGCGCTTAATTGCCGAATCAAGAGCCGGGAATAATCAAAAATTGAACATTGAAAAATATCAGCTAATCAAATCAATGCTGATACCACTTTGTAGCTTCCCATTACCTGATTTTTGATGCAACAGTCTAAAAGACTTGCTACATTCAAAAATTCATTAATGGAGTGATTATTACTAGCGCATGATTGGAATCAAGAGCCGGGAATAATCAAAAATTGAACATTGAAAAAGATCAACCAATCAAATCAACTAGGACACCAATTTTGTAGCGCCCCATTCATCCTATTGGAAGTAACGGATTTTTGTAGCAACATTCTAAAACACTTGTTAAATTAATGGAGTGATTATTATTGGCGCTTAATTGCCGAATCAAGAGCCGGGAATAATCAAAAATTGAACATTGAAAAGATCAGCCAATCAAATCAACTCTGACACCAACTTTGTAGCGCCCCATTCATCCTATTGGAAGTAACGGATTTTTGTAGCAACATTCTAAAACACCTGTTACATTAATGGAGTGATTATTATTGGCGTTTAATTGCCGAATCAAGAGCCGGGAATAATCAAAAATTAAACATTGAAAAGATCAACCATAATCAAATCAATGCTGATACCACTTTGTAGCTTCCCATTACCTGATTTTTGAAGCAACAGTCTAAAAGACTTGTTACATTAAAAAATTCATTAATGGAGTAATTATTATTAGCGCATGATTGGAATCGAGAGCCGCAAATAATTGAAAATTAAACATAGAAAAATCAAATCAATTCTGAGACCCTTTTGCAGTTTCCCATCAACTGGCATTTTAAATGCTTGTTTCCTCAGATACCAAATCTCCAACAAATAAGTAGAATTTCGTTTTTCAAACCCAACTAATTCCTAATCTGTACCCAAATCAGAAAATTTCTTAAGTCAAATCTTCTTTGTTCAGTTTTCATACTATTTCTAAAAGTCACATTTCATACCTCTTTCTCTCCAGTTCCAGAGTCGACAGAATAAGATCCAGATACACTAGAAGACGCACTGATACTTTCCGAAACACTCATCGATTCATTTGAAACTGAAACATCTTTTTCACTATTTTTAGTAGCAACTTTATTATCTTCAATCTTCTGAGTCACCAACTCCAAAACGCTTGTATTGGCCGAGTAAACTTTCGGCTCTTCCAAAACTTTTTTATGTTCTTTAATTATTTTCGCTTCAATTTTAGGTTTTAAATTCTTATTTTCTACACTCTCTGTATTATTATTATTCAAATTCCTTTTACTAGCTTCATACAGTCGTTGCTTTTCCTCCTTCAAATTCTCAAATCTGGCTAGAATTTCTTTGACGGACACCTTGGGCTCGTACTCTTCGGGAATCGTTTCCATCCGCGCACTTTTGCCATTGTCGTACCCGTTCAGGAACTCGGAACTCACGTACTCGTACGAGTGCTCCGAATTACTCGACTCGGACTTGTTTGTCCAGGACCTATACAATGAATGCAAGTGGAAATTTAATACCATGATACTGTTGTTTTTTGCAATAAAATGATTATAATATGCTTAAATTGGTTTGTTATAAATAATTTGATTTATTTTTGTATGCTCTCTATTATTTTCTACATGATTAGTTCCAAAAGCAAGGTGAAAGTTGATTACATTATTGTTATTAAATAATAAATTTCCACTTGTATCGATTACCTAGTACTTCCACAGCTACTATCCTGCGCGTAAACTTCACATTTCACTTGAAAACTGTTCCCGAGTTTCACGTCACCACCCGAATCCGAATCCTGGCTCTCCTCGCTAGGACTTTCCGAGTGATGAGACGAATTGGCCAAACTGTCCAGCGAGTGAGCTTTGAAATTTTCACACAAACTTTTCACATTATTACCAGGGATTTTCCCGTAGTTTTTCCAAGTGGTCGTTTTACTACTCATAATGAAGCAGTCTTCATCATCATCCAACAAGAAGTGTACTATACGACGCGTAGATGGGCTCTGATAGTTTCGCGATGACCTAGCGCGGATTTGACCATCGGCCTGTAAGTCTCTATACGAGCCGGCAGAAATTAATTGAAAATAGAAAAATAGTGGGAGAGTGTCGGGTATTTATTAATTCTTTACATGCATGGTGAAAAATAGAAATTTTTTTTTGTTCAAAAGCTATTTAAACTGTAACTTGGTATATCGGCCTTTGAGACTATATAGCAGGCCATTTGTAATACCGTACTAGTTATCTGGGGCATACCGAATAACAAACACATAACAGGTGGTTAAATGTTTGATTCAAATACAGGGTCAAAAAGGTTTGATTACAATTAATTAATTATCTATTTCAATCAATTGTCCACTTAATTATTATTTAAAGGTTCAATTCAATTTGCGTGAAAGTTAATTTTTCCGTTTGTTGTTAACAATTAAAAGCAATTTGCAAAACGCTACAAGGAGAAATCGCATCGAGGCATTGGACGAACCAAGGAAAAGCTATCTTCACAAGGACATTTAATTCAATTAAAAAATAATAATAACTGTAAATATAATACGCATCCTACAGAAGCAAATCAAATTCCACAGTAATCTGGCAAAAGAACAAAGATGCACGGGCGTAACTAATACACCCATATTTTCCACTCTGATTCTTCCATTTATACGTGTTAATGGCATACCATTTCCAACAAACATTACCGTGAATATTAGTGCACGCAAAATGCAATTATTACAATAATTAATTTTCACCTTACCTTTCTTGCTTCGGCACAAAACTTGCTGACCATCTCGGATAATTGCTGGGCCCTAGGCGTATGCAAGCTGATCCTTCCTTGGGGTCCGTCCAAACTCATTGTAGTGGGCCTAGGGGCCGTGCAAGAAGAAATATCGCTCAGAGCAAATGATTTAATCACTTGCAAGTGACTTTGCTCTCGTTTGACCAAGTGGACGCCCCAATGAGAAACTGCCACTAGTTGAACATCGGATAATTGAGCTGCTCCGGATACCGGAAATAATCGGGCGAAATATAGAGGCCAAGTTCTGGCCAGCTCTATGGCGTTTCGTTTGATGTTGGCTCTATGTGAGGTGTTGTAGTTTTCCGCAGTCACTCCGTAGCCGGAAAGCATATTGACTCCGGCACGTTTTTCGGTTGGAGTTAGTCTTATGCAGGAGGTTAATCCGTAGACGTCTGCCACTATTTGGCAGAATATTAAATGCAGAGCATTCAAAGGACCTAATGGTTCCGAAGGTGAAAAGTATTCTTTGCGCACTCTAAGTAACCAAGAGACTCTGTTGTAAGTTACATAAGCAGAGGCGCTTAATGGGCCAACTTTGTTGGGTGTAGTTGGTGTACGAGGCTCTTCAATTTCATTATCAATGTTGATGGGCGATTTTGATGGAGGAGTTTTGATTGGTCGCATGAATTCAGGCCATTCTTGCACTACAAAACAATTTATTACAATTCCAATAAGGCCTTAAGATACAATTCTTACCTTCTTGTCTGTCTGTTTTGTCAGACAGGGCAGTAGATGCTACCGAATGCTTTTTTTCTCTTTCCAAAGCGCTCTTGTTCAATTGGTGCGTCCTAAATGTAGGACGTTCGTTGGATTCCTTCATGGAGCTTCTGTTTTTCTCGAATTTTCTTTCTTCTCTGTCCCATCTGTAATAAAACACATGTTTTGCGACACTGATCTAATTGCTAAAACAGCTACAAACATTGCAATGCAATTAGTAAATGACGTAATAATTAATTTGAAATTCAGTGCAAATGGACTTAAGGTTGCATTGGATTTTACGAGGGGACTTTTGAATGTTTTCAATCAACATTCCTGATAAATTTTAATGCAATTTTGCTGTAGCCATTCTCTTCCACCTTGAAAAGGAAAAAATAAATACCTACTGTGCTTGTTACTTGTTATTGAGTAATAGAATGAATGAAATATCAGATATATACAGTAGGTAATCAATTAGAATAAATCTAGCAATACAAATTGCATATTTATGATAATAAACTAATGAGAAAACCATCTGAGAAGTTATTTTTACTATTAATAAAATATTTAAAAAGTAATTTCCAAAGAAAGTTGTTTATCTGAAGCCGACTGACGAAATAGGAAAAACCACCTGAGCACACCTCTACCTTAGGAAGATTATAGAAAATATGATAAAATCCAGAGAAGTACAAATGCAAATTTCAGGATTCTCTACAGGTTTTGAAAGATTATCAATTGCGGTTGGAGTATATTGGTAAAGGAAGAACAAAAGATAATTTCTGAAGAAAATTGCTCATCTTAAATCAACAGGATAAGCCACCTAACAAATTTTACCTCTAGGAAATTGATAAAATTTGGAGAAGTTTGAAGTGTGATAGAAATTTCTCAAATTTTTCTCCCTCGTGGAGTTGAAAATCAACTGAAAATTGTATTCCAGACTCTCTAGAGTAGGTAGGTATAGTTAGAACTAACTAAGAAGAGCCCTTGAGTCATCTCTGACGAAGAAGGCAAATTTCCTTTTCTCTGGGGTCTTACCATTTGAAGCAGTGGCTTCTTCTCAGTTGGTTTTATCTTTACTGAATCCAATTTGGACCATGAGAGAGTTGAAGTTGAGCTATGGGAGTTTGAAACGTCAATTTTTGGCCTGCATTTGAGGTAGAGACATATGAAAACTTTATTCCTGGTTCTTCTGATATGAAATTGAACCAAAAAAGTATCGCACTCCTTTTTCTAACCATATATGAGCTTGTTTAACACACTCATAAAGCTGAAATTCAACTGAGGTTTAAAAGATTATCAGTTAATTTGTGAAAAGAAGATCCAAAACTACAAAGATTTCTAGACAAAGTTTTCCATTTGAAGCCAACTGACAAAACAGAGAAAATTACCTACCTGAAATATTTAACCTCGCTGACGATCAAGTTGTGATAGCTCATAAGCTCATTATAAAGAAGATCTGGCAATATACCTACCTAGGTATATGACTAGAAAGTTAATTGAACAATACCAGAAATGGGGACTAAGTATATATCAATATGCAAAATATATGTGTGTAGGAGACCCAGAAGCTCTCACACTAGACAACAATTCAGCTATACAAGGTTTTGAAGAATAAACATTGATAGCATAGGAAGAAGTGAGAAAGAAATAGCAGAGAGAATAACAAAAGGCAAGAAGGCAGTTGGGGCATTAAACTCTGTACTGTGGTCGAAAAATAACACACCCAACATCAAATCCCTAATATATAATGCTATTGTGTAGAGCATAATGTTATACGGATGCGAATTGCAAAGTGTGGCACTTGACCAACAACAACAGAACAGACTGCTATTCTCCGAAATGGATGTCACAATATTTCGACTGGAACATGTAAGAAATGATAGAGTTCGCCAGATGATGAGAGTTAAGAAAAATGGTACAGTCACGTCCAAAGAATGTCACCAGAAAGAAGTCCCAAGTTGGTAATGGAATGGACTCCCCAAGAAAAACTAAGACGACCTAAATGCTCTTGGATACAGCGAAAATCAAGGGCAATGTCAGAACGCAATCTCAATGAGAGAATGCGTAGAAGAACGATATAAGCCGGAACATATGTATATATTTTTACCTCTACCTTTAGGAAGTACCAACATATAGGAAATTCGAAGAAACGATTGAATTTTTCATTCGTGGGTTTCCTCTTTGCAATAAACTCTTACCTTCCGCCCACATCCCTGGGCTCAATAGAAGTTATAGTAGTAGATTCCGCCAACTCCCAACTGTCCCTAGACATCCTCCCATCGTGCCTATCACTATCTGCAATACAAAAAATCCAATATCAAACCCATCCAAAAATCACCAACCAAATTTACCTTCTTGAGCCCAACTAGCGCCATCATTCTGAGCCTCAGTAACATTACTCTGAACCTCCCAGTTGGCACTAAAAGAATTCCTCTTGGAATTATTGTTTTGCCTGTTCTGGTGCACACCAAATGTGTCCCTGTCCTGACGTTGGGTCATAAACGACGATTGATGTTGGTCTTGTTTCTGAGCCAAGAAATCCCTGTGGCTCTTGAAATTGTCTCGGACAGGTTCGATGGGCGGTGGAGGCTGATTGGGTCTGACAATGGGTGGTGGTGGGGCCGGTCCTGGAGGCGCAGGTGGTAACGAATTCGGACCTATGGGCGGTGGCGGTGGACCAGGTTTCCAGTTGCCGCTAGCCCAACTTTGCTGAGTTGGAGATTTGGTACCATTATGGTGTGATATCTATGGAAAAATTAGATCAGCAAAAGTCAACTCAAACAATTTCTCTTACATGTGGTGGGGTGTCGGGACTGGATTTACCACTAGCACTATCGTCTCCCCATCTGCCAGCTAATTGCTGTTCCAACATCATTTTTCTTGTGTCTTCCAGTTTGCTCACAGATCGTGATGGTTTGTCTACTTTGCTACTACTTGTAGATCTTACTGAATGATTGGCTGTAACGCGTTCCAGTCTTTGTTTCATTTCTGAGCTCAATTTGATTTTTCCTATGCTTCCTACAACCAAAACATTGAATTAAAAAATTTAATACCTACACAAACAAAACTATTACCTGGTGATGGACGTGACGCTCCAATCTCAAACGCTTTTTTGGAATTAGTCCTAGTAAGCTTATCATTCTCTTTCACTATTGGCTCAAAATCAATTTCGTCCCACTCTAAAGAAGTATCAGTTTTCACTGATCCATTTTGCTCTTTACTAGGAGTCACTTTTCTTTCTTTTTGACGCATTTTAAACTGCATAAAATCCTCTCCGTTTTCGTGGTTGGTTTCACCCTTTGGTGGTGGCCAGCGCCATTTACCAATCCGAACTGTCTTGGCCCTTCCATAAGGATCCATGAAAGGCCTCGTTTCGCTCGGATCGCATTCGTCTATGGGTGGCGGCATCGGGGGTGGAGCAGGAATACCGTTTCTACTCAGATTCGAATCTGAACTTGTTTTTCTAGATTTGTAATCGGATCCAACACTGGGAGAGCTGGATTTTCTTAGAACACTATTAGATTTGAAACTTGATTTTCTGTTTTGAGACGATTGATGCACTTGAGCTTTTACAGTAGTAGTTTGAATAGTTTCACTTAACTTGTTTGAATCTCCAGGGGTAACATTTTGAGTCAGCAATTGCTGCAAAGCCTGATTCTGAGCCAGCAATTGCTGTTGGATTTGTATGTTCTGAGCCATGGCACTTTGCAAGAACGCCCTTTGTAAGTTTTGCTGGTAGGCAGCCAAATCGGGACTGTTTGGATTGAATATTGGTGAGTATCCTTCTTGAGTGGGGCTTAAAAGGGGCATCATTAATGGGGGAGCGCCCACCAAAGGTGCTTGATAGTTGAAGCTCGAAGATGAAGCTCCACTTTGAGTGGATCCTCCGCCTTTTATTGATTCAACCAAATTGTGTTTTTCGGTAAGGGTTTTGATACTATCGTTTATGAAAATAGGCCGGAATAGATCGCTGATGTAATCGTCTACGTTGGTATTACTTCCTGGTGCAGTTGTTGCTTGAGGTGTAGTTGTAATGTCTTCTACTTCTCTATCAAGAGCCGAGTTTCCCTATACAGATAAAAATTTAGAAACATTAAAAACAAATTATATATCACTTACATCACTAACTTGACTGTTAGCTCTATCTCTATGTCCACCCCCTTTTATTCTGGAAACCATTTTAGACGTATTAGAGAGCATATTGACATTTGAATCCAAATTATTGCCTAGAATATCGTCCAAAAAATCATCTAGGCCTTCAATATAATCATCTCCTCCTTTGCCACCCTTTATACTTGCAGCCAACGATCTCGCATCTGAAAGTTCATCCAAATTCCCATCTAAAACTGGACTGAAAAGTTCGTCTAAAAATTGATCTACGTCACTAGCTTGGGAAGGTACTCTGACTCTCCTTACATGGGAAGCTAAACTAGGAGCTTCACTAGTATCTGACATTGCCGAACTTCGCACGCCAAATTCTGATTTTTCAATATAGGCCCGACTGGAATGGCTTCCTGGAGGTGCCTTTTTGCCAGCGTATTGCGATTTAATATATCTAGGACCTCCGCGGTCTCTATGTGAAGTACTTACGCTGGCAATGTCTGGATATTCGAATTCAATTTCTTGTTTGGACATGTAGTTTTGATGAGTCATCACTATATTTGGCTTGATGGGAGCTAGTTGTTCTACGGAATGGTATCTTTCGTTTAGTTTGGATGTTTGTGATAAGCCTAGTTCAACTAATGGGTTTGGTTCAGGTTCGCCCAGTAAATTATCCAAACTTCTGGATCTGGTTTTTTCTTGGTCGAAATATCTGTCATTTAAAGCAGAGCTTCTGGACAAGGCTTCATGGGAAGCTTTTCTAATTGGAGCTGGATTAATATTGTTAGATAATCTTGTTTCAATATTTTGAATCTCCCTGGAAGATTTCCTTGAGCTTTGACGAGAATTTAATATGACTGGAGCTGGGGGTGATGGACGTACAATTTCTCTGGATATTTTACGTGTAATATTAATAGGCGGTTCTGGAGGAGGCACTTGGGGCCTGGTGGGACTTATCACATGATGATCTACTTCAACTGGAAAACTTTTTCTGCTTCCTGTTTTTAATAAAGTAGATTTTTGTATGGGGAAAGCAGGACATAATTCTAGTTCCGAAACTAAATCAAATATATAATCCAGCCCGTTGACTTCGTATAAAACTCCGGCATCATCCATGACAACGCTCCACCCTTCTGGAGTGATACCTTGAGATGCAATAGCCAAAGAAGCAGCTTCTTCGCATGTGGTCCAGGAATCAGCATTGACACTAGATATTGTAGAATCAGACAAGTACAATGGCAAAGCACAATTAGCTTTTTGTCTAATGCTTTTCCATTCAAGTAAGCTTGGAGGCATGTTTCTCGAATGAGGAGCTCTTTGAAGGCTTCTCATAAGTTTCCTTTGTAAGGTTTCTTTTGTGGAACTCGGAGCATGATCTGTGATGAATTTGAGTAAATATTTGCTCAAAGGTGGACTTGGCTGAAAGGTACTCAAACAATGAGCCATTAATTGCCAAACTCTTTCAGAATTATCATTTTTCCAAGTTTGATTGCATAATTGCACCAACAATTCATCTCTGAGGCCTCTGGAATTCAATCCTTTGTAGACCATGTAATCAGCCAATGCTCGTTCTCTGGGTCCAGTTAATTGAGAGTCATTCGACCATCTTAAAATAAGTTTAAATAAGGCAACAGCGTCTTGGAAATCTTGATCCCTGGCAGCTGCTTTGGATAAAAATGGAGTTGTAATGGGGTCTTTTTTATAATGAAGATCAGCGTCTTTGAAATAGACTGAGGAAAACTTGGAAAATTCAAACTGGTTTATGTCGTGAGGTAAGTTTAGTGGTTGCGGGTTTCCTTGGACTCCGCCCAGAACTTTTACTAGATTGCGTTCAGTGTGTAAAGGAGTAAAACCTGGAAATAGATTCAGTTAATGGATTATTTGATGCATAGGATAAAAATTATTAATACCATCTAATTTCGTAAATATAAAAGCCAATTCTGCTGGTATTTCCAAATGATTGACTGTGGTTTTGCTGTCGGTAACTTTAGCAGCAGCCTTAGCTGAAGCGTTGGCCTTTTGTGCTTGCGCTTGAAGCTGAGCCTCTCTAGCTGCCCGCTGCTTGGCTCGTTCTTGAGCGATTTTTTCAGCTTCGACTCTTCTTCTAAATTCGGCTTTACGTTTGCTGTAAAGCTTGCGCTCCTTGCGACCTCTGTAGAGCGCTTGGGCTTTGATGACACCTAAAATTGATTGTGATTATTTATTTTTTTAATATTTTTTTGTTTTACCTTTTTTGATTTTGATGTATTCTTGCTTTTGTTTGTAGCCTTTCCAGTGTTTTTGGATGGTGACTGCACTTTTTTTTAGTTTGATGTAGTTCTTTCTGGCTAAGTAGCCCCTGATGTTTTTCTGGATGACTAATGCTGCTCCTTTGAGCGAATCTCCTCTTCTGAGTTCTAGTTGTCGCTCTAAGCTTTCTCGCAGGAAAACTCTTGTGGCTCCTAATTGATAGTCTGGACCCTCTGGATGAATAGAAGATTATTTAAAGTAGATAAAGTTTGTGGGGCTTTCGCGGCCCAAGTTTATCGATACAGTGTTTTCATTCGAGCTTAATGGCCGTCGTAAGTTGGAATTTCTTCCTGACTTCTGGTAGCCGACTGCTACCAGAATCGGACATCAAAGCACCTCTGAGATGCTAGCGAACCTTCAGGAAGAAATTTCAACTTATGACGGCCATTAAGCCCGAATGGAAAAACTTCATCATTAAAGTGGATATTTTGGATAAAGTTGTACCTGTTCCTGTATGAGGTATTTGTTCCAAAATGGCTCGGCAAAGATCTCTGTAAGGGGCACCTCTTGGTATTCTGGTCAGCAGGTATCTGCGTTTAAACATCATTAAGTATGCTAAATAATCACTTGAAAAAAATTACCTGTATCTATCCACAAACTGATGAAATTTCATCCTAATAGGATACCCAGCTTGCCTTATCCTAATAGTATCCAACATTCCAGCATATCTAAGCTGTTCCATCACCACAGGCATATCAAATTTCATTGGCGTCTTATCGTTATTGGGTTTGACGCAACGCACAAACCACGGATTACATTTGGACATGTTTTCTAAAAGTTGTTGCAAACTATCACTGAACCGAGCCGCTACTGTTGGGGTGCGGGGTTTCATAGTGACGAAACGTCCGTTGGCTCCTTTGGGCAACGTTCTGCTTTGCGATTGGTTGCTTAGAGGTTTGGCAATGGCACTGACTAGCGGTTCCTTGCTGGATGTTAGCAAGTCGATCACTTCTGGACGGAGAATGTCGCGGTTCTTGTCCAAGAACCCGTCCACCGAGTACCAAACTTGACCTGCATAATGGCGAATCTAAAAATTGATTTTTTTATTATTGGTTTTTGATTGAGTTAAGTATAGTTACCCCAAATTCTCTGCCTCCTACTCTGGGCCTGCAATAGTTTTCATTAAGAGCGTGGTTGTAGTGGCATTTTTCCAGAAAAGAGGCATCCGAGGCTCTAGGAAAGTTGCTTTCGTCGTCCAAAAGATGGAAAATACCCACAGGTTTTTTGCCTAAAAGCTACAAGAAATATTTAATTTAATATTCTAGTGTGCAAAAATACTTGCAGCTCTTACTTGAATTACAGGAGTATTGTCAGTCCAAGTCAAGTTGGTCCATTCCAGCCTCTCCTTAGCATACTCTTGCTGTTCCAACTTGAAAACGTGCTTGTTGAAATAGAGTTGCAAAGATTCTGAAGCAAAATTGATGCAAAGTTGCTCAAATGAGTTTTCATTTAGGTTCTCAAACCCGAAAATATCTAATAGGGAAATTCTGGCAGCATCCTGAAGACCACCTCGTTGAATGATATTGTTGACTCTAGTCACCAACCTATAGATAAAATATTGATTATGATTGCATAAAATAATTAAGTAAAACATACCAGTTGAATAAGGCAGCATAAAGAGCCTTAGCAAAAGCATCTCTGGCATCCAAGGCTTGATCGATACTCAAAGGAGAGAAAACGCGTTCTGCTCGAGCCTCGGTGATACGAGACGTGAGAGTCCTTTGCAAACCACTAGCGGAAATCTGCAGGAGATGGGCTGCCCACTTTATTTCAACATCAGAACCTACCTCGACACCTTCTTGGCCGTGCCTAAAACAAATGATTGCACTTCGTCAACAAATATTTATGCAAAAGAATTTACATTTACATGGTAATTTTACCAACCTTAATTGTCTTCTATGAAAATAAACATTCCCCAGGTGCAATACTGAAGCAAGCACTTTAATGATGCCTTCTTGTTCGCTTTCGCTGACTCCTAAAACTTGCATTGCTCTTGTTAGAGCTTTCCAATCGGCTCCAGATCCTGAATGACCCGGAGAACAATCGCCGCCTCCTTGATTCAAGTAAAAATATTTATCCGGATTAACGAGCCCGTATTTTTGTTTGTCGGCATTGCTAATGCCTCCCAAAAGTTCGTAGAAAACGTGGTAGTTGCGTTCTCCAGGAGCTTGAGTGACTATTCTGGATTTTTCCAGAAGGTATTGCGTGACTTTGGCACCGATAATGGCTCCGTGTTTGAAATAGACTTCTAAATATTTGCCGAATCTAGAGCTGTTGTCGTTCCTTACTGTTCTAGCGTTGCCAAAGGCTTCCAAAAGAGGCGTTGCTTCCAGGATTTGTTCAGTAACCAGGGCTTGATTACGAGGGGCTGATGGGGCAACTGCTGCCAGGTATTGCATTACTAGTTTTGTGGATTCGGTTTTACCAGAACCGCTTTCGCCACTTATTACTACAACCTATATAGGAATTGTTGGTGAGTAGGTATTTCAAGATTTGGTTCGAGGTTTTGTTTTACCTGTGGTGATGGTAAGGCGGAGTAAGCTGATGAAGCTGAGGCAAATAGGTGAGGAGGTAGTTCCCCTATCATTTTGCCTCGGTACTTCTGAGCTGATTCGATACCGTAACATCCATCGAACATTCGATATGGATTTACGGCTACTAGGATACTGCCTGCGTAGGTGTAGATTAAATTTCGGTCGTATCTAAAACAAAAAACCTCATATGTTATGGAACAGGAAATTATTTAATTGTATCAAGATTAACGGGAAATTCTACAGTTGCATTTATGCAACAATATTGATTTTTTTTGCATAAATTATAATGAGAAGGAAATATCACATTTACATATTAATATTTATATGATACAATGATTTACCTACTTTGATTGTTCAATAATAAGTAATTATCTTCTTATGTTACACATGTAAACAAAACCGAAATTAAAAATCAACTGAGAATTCTACTTTCTTATTTCTTTGACTGTTAGGTAGGTACGTAAACTGTAATTATAATCTAATTACCTCTGTGTAAAGTATAGTATTTTTGTGTCTAAGGAATAAAGTTTACCTACCTCAATTTCAAATTCCATAGTAAAGCAGCTTCGTGTAAATCGGTCAATTGTATCATGTCCTCAACACCCCCGGTACCGAGGTCTTGCCTTCTTCTAACTTGACCCTCGCCATCTTGGAGAGCGAAAGTTTGAGCCTGAAAAAATTTCAATTCTATCAGTTACCAATGTTTTAAGATTATCTATCATCTATGATAATCCATACGCTGTATAACAATGAACTATTGTTAGGGATTTTACAAATGAAATACTAATTAGGTGCTTATGAACCTTGATTGCTCTTTGGTTTTATTGGGAAATTATTTTTGGGGTTTCTGGGCCGGGACTCTTTCAAAAATGATTCTAAAACGTTGGACGATTGTGCTATGTATAGTGGTGAATTTTCTATAGTCATCGTCAACTTGAGAGATTTACAACATACCTGAGTCAATCATATTGGACTTTTTCTAAATCTGTTTCTATTCCTCCTGAACAAATCACATGTCCAAGGAAATTCACTTTGTTTTTTGGAACAAGACACAATATTCGAATCTTGGCAAAAATTTCCCTTAATTTGGACAGGTATGCATTGACATATTTGCCACACTATATATCCAGTTTTTAAATCTAAAGTTGGAACTTGATGATAAGTATATATTACATCAAATATGAATTTGCTGATGAGAAATATATAGGAAGATTGGAGAAGAAGAATCAAGTGAATACATTGGAGAAATTAACATTTAAGTACTTGAAATACCTTTTCATGTCCAAGGAATAAGGGACATTCATAGCAGATTAGTTATAATCTAGTCTTTGCCAATTCAGAAAAATCAAAATTGAAATTTTTCAAAGGCAAGGAAATTTCATTTTCAAATATTTCAAAGGGACATATTTTGGAAACCAGGAAAGCTATCGGTACGAAATTTCGTCCAATTGTAAATCTCGGTTGGGGCTTCGAAAAAGGTTTATTGGGGCACCGAGTCCTAGGACTTCGTTTTCGAGTTAATCGGCTTTTAAGGTTTTCCAAAATTTGAGACAAAGTTTAAACTTTAAGACTCAATATCTCGAGAACTATTTGAGATAAATGATTAATTCTTGTTTTATCTTAAAGAGCGTTCAATTTTGATTTAGAATATATAAATATGCATTGAAATTTTTAAAATACTAATTCAGTAATAGGTAATTTTGTGGGACAATGTCGGATGATCAAAATTTTTCAGGGCAGAAAATACAAAAACCATTTTAAATTTTTTTACAGGCTCTAAAATCCCAAAAGGAAAAATCATGAAAATGCTTTTCCACTGAATTCGACCCCCTCTTTCGATTGGTAAAGTCAAAAATTTAAAAATTCGGAAAATTCAAAATTGAAATTTTCCTAAGGGGTATATGCAAGGAAATTTAATTTTCAAATATTTCAAAGGGCTATATTTTGGAAACCAGAAAAGCTATCGGTACGAAATTTCGTCCAATTGTAGATTTCGATTAGGGCTTTAAAAAAGGTTATTTGGGGTACCGAGTTCTAGGGCTTAGTTTCCGAGATAATCGGCTTTGAAGGTTTTCCAAAATTTGAGACAAAGTTTAAACTTTAAGACTCAATATCTCGAGAACTATTTGAGATAAATGATTAATTCTTGTTTTATCTTAAAGAGCGTTCAATTTTGATTTAGAATATATAAATATGCATTGAAATTTTTAAAATACTAATTCAGTAATAGGTAATTTTGTGGGACAATGTCGGATGATCAAAATTTTTCAGGGCAGAAAATACAAAAACCATTTTTAATTTTTTTACAGGCTCTAAAATCCCAAAAGGAAAAATCATGAAAATGCTTTTCCACTAAATTTGACCCCCTCTTTCGATTGGTAAAGTCAAAAATTTAAAAATTCGGAAAATTCAAAATTGAAATTTTCCTAAGGGGTATATGCAAGGAAATTTAATTTTCAAATATTTCAAAGGGCTATATTTTGGAAACCAGAAAAGCTATCGGTACGAAATTTCGTCCAATTGTAGATTTCGATTAGGGCTTTAAAAAAGGTTATTTGGGGTACCGAGTTCTAGGGCTTAGTTTCCGAGATAATCGGCTTTGAAGGTTTTCCAAAATTTGAGACAAAGTTTCAGCTTTAAGACTCAATATCTCGAGAACTATTTGAGATAAATGATTAATTCTTGTTTTATCTTAAAGAGCGTTCAATTTTGATTTAGAATATATAAATATGCATTGAAATTTTTAAAATACTAATTCAGTAATAGGTAATTTTGTGGGACAATGTCGGATGATCAAAATTTTTCAGGGCAGAAAATACAAAAACCATTTTAAATTTTTTTACAGGCTCTAAAATCCCAAAAGGAAAAATCATGAAAATGCTTTTCCACTAAATTTGACCCCCTCTTTCGATTGGTAAAGTCAAAAATTTAAAAATTCGGAAAATTCAAAATTGAAATTTTCCTAAGGGGTATATGCAAGGAAATTTAATTTTCAAATATTTCAAAGGGCTATATAGTGGAAACCAGAAAAGCTATCGGTACGAAATTTCGTCCAATTGTAGATTTCGATTAGGGCTTTAAAAAAGGTTATTTGGGGTACCGAGTTCTAGGGCTTAGTTTCCGAGATAATCGGCTTTGAAGGTTTTCCAAAATTTGAGACAAAGTTTCAGCTTTAAGACTCAATATCTCGAGAACTATTTGAGATAAATGATTAACTCTTGTTTTATCTTAAAGAGCGTTCAATTTTGATTTAGAATATATAAATATGCATTGAAATTTTTAAAATACTAATTCAGTAATAGGTAATTTTGTGGGACAATGTCGGATGATCAAAATTTTTCAGGGCAGAAAATACAAAAACCATTTTAAATTTTTTTACAGGCTCTAAAATCCCAAAAGGAAAAATCACCAAAATGCTTTTCCACTGAATTCAACCCCCTCTTTCGATTGGTAAAGTCAAAAATTAAAAAATTCAGAAAATTCACAATTGAAATTTTTCTAAGGGGTATGCAAGGAAATTTAATTTTCAAATATTTCAAAGGGCTATATTTTGGAAACCAGAAAAGCTATCGGTACGAAATTTCGCCCAATTGTAGATTTCGATTGGGGCTTCAAAAAAGGTTATTTGGGGTACCGAGCTGTAGGGCTTCGTTTCCGAGATAATCGGCTTTGAAGGTTTTCCAAATTTTGAGACAAAGTTTCAACTTTGAGGTTCAATATCTCCAAAACTATTCGAGATAAATGATTCAATTTTATTTTACCTCAAAGAGCGTTCAATTCTGATTTAGAATATATAAATATGCATTAGAATTTATGAAATATTAACTGAGTAATAGCGATTTTGTGGGACAATGTCGGATGATCAAAATTGTCCAGGGCAAAAAATGCAAAAATCATTTTTAATTTTTTACAAACCCTAAAACCTCAAAAGGAAAAATCACGAAAATGCTTTCTCACTAAATTTGATCCCCCCTTTCGACTGGTAAAGTCAAAAACCAAAAAATTCAGAAAAATCAAAATTGAAATTTTTCCAAGGGGAATACAAGGAAATTTCATTTTCAAATATTCCAAAGGGCCATATTTTGGAAACCAGAAAAGCTATGGATACGAAGTTTTGTCCAATTGTAGATCTCGATTGGGGCTTCAAAAAAGGTTATTTGCGGCACCGAGTCTTAGCGCTTTGTTTTCGAGATAATCGACATTGAAACTTTTTCAAAATTTGAGACAAAGTTTCAACTTTGAGACTCAATATCTCAAGAACTATTTGAGATAAATGATTCAATGTTATTTTATCTTGAAGAGCGTTTAATTCTGATTAGGAATATATAAATATGCATCAGAATTTCAGAAATTTCATCGGAGTTAAGGACGATTTTGTAAGGCAATGTCGAATGATCAAATTTTTTTCAGTGTCTAAAATGCAAAACTTTATTTACATCAATGTAATAATAATTCAACATCTTCAACTTCTACCTTAACTTTAAATAGCTGTGTTTACTATGAGTTTCTACTAAGTTTTTGATTCTTTCCTGATTTAACATAATGGAATGTTGTTGATTTACACTTTATTAAGAAAGTTCTCAGAATTACCATTATTTTGGCACTGAGATTCTAAAACATGATGGCAGTGTGTTTCCTGATTCTGTGCTTTATGAAGAAATTTATGTCGCTAAAATGGTCCTTTTCCATTAATTTGGAAATCAATGGAAAGAGCACTGATAGGGAAACATATTCCAGACTATCACAGAATCCAAATGAAGATGGGAGGGCCATGAAGGACAATAAATGGAGCAAAATATTGATGAAGTGGAGACTCAGAGAGTTCAAGTTCAACAGTAGTTTGACGATTGATTAATAAAATGGCCTAAATGTTAATCTATATATCAACATATCTCAACTGAATGTAGACTGTTGATGTCACAACTAATTTGATTTTTTTGGATGTAATTCTATGACTCATTTGGTATTGAAGTTCTATCGTGTCTTGGTTATTAAGTTTCCCTTGATAATATGATGTTTGTAAAGTTAGGAAATCTCTGGATATTATGCTATTGATGATAATCTATGGAGGTAGAATGATCATAGTCCTTGATGTATTTCCCACAACGATTTAAGCATTTTTTGTTCAATAGTACGTGTTTTTTGGATGGGCATTTTCTGATGGTAGTTCTCTTTTCTTAAAGTTTATGCTTTTTTAACTTCCCAATTTTTAAGGACTTATTTTCCACTTGTATACTCTTTCTCTCTTCTATTAAATTTCTCTTTTAGTAATCTTGAAAATTCTATTAATATCCCAGCTAAAGGATAGTATTAGGTACCCACTCGCAATGCAAATTTACACCCAACGAAAGAAAGTCAATGTCACCAGGTTCTTGTAACCACTTTTGTTATATTGTTACAAACTCTTGTATATATCAAATTTGCATTACAATGATTGCTGTAAATTTTTGTCATATACAGATAACAAAGTGTTAACCTAGATACTTTTATTATATAAATTTATTAATTAATAATAATAATTTAAGAGTCAATGTTGTAAAATATTCCCCCAAAACAAATTCTTGCTAGGTAATATACGTTATGTATGATCGGTTCACACACTTTCCCTGTGCAAACAACAGCGCGCCGAAGCAGTCCTCGGATACGGGTCAGTAATATATTTGTAGTTCATTCATTTTAAATCTAAGTGTAAAATTTTACCTTTCCATTGATAACAGCTTGCACGGTAATAACGTTCGCACTTTTATGGCACTCGAGTACTTCCCCGGGGATCGAGTGTCCCAATCCCGGATCGAACCAGATCAGATCGCTTGGGTTCCAATCCATCCTTTACTTGATTTGCATCTGAAAATGATTATATATTATAATTATGTCTTGCAGCATCACGTAGATGGAATCCGAAGAATGTTTATTTTATTTTATATATGACACAGATAAATGTAGACATGTAGGAATGTTATACGTATCTAAATAAAAAATAACTTTTTTTCTTGGGTTCTTGTAAATTCGTTTGGACAAATAATCAAAGTAAACCACACCTCGTAAGCAAGTCCGAGGTCAAGAAACCGGAAAAGCACCTTTTATCGTCCATTAACGCGAAAAGAAATTTCTAAAAACAATACTTACTATTCAAATCAATTGATTTAAGATTCACAATGGTCAACCATTCAACAGTTAAACTGTTTTGTATATCCTTGCCCTTAGAATACTGATTTTGTGACTTTGAAGGAATTTTTGACCTGTTGATGATGACAATGAACTAACTTTTCAAGGACTTTTTGACCTAATGATGATGACAATGGCGAGAAGTCCCTTTTTAGAGTACAATGGCCTTTACTTATGGCTTTAACAGGTAGATATGGTAAAGGCAGGATGCAGATAGTCGACACAAATGCACCTGATGTAGATATCTCACAATATAATTTTATGAAGAAAAAGGTAGGTACCGAGTTCCCTGAATTTGCTGGTTTTATGGAAGCCTAAAGTTCTCTGAGAAATGGCATCAGAAATTCTTTGATATTCAGACTCTAGTGGATTTGTCGCAACTATTATCGATTTTCCTATAGATTATATTCCATGAGAGAAGGAAAGATCTGTTTGAGTTGAATTGAATAAATCTTTCTTTAACATTTTGAATAACAAATTATTTTATTTCGGGAAAGTTAGCAACACACTCGAAGCAGGATCGCTAAATAAACATGTTCCTGCTTGTGCTGTTATGGTCCTGCCTCATTCTGCTTCAAATCTAACCCTGGCAACATTATACTATTTACGAAATACAGCGATTTTTATTTTGGTTGCTAACTCCACCCTTGTCAACACATTGAAAGCAGGATGGCTAAAACAGGTGCCGCAATAGTCCTATGCCTCATCCTGCTTTAAATCGCACCCCGGCAACACGTACTATTTTCGAGATACAGAGATTTTCAGTATGGTTCATAACTTCACCCTTGGCTTGGGAACAGATTGGAAGCAGGATCGCTAAACATGTTCCTGCTTAGGTATGCTGTTATGGTCCTGCCTCATCCTGCTTCAAATACGACCCCGGCAATACGTACTATTTACGAGATACACCGATTTTCATTATGCGGTTCGTAAATTGAAAGCAGGATCGCTCAAACATGTTTATGTTGCTATGATCCTGCCTCATTCTACTTCAATTTTCACCCCAGCAACACCTAATATTTTTGACATATACACTACTGGTAGCATTTCAAAAATCAACTCGTAGGAATAGGAAGAGTTCGAGACACCGTTGCCAAATATATCGTCATATATATCAAGGGTGAAGTTACGAACCATATGTTTCTCGAAAATAGTGGAACCCTACCTTATCTTGATAAGGTAGGGTTCCACATCCTCAAATAAGAGAAAAGAAAGGAAAATGCAACAATTAGTAGAAGAAAATCAAAAAGTTTATAATGTTCCCGCATAACAAACTAGTGTAATTAGCTATATGTTGTTATTTTTGCTTTTTTAAATACCTCGAGACTATGAAGTGTGACGAAATGGTGAATAGTTATATCATAATCGAAGAAGTAATTATTATTTTTTGAAGAATGTGGGACACGTTAGCTCACTTTTGAATGGGCTGGAAAACTAGGATTTTTTGTCTTTCTTCTTGGATAGTTTAAAATGATTATGTAATTATTATGTAAAAACAATTAATCGACTGGTACCAGATGGTATGATAAATGGATTTCCTGATAATGTACGAATCACTTTCTCGCTTAAGAAAAATATACAACGCAAATTACAAATCCAAGGTCTCTAAGACGACATTCTTGTACTAACAAATTCTTCATTAGTCATCGATGCAGTAAACAATAAATTGTTATTCATTATAACAGTAAAATGTAAGAAAAACATATGTACCTTTACATGTAGGCAATTTAAATAACCATTTATTAACATTCATACGTAGGTACTTATTTTGCAATCATACTCTGGTATCATATTATACTCAACTATATAATGTCAAGAATCAAAATCAAGAAAGACACATATCGAAGGGACCTTATTTTACAAGTACCTAACCTTTTAAATGAATTTTGTATTACCAATACAATACTTATATGAGCCGGTTTTCATATTAATATTAATATAGAAGTGACCAATCAATGTTTTGCTAATCTAATGAGCTCATCATTATTACTAATATTTCTAAATCCAATAATCAATTAAAAAATCGCCTCTTTAAAAAAGAGGACATAAACGAAAGTTTTTCGACACACCACAACCAGTGTAAGAAACCCAACATGACCTTCCATACTGGTAGTCTACGGGTCACCAAAACATTCCTCCCCATTATCTTCCATAAGGGCCATTATACTTCAAACTATATAAACTTACTTTCAAATTTAAGAGGTAAATCCACAAAGTTTATACACAAACACTAAAATAATTAAGTGTAGAGCATTTTTAGCTCCGCGATTTTTTTCTTCGAACTATCGAAGAACGTGAACGTAACCAGTCGAAGTTGGACTATGGTTGGCTGGTCGGGAGAACGAGCGGGAGGTGAGGTAAAGGTGCGTCCCGTTAGCTTTGTAGGTATGCTTGAACCAAGATTAACTGCACCAAGAAACCTTGGGAGAATTTGTCTTGTAGTTACTCAAATCTTAAGTCCTATTGTTGAGACATATTTGAAACAAAAACGAAAGCTATTATAAACGTTTCACTATTGGTAATTACTGTTGTTTAGTGGATATAGGCAATTATAATAGTTGTTAAGTAGTAATGGACATCGTATAAGACGTGTAAACTTGGTGGTTTTGGTGTTGGTTTGGCCGCACTAATATTATTTATATTTTATTTTTCGTCATAAGATTCAAGGTACTGTCTCAAAGTTTGTAGAGGCCTTACAGCTTTTATAGTCGTTAGTTACTAATCACCATCCCAAGCAGCAAAATGTTAGTCGATATAACGTCGATTACTAGATTCCCTGTATATTATAGGTCTGTTTCTGCAGAAATCACAGAACAACAGTTAGAAACAGTCAGAAAACTAGTTTCAACCAATGAAATTCACTCTGACTGGTTTGTGTTTTCTGCAGAAACAGACCATATAATGTCTCTTCTATTCATCATTTAGATCTCCTGGCTGAGATGGATATGAATCTTATTCATCTGTTTATTTATTTGGCCACGTGGCTTCTCACTAGTCCACGAAAAGGCTCTGTGCCTTGAAAAGATGTTAACGCGCCTTGCTTTGTAGGACGGACCGCCTCCTTGTTGTCCTTTACGCCCTGATGTCCTGGTACCTACATCAGGGTTACTTTATTCCTCCCAGCCGGTTGTATAAGGATATTTTTACCCTCCCAAACTAGCTGAGAAGTGAGAATTGAAGGCTCCTAGACCCTTTAGAGCCACTTGACTGTCGGACAGTATAAATTTGCTTTTTTAAAAGGCCTCTCTTTTAAGACACTTGGGCATAGATGTTTATGGCTTGAAATTTTGTAGGCCTTTTATCCATTGCTAAGTTTGGTTCAGTCCAGGAAGTTCTATCCAGAGTTTTTTGTAATGTTCTCTTAACTGTTCCTTCAGTTTGCCTCTTACGTGTTGATTTGATATACCACATGTGGGCATTCCCTTCAATCCCTGCGTGTCCTGGCACCCATTCAAGGATCACCTTTGTAGTGTTTTGCCAGTTCAGCTACAGTTTTTTGACAGTGTTTCACTGTTTTGGACGTGGTGCTTACGCTTCTTACTGACTTAAGAGCTGCTTGGTATCGCTCCTGATCCTGCCCGTCCGATTAGGAACTGTCTCTCTCAGGATGTTTTCCGCGCATGTTGTTATCGCACCTATTTCAGCCTGCATGATTGTATCAATTGAGCCCAGGTTTAGATTGTACGTCTTCCTCGTGTTCTAGTTATAGATTCCCACGCCTGTGCTAATGTGCGTTTTCGATTCTTCGAAACGCCTTTCCGTTTAAATTTTGCTTTGCAAGTGTCACATTCGAAAGCATAAATATCCGAGTGTGTCAGTTTGTGAGATTTCAAATTGCTTTTTCGAGTAAATTTTGCTCTGCAAGTGTCACATTCGAAACGATAAATATCCAAATGTGTTACTTTATGATTCTTCAATTGGTTTTTACGTTTAAATTTTGCTTTGCAAGTGTCACATTCGAAAGGATGAATATCCTTATGTATTAGTTGGTGACTCTTCAAGTCAAATTTGCGTTTAAACTTTATTTTACAAGTGTCACATTCAAAAGGAAAATTATCGAAGTGTGATTTAGTTTTAAATAAGACATTGCAAGTGTAACATTGGAATTTTCTAATAACATCTGGTCTTGATGAATGAGCATCACTTGAATATTTCTCTTCCTCCCTGAATATCCCTTTATTTGGATCTATCAATTGAATATCTGATCCTTCTATTTCATTTTTGATGTGATCCTCTGGATATTCATTAATCATAAACCTAAAAAAAAACTCAGTTAGTTAGATTTTGAAATTACATTAGATATAGGTAAGTGGGATAAAAAATTTAAAAATTAATACATAGGTACGAGGTTTGGATGTACACAAGAAAAGGCAAAGTTTCCATACAGGATAGCACATGTCCCATGCAGATGCCTCGAGTAGAAATCCAATATCTTCAGATATTGCTGCATGCACTGTAAAAGTTTACAAAATAGATTGGGTGTTAAGTGCTCAAGTGAGCGACGAAAGATAAAAAAAAAACATCGAGCGACAAGGAGGAAAAGAACATCCATAAGAATTTTTGCTTAGGGGAGAACCGGCTGTATAAGAACACCGAAGATGGTAAACAGTGGGTAATTCCGAAAGCTGCCCAAAGACCAAGTAGTTTTATATTTTCATGATGGGGAAGGTCACATGGGCTTGATAAAACGCTGCCTATCATGTGGATACATATCATGCTGCCTACCATGGAAGTTTTACACCCCAGCATCAGTTCCATAGCTGGCGTTGTTCTCATCGCCCTGATTACAGCTAGGCAGGCTCTTCTTTGTACCTTGTCGAGCTGCCTGAATGCACTTGTGCATCTGGCTTTGTGCTACCACACAACAGAGCAATAGTTTACCATGGGTGTCACTACCTTTGATAAAGCCAATGCATAATGCGAGGTCTAAGTCCCCAGGTTTTGCCTACCGCCCTTCTTAAGCCCCTCTCTGTTGTGTTTTTAATGTGGTTGTTTAGTGTCTAAGGAGTTCCCTTAAGTAAAGGTTCCTTCTAAGAGCCAACGTTATTACAGAGGTTTTTATTAGATTCGTTGACAATCTCTCTTCTTTACACCAATTTTCGGTAATGTTCAGTGTCAGCTGTATTCTTTCGGATACAGTGATCCCAAATTTGTTGGTTTACTTTGGCACTCTAGCCTCAGATTGAAACAACCGGTAGTACCTTTTACTTCATTTCTTTGAAGCTTATGCTCGCAAGTAAAAGGTCTTCATTATCCATATGATATGAAGTAAATGCTTCTACTTCTACCTTTCACTTGAAGCTTTTGCTTAACTTCTACCTTCTCCTATTTTTTATTCATACGGCTGATTGTATAATTACCTTTTTCTTTAGATAACAGAACTGTCAATGTAGATTAGAGTTGCCATTAATATAATAAAAATCATAGGTATCACAATTAACTTATTAAATATAATAAATAGTTATAACACTAGATTTACCAAGATAACCAAAATTCGACGTCGGAAAGAGGTTGCAAAAATATGACTTGGTGGACGTGTATAAGGTTGAAAAGTAACCATATAAAACCCAATATGACCCATTCAAATAAAACACCCTGTGTTAAGACGTCTATAAGGCGTTTATTTGAAGTCGTTGAATTGGACTTATGTTTGTTAGTCGATTATACGTCGCTAGTTAAAGTCACTTCTACTGTGACATCAACGTCATTGAATGACGTAGAATTGACGTAAGTTTGTTACTTGGGCAGTCCTTGAAGTATCTGGAACCTTTGGACTTTGTAGAATACCAAGAATCTTAGAGGGCCGAATTTATAGTCGCTCCTTGAGGTTTCCTCAGACCTTAAAGAAGCCTTGAACGTTTAGAATTGCCACGACTAACTTGCCAAATAGTAGCAAGTGTCCATTCTAAACTTTCAACCTCCAAGAAAGAGTCAAGGAACGACTATAAATTCGGCCCAGAATGTTGTGTCCTTAATCTTGTCTTGAGCCTTCAAACACTGAAGTCTTTGAATTGTGTGGCGTCTTTAGATCAAATTTGAAGTTATAAGAATTTTTTATGCTTCAACGAATCATAAGAATCTGTTGGAGGCTTCTTTGAAATCTCTAAATTCTTTGAACTGTGTAGGATATCAGAAAAATTTCGAGTTTTGCGCTTTTAGTATTGTCCTGATCCTTCAGAAACTAAAGTATTTGAATTCTTTAGAGTGTTAGGAAGGTTTATTAATTCAATTTTCTAAAAAAAGAGCTCAGTTATGAGAAATGTATGCTTTTCCAATTAAATTTTAGCTCTATGATGTTCAAAAACGCCCTTTGTAGGCCTGATTTCACCTACAGAATGGCCAGAAATCAGCGACTTAAACTTTTCCAGCTAAATTCTCATAAGATTTTCAGACTTGTTAGTCTTCAATCATCAGTCCTTAATTTTTTTGGATGCTTTGGACTCTGTAGAATAACGAGAATCTTCGAGTCTTGTCCTGATAGTGGCGGATGCAGTGTATCATTAGTGGTTGAGTTGATGTATTGTTTTTTTTTTGTTCTAATAAATAAATATTTATACAAAATCAATAAGATTATGTACAGGGTATTTTCTTATATAGTGACACCTCATCTACCCTACAGCCTTTACCTTTACAGGTAGAGAAAAGGTGTAAATACAAAAGTTGTACAGTATTGGCTAAATTTTTAGAATCCATGGTCAGAAACAAAAATTGGATGTCAGAAATGGGAAATATTGCATGCTTTCAGCTTTTTTTAAATGAGATGGGCTATATTTGGTTCTATATTCTTGAAGAACACAATTTCCCGATCCCAAATCCATATAGTTTGTCTATACTATTTGGTTGAGCCATCTCCAACATATTTGGTTTTAAAAATTTTAAAAATAGCATCAGAGAAACCAAGTACCTACCTCAAATTTTACCTGCAGCTTTCACCTGTACAGGTAGAATGGTTCACAAAATCAGTAGTAGGATAGTATTTTTACAATTTATGGAGCCAAATATATGAGAGATTGCTCAATCAAATATAGATCTGGGCATGTGCTCTTCAAGAATATAGAATGAAATATAGGGCATCCCATTTGAAAAAACCTGGAAGCATGCAAAATTTCACATTTCTGACATTCAAATTATGTTTCTGACCATGGTTTCTAAAAATTTAGCCAAAACTGTACAATTTTTGTTTTTACACCTTTCTTCCACCCGTGAAGGTAAAGGCTGTAGGTGAAGTGTCAATATATAAAAAAATACCCTGTACAAATGAGTGGATTACTGCGGAACCTATGGGTGGACCTCTGCGGGACGAGCGCAGCGAGTTCCACAGCCATCTACTCACCAATATAATGTTGAACTGTTCAAATAAGACACTGAAACGTGTAGTTTTTGAACTAATGAGAAAAATTTGCAACTGAGTGAATCAGGTTAGTATTGTATTTGAACAACATATTGGTGAATAGATGGCTGAGTCCACCCATAAGTTCCGCAACAATGCACTCGTTTGTACTTGAATAACTTGTCACCATATATTACTAGTTTGGTAAAGTAATATTACTAATTCCTGTTAAAAGGCCAATTGACAAAAAGGAGATAAGCTTACAAATTTCGACTTTATATAATAAGTTATTTTTCAAGTACAAATAAGTGGATTGTTGCGGAATTTATGAATGGACCACTGCGGGACGAGCGCAGCGAGTTCCGCAGCCATTTAATTACCAATATACTGTCGAACTGTTCAAGTAAGACGCACATTTGAGTGAGTCAATTTAGTATCGTAATTAAACAACATATTGATGAATAGATGGCTGCGGAACTCGCTGCGCTCGTCCCGCAGTGGTCCACCTATAAGTTCCGCAACAATTCACTCATTTGTACTTGAATAACTTGTCACATTATGTTACTAGTTTATGGTAAAGTAACATTACTAATTCCTGTTAAAAGGCAAATTGATAAAAAGTGGATAATCTTAAAAATTCTGACTTCACATAATAAGTTATTGTTCAAGTACCTACAAGGTGATTTTTTTATATATTGACACCCCACCTACACTCTTCACCTTTACAAGTAGATGAAAGGTGTAAATACAAAAGTTGTACAGTATTGGCTAAATTTTCAGAATCCATGGTCAGAAACAAAAATTGAATGTCAGAAATGTGAAATGTTGCATGCTTTTAGCTTTTTTCAAATGGGATGCCCTATATATTTGGTTCTATAGGTATTCTTGAAGAGCATAATTTCTCGATTCAAAAACTATATACTTTGTCTATATTTGGTTGAGCCGTCTCCAACATATTTGGTTCTAAAAAATTTAAAAATTCCATCAGAGAAACCAAGTACCTCAAATTTTACCTGCAGCTTTCATCTGTATAGGTAGAATGGTTCACAAAATCAGTAGTAGGATAATATTTTTACAATTTTTGGAGCCGAATTTATGAGAGACTGTTCAATCAAATATAGACTGACTATGGTTTCTAAAAATTCAGCCAATACTGTACAACTTTTGTACTTACACCTTTGTTCTACCTGGTGAAGGTAAAGGTTGTACTTACCTATTTAAAGTTACCTTATTTTCCTAAATATGTAGTTCCCCCATTCCCCTATTTTTTTTATGGGCCATTCCTTCGAAAAACCGTATTTTGTACAATGCGCTGCCAAAACTAACCCAAACTAAGCCAATCTGGCTTAATTTTGTTTACTTTAACTTGAACTGCTCCCCCCTTTCAAAAGGCCTGTATCCGCCCCTGTGTCCTGAACTCCTGAGATACCTACTCCTACTACTACTAAAGTTTCCAGACTATTTGGCGCCTTGGAAACATTCGTTCTTTAGAGTTTTTTCAGCTTTTCCAGTTGAATTTTAGCTCTAAGATTTCCAAAAACGACTTTTGTAGGCCTGAACTTAACGTTAATCAGCGTTTTGAACTTCTCTAGCTCAATTTTCAAAATATCGGACTCTTTTGCTTCCTCTAATTACAAATTATATAAGTACAAATCAAATATTATTGAAATAGGATTTTTATTATAATAATAAATACATTTAGGTAACATAAATATAAATGACAACAAAATAATTATCACAGAATTTTTAGAATATTATATTTACAAATTTATTCTGGAAAAAGCAGACTATAAGTGACATTAATGAGACTGACATTGATCTTAATAGGCCCGGTCGGTACATTGTGTATAATAAAATTTTTCTGGGCCAACTTCCAAACGAACAAAGACAAAACAAACAATATAGAAAGTGTAACGAGTAAAACTCTTCTGGCAATCATTCGTTTGCATTTCCAGTAGGCCTTTTGGATTTTGCCTTTTGGCCGTTTGCGCTGTCGCATCTTTTTCGTTATTTCGTCCTCTTCGTCTTCGTCGAATAGACTTTGTATTAATGCAAAAGTGAGAGCCGACATCTAAAAACCAATATCAGTTTCATTAATACTCTAGTACATTTCTAGCTTAAAGAATCCAGCAATCAAGTCCCATAATGTTACAGTGGTGCCTGGAGGAGCCGGCGGAGGCAATTTTACATTTATTGTATCGGTTAAGCCTTTAATAGCAATTAAACTTATGGAAATTATGAAAGTTAAAAATATCCAAAAAATTCGTTTTATTATAAAAAACATTAAGACTTGTTTGCACAGGCTCATGTCTTTTTTGTCGCGTTTAGGTTTGCTTCTGGTTTCAACCAGCTCTTCTTCAGGACCTTCACGAAGCAATTTCAGTATTTCTAGTTCTCGTTCCGTGTGCGCTACACTCAAAGCAGAAAGAATTCCGAAAAATAAAGTACTCACCTATGAAAAATATACGTTAATTAATTGGTATATTTTTAAATTTATTAAATACCTCAATAGAAATGAATAGCCAAAAGAACCTATATCCATCCTTGATGACGCCTATCATGCGATTCAAATAGTCCTGTTTGTTTCCGCAATCGGACCAATACTCATCGGGAGTTTCATTAGAAGGTTGGCTAGATTCGAAAGGCCAACACACTTTGGTGATTTTGGATTCGGCTTGGTATGGCTTTACGTAGATCAGATCGTAAGGGACGCAACAGCATTCGGGTAGCTGAGTTGCGTTTGGTAAATTGTACTATGGAAAAGATCAAATCAATATACGACAGATTAATGAAATGTGAGAAAAAGATTGGTGTAAAGCAGTGGTACCCAACCTTTTTTTAGTCACGACCTTTTTACAGATTTGCTCATAAGATCGCGACCCCCCTACTCATAATAACTGAGCTTGTATCTCCGTATAACAAGCTTTGAAATTCTTGGTTGAGTTTTGGTTAAAACCAATCTCATGTCATCTTGCGATCTCCCAGTCTATTTCTGGCCTTTGTTCTAATTTGCAGGTAAACCACTTTCACGAAAGTAGATAGAGGCAAATGGTATTAGTATCCGAAAAGAAAAGCACAAGCAGGGCGACATAAGGAGATGAACTATGCATGACACATCAATATTCAGTCAAAAAATTTTCCTGATATAGGGGAGGTGTTGTGGAGTCATTCTTCAGCTCTAAAAATATATCCTGCACGTCATCAGGAACGTCGACAAAATAACGCCCATTTCATTCTCAAAGGATTGAAGGTGATAATCAATTATTTCTTTTAGATTCTTCACAATCTCTGTATCTGATGCTTCAGCCATTATGCATAGCTACCTATGTTCAAAAATATGCGACTCACGACGAGTCTCACAACCTGTGCTATGCGCTTCGTCCTTGAATCCAATGCAATGGTGCGCGGCTTTTGAAGTGGAGACTAAGGCCTGTTGTCAAATGCAGAAAATATGATGTATTAATATTGGTATTGCCCCTCTTAGGGGTCGCGACCTACCGGGAGTGTGAGTTGTGAATCTAAAGATAATTTTTTTGAATATTAGACTTCTTACCACATCGGGATATCCAGTACAACTTCTATAAACCTTTTTAAACTCAATCTCGCACTTCTGTTTCCTTTTGTCGCTATCCTGATACATAAAGTTGAAGTAAACGTGCATCAACAACACCAAGTGTACGAGAATATTTATTACCAACCAGTAGTTGTGCTAAAGAAATAAAAACATTACAAGTATTTTATTTGTTTTACCCATTTACATACCGTTTTAACTAATAACCGGTTCGTCTTCCAAGTACCCCAAATTCCAAAAGGACAAAACACCAAAATATTAAGACAACCGATCACCACTATGGCCTGTCCGATGTTATGGAAGGTTTTGTGATACATTACCCTGCTAGCTTCTAATTGGTGGGTGAGAATCAAGCAGCCCAAATATAAAATAAATAGGGAAGCCAGCTATAGAAGAAGATGTAATAATTATTAATCTCTTAAACATTTCTTATTACCATCAAAGTGAAATCCGCCACAGTGGCAAGAGATTGTGCAGTCAATTTCATGTAATGCAAAGTTTTTTTCATGATTTTGTAGAATCGTTCTTTGGCTGAAAGTACTTCTGTGCAAGCTTTATTTTCAATTATAGGAACTTCTTCCACAGTTGAAGATTCCTTTATTTCTTCTATTTTCTTCTCTTTCATTACTTGGTCCCATGATGGTGGATGTTCTTTGGTTGTTTCTTGGGCTTGATCTAAAAAAATAGTCTATAGATGATGTTATTGAAAAAACGTTAAAGTTAAAATCTGTACCTGCCAGCATATTGCAAGCAAATTTATTAGGTAATTATTCGGATGATTGATTGCTTTTGTTTTAAATGCAAATTAAGAGGTCTTATCAGTTTTAAAATTAGGCCCGTTTTGTGGTGGGTATTATTTATATTTACCTAATAATGATATGACACAGAAATTTTGCATTTTCTTCACTGAAACCACTATATACCTATTGTTAGAGTAGAAAAGTAATCATCACCAAAAGGCTTTTGTGAACTAATTGTTAAGTACCTGTCGAGTAATAAATTTACCTTACATCCGATGGAAGTTAATCATAAAAGTTTCGTGTTAAAAATATTTTACCAAAGATTGCCTAATTACTATTTAACATCCTGATAAATAGGTACCTACTTGGATTTTACGTGTGTTTAATATTATCTTGTTTTAGTTTTAAAAGTTAAATTGTTAATTCTTATTAATTTGCAATAATAATTAGATATTCAAAGTTATTTAAAACAAGATTTGTATTCAAATAATATGTCTAGCCATTGTATAAAAAGCCTTTTTATACAATGGTCTAGCTATCCACCGTACAAAGTATTGAAAGCGAAATCTCTGTTTGCATGTAGAACAGATATTGAGTTCTGCTTGAGTTGAATAGATGGCGCAAGTAATATATTAGTCTCAAGTACCATCATGGTACCATATTGTCGGAGGCAAAGTGTATGGAACTTTCGTAAGATGCTGCATTCGGGTTATAGATTTTCAAATGGGTTAATTTGGGCCAACTTGGGAAGAAACAGCCGATAAACAATCTTTGTTTATTCCAGGCTCTTATTTGCTTCCGAATAAACAGAAGAAAAATTCAAGAGCATGGAATAAGAGAATAAAGGAAATTCAAAAGTCGATAAGAATATTAATTTATGACTGAAAACATTTCATAATGGTAGATTAATGGAAAGAGCGGGTCAAAATTAGTGGAAAACAACCCTGACGTCAATTCCAAATGCCCATTTTAAGCAGAAACAAAAATAAAAAGAAAATCCTATTTTGGCTCTGAAAAATTTTCAAAATCTTTACATGGTCATGAATAATTGCTCATATCTTTGGTAAATTTCAAGCAAATTGAAATAAATTATACATCATTGGAAAGAGCATTAAATTATCTATAAGACTGTGTAAAATTGAGTTCGATAGCTCGGATAGTTTTCGAGCAATTGAGCCGCACAGTTGCCTTTTAGTCCAAATTTTGTCAAAAACTTCAAACTCAATTTGCTCGAAAACTATATATCTGGAAATATTATGAATCACAGGCCATTTAGAACTTAATAAAAGCTACAAATTCTGGAAATTTTAATGCAATTTGCTCAACAGTTACCGAGCAATTGAGGTTTGAATATTTCGAACTCAGAATTCAAAGGGGGTACCCTTATGAAAAATTCGATTTTTTTATTTTTCAGTTTTGCTCAATTTTGACTTTAGGAATCGATAGAGCGGGTCAAAATTAGTGAAAAACAACCCTGACATGAATTCCTAATGGCCATTTCAAGCAGACACAAAAATATTAGGTCTGGAAAATTTTCAAAATTCTGACATGGTCATGCAAATGTCCACGGACATAACTGAGCCAAAGTATCGACGTACATGGTAAAGTTAGATGTACGAATACTCAATACAAGTTGCACTAGAAGGGACTCCAGTTTGATAACTGTATTCCAATATTCGAACTCAGGACATTTAGATGTTTTCGACAAAATTCACAGTTCAATGCCTTCGCCACTGATGCTGGAATTTGTTTCGCATGCTTTGTTGACTGCGTTTATCTGTAGACAATGCAAGGCAGTTAAAGTTACTTCGTGTGCATACCGAGATCTTTTTACATGGGACGATGTCAGGCAGGATTCCTCAACATCAGAACTTTCAATACCAGCCGTTGTCACTAATTCAGTCCATCCACTGCCAGTTAACCACTTGCTAAGTAAGTTAATACAACAATAAGCATACATACCTAAATACTGGTTGGTCACATGTAATCACGGGTCAAGCTCCCGTGATTTCCATTTAATTTTGCTGTAAGCATTAAGTATTATGATATCCATTGCTGGTTTTGCAATTTCGTCATTTAGAAGTGGAAGGAATGACGCATTACACTTTATATTTCTAAAACCAGAAAAGCAGTTAATGATACTTTATACATATGCTTTATTCCTTGTACATATACGTCTTCAATATTCAATCTCTCCAGGACAGAGTTAGGCTAAAGATTTAAGACTTTTCTAGGAGTGAAGGCGGGTTCATGGTCAGTGTACTGTGGATTGACAGTTGGCAAAGGAGGGTCAGTTCTAACTTTACCAATTGCGGGAAGAGTAGTGTAATATTCAGGGAGGCTACTGACTGAATTTGATTGTTCCACTGTTGGATGCTGGAAACGAACTTTGTTATCGTCAATCTCCATAGATGTGTCATTATATGAGGATGCTGAATAATCGTAACACTTGAATCATGGAACGAAGTAACGGCAGTAGAAGAAGACTGATTGTGGTCAATGTTGTCTATTGCTGATGTTACAAATACAGTGGGGCACAACTTTGGCCAGTGAACACCATTTTCAATATATTGTTTACGCAATACTTTCGTAACTGTGGCTGATATTTCTTGTACTCGATTATATGGAACACTCAAATACAGACGACACAGTTTATCTATAATCCTTTTCTTTTTAGTGATAGCGTGAATCATGAAACCTACATATAATAGAAGTGGTGTTTCTCTCTCCATTGAGTGACTTACACTCTATTTATATATTTTTTGTTTCTTAGAGTTTTCGGAAAAAAGTTTCGTGCTCTACGATTCTTCAGTAAAATAATAAGAAATGCAAATTTACTTATGTCTATAGTTGACTTTTTGGTGTAATAGAGTGTTTTTGTCTTTTCAATTTTGATATATTCCAGGCTTTTGGACCATTAATTTGCTTCCAAAATAAACACAAGACAAACTCAAGAGCCTGAAATAAGAAAATAAAGAAAATTCAAAAGTTTGGAATGAGAAAATAAATGCTCTACCTTGGAAACTGATAATCTAGAGATTTTTTTATTTTCCATATTAAATTTTACGCTTCCTCTCAACACTCTCCCAAAAAAAGATCCAGATGCTTCTTATTGTACATCGAAAATTATACAATCATCTAGACCAGACAAATCCCAATAACTTCTATATTGGAGCTAAGCTAAATATCTTCTACAATATTTTGCTCTTTTGCATTTGAATTAAATTACATTGTCACATTCGTATATTAGTTGGGAAAAAGCAAAAGATTGACAATCTTATTGGGCCAACTTGGTTTTGGGACAAATCATCAACAATCTCTCATTTAAAAGCTGTTAGAAATTCTAAACCTACAATTTCACCAGATCTGGTGATTTTATGAAAAATCTGGTGATTGGTGAAAAACTTTTTAAAATATGACAATTTCTGGTGATTTTGAAATTTCATCAATTTTGAATATTTTTAACAATGACATTTTATAAACATCCCTCATAATGGGTACATTCAGGCGGTCCCAGCGGCTTAGCTCAGCCTCTCAGCAGGAACTTATATCTCGAAACCAAGGAGCAGCGTTCTCATTGGAACGAAGGTTCTGTCTTTGTCGTTCGGCATAACACTGACAATGAGAACGCTGTTCCTTGGTCTCGAGAATAATGTTCCTGCTGAGAGGCTGAGCTAAGCCGCTGGGACCGCCTGAATGTACCCAATGTTTTAAAATTTTACTTCATTAACATACAAATTTCATTTGTTTGACAGAAAACCAAATACCCATAAGTGGTGTGTGAGGTACTTTGATTTTTATATAAATTTGTATTTGTTCTTTTGATATATTTATATATGTTTCCCTTTTTATATTTCAATTTCTGTTTATTCCAGGCTCTTGTTGCTATTGGCCGGTTATTTTTCAAGTTGGCAACATGTATTTTGTTTGGCCAGTGGCGTTGCTTATGGAGGGTTTCAGCCAAACCAATTGAAAACTCGAAATTTTTATTTTTCATATTTTCGAAATTTTGATTTTTCCGATTCAGCGGGTTTAAATTAATCGAAAAAAATTCTAACATCATTTTCAAATGGCGATTTCAAGAAGCTAAAAAATCTCAATTATTGTTCTGGAAATTTTTTCAAATCTTGACAAGGTTAGGAATAGTGGCCAATATCTTCAAAGAAATTTGAACAAATCAAAACAAATTATATATGGTTGGAAATAGCATTAAATTCTCTCCCCATCCATGCTAAATTCGTTCTGATAACTCGAATACTTTCTGGGCAATTGGATCTCAAAGTTAAGTTTTAGTCCAAATTTTATCAAAAATTTCAAACTCGATTTTCTCGAAAACCATAAGAGCCAGCGATTTTAACTGAATACCATTTTAAAGCCCTTGTCAAGAGTTATATTTCCTGAAAGCTTTAATTCAAAATCTTTAATAGATTTTAAGATATCCAAGATCAAATATTTTGAAATAAAAATCTAAAGGGGTAACCCTTTGAAAAATTCGAAATTTTTATTGTTCATATTTATTGAATTTTGACTTTTCCAATCGATAAAGCGGGTCGAAATTAGTCGAAAAAAACTCTAACATCATTACAAAATCTTGATTTCAACACAGAGCAAAATTAAAAAGAAAATCTCAATTTTTAGGTTTATTTTTTTTTGAATCCTGACAAGGTTAGGAGCAATTGCCAATACTTCTATTGAATTTTGAGCAAATCAAAATAAATTATATATAGTTGGAAAGAGCATAAAATTCTCTATAAATCAGTACTAGATTGAGTTTGATAACTCAAATGCTTTTGGAGCAATTGAGCTTCAAAGTTGGATTTTAGTTGAAATTTACTCAAAAACTTCCAACTCGATTTTCTCAAAAACCGTAAATGCCAGCGACTTCAACTAAGCACCGTTTTGAAGCCCTCATCAAGGGCTACAATTTCAAAAATTTTGCCAAACAGTGTTGCTGATGTTTATATAATTACTGTTATGAAAAATTTGAATATTTGCAAGGCCTACTTGGCTTTTTTTTTGTATAAATTCGGGCCT